CCTTTGCCACATTGTATGGCCTTGCTGGTGCCAATTCGACAAAATTGAATTGACTTGATTGATGGAAACTGAATTTTGACTTGTGGCTGCCGATCCAGACGGAGCCGCACATGCACCGATTTGGCAAGGTCTGACTCCACATGCAGCCTGAATGTGGGGTACAGCCACGGGAGGGGTGAGTGGAGGACCGATTACTGGTTCTGTTCGCAACCCTAATACCAATCGATACCTATTCTCACATATCACTATACCTCCCTTCGCTGCTGCGTTCCTACTCACTTCCAAAGTGCCAACGCCAAGTTCCTTGAACATGATGCTATTGGCAATGGAAAGCTTTCGTGTATATCAAGCTGGATCTACCAGCTCAACCGTGTTAGCCAGAGTGAGGGAGGCAACGGCTGTGACCCTCCGCGGGGCTACCATGGAGAGAGAATGAGCCGGGTTCCAGGATATTTCTGTTGAGAAACTATAAGATGTCATGTCTCTGAAGCAGGAAGAATGATGCCTGGAATGATAGTTGAGATGAATTTTCTTAGAACCAAGTTACAATGCTAAGCTACATCTTGCAGGTTGAAGCTATTTTCATGTGCTATTGTGATATACGAAACGTCTCATGACATTAGCATACCCCCGAGAAATATAACATTACAACCAAAGGATGCCAACCTTGGATAGAGAAATGGGGTGGTATCTGGTCAAGTGTCGTGTCATTCGCAAAGACCACACCTTTGAGGACGACAAATTTACTCTTCAGGATACTCCCCAAGCTGGAGGCACCAAACAGATTCTTGGAAAGCGGGATTTTAGACGAGCCCACGTAACAATTCCGGCTAAGGATGTCAAGCTTCAATCCGATAGCCAGCGTCTATATAGTAGAAATAATCGTTATCATGGTAAATGCTAGATTCGTGGCGGTGGCTTCGTGACTGGGGTCCCGTCGTCCGCCAGTCAACAGAAGATCGCAGCCTTTGCCTGAGTTAGCCTCCAGGAAAGTCTTGATGGGCAGCTTAGTAAAGGAAATGCCATTTGACATGTTGGCCGGGTATCGGGTATTGATGGCTTGGGGCTTGTCGTAGAATTAGTCTTCTTGGCCTCATCCCAGTATCGATCTGTGTGTAGCCGAGGTCGACCGGGCATGTTATATACCAGATGACCACTTCGCCGGGATAGTCATTTCTGAGCCGTTTCATGCCCGTGATCAAATCGTCGAGAGGGGCCCAGTCGCGCCGGCAGGATGCGAACCAGTGTCGTCGTTTATGTGGGCATCATAGAATGTCCCGTTCTCGACGCTGGCGATGCGCATGTCAGGTGCCGCACGCCAACTCGTGACCGGTTGTAGAATTTGAGTCTCGGCATTTGCGGCGCTACCTCTTGCCCACCACGCACCGTCGGTTATTTCATTCTTGGCCGCGCCGTGTGAGTCCGGGACAAGTGCCAAATACATGGCGCAGTTGGCGGTCCTTGATGAGGTCGTACAGGCTTCCCGTGTAATACAAGTGTCGTGTTTGTGCCCTCAATCTGATAATTTGCGTAGCCGTTCGTAGTGGTGAAGTCGCCCATCATTTGGTCATAATCAGCTTCATTTTTCCATGGCTTGTCGGACGGGATATCTACAAATTCCCATTTCTTGAACTGGGAAGTCTCGTGACCCCATCATGGACAAAGTTGTGGGGAGTAAGGTTGACGATTCTGACATCTAGGTATGCAATGACGTACTCGCTGGAGTTGCGACCATTTGTCAGCTGGGTTCCTGGGCAGTTTTTCTCCGGAGGTGGCTCAATTCGTGGCATCTCGAATAGACTGATGTACACCCAGCCTGAATGACTTTTAACAGGTAGGTTCTTCTGATGTGATTGTTGTTACACTGCTGCTCAGTGCTGACAATCATGTTCTTGGCACCAATCGATGTGATCTGCCGCAAACGATTGTTATCGTAGTTGTCATCGATAAGCCACAAAGGCTTTTGGCAGTTTCGTGTATCGAGTCATTCTTGCGTATAAGTGGTAAACCATGAATTGGTCCCAGCGGACTCACGTGAACACTCTGGCAGTTCGTCATGGTGACAGACCACGAAGCATCACAACCATGGGCGTCACCTGCTTCCCAAGAATAACCAGGGTCACTATCAAAGACGCCGACGGCATTCTCAAACGGAAAAGGCGGCGCTGTCGTCGGCTGATAGTATGCCGATTCGGTTACCAAAAAGGTGGCGAAGATGTTTCCAGCGCCGTGGAAGATGTACCGGTTATATACTTTATGTTCCGAGGCTGTTCTGAACCACCATGTGGCCTTTTGGCTTTCAATCAGTATGCCACGGGCACTATAGGCGGAGAGCTGCTCCGTGTTACTATGTATATCGTTTAGATCTGGGATCTGGGCCATCCATCTGGTGATCGGTAACCCAGGACCAGAAGTTCTCGAAATACGCGGACGCTTGCCTGATATGGCAACCCGACAGTTTGGTGGGTTGGTTTCTTTTTTATTCGGAGGACACTCGACCGGCATGAGCTCCGTCTTGACCGCTCTTCCAAGACGAATATAGACATCCCATAACGCCGCATTGCCCTTGTCCTTTGCTTGTATGTTCCATTCCATCAGTATGGCGCCAGGCGTCGGTCCTTTGCTAGACAAAATCAGATCTTGCATCTCTGCTGTGCCGACGTTTCCCGTATTTCCCACCTTGAGCATTGCAGCGGGCTTCTTCGCGTACAAGAACCAGTCACGTTGACATCGAACTGAGACCAGGTTTCATCAACAATCCTGGCTCCTTTTGGAACGGTAATGGTGCCCTTGCGAACGCAGGTTCCAGCATCAACGTAGATGATCCTGCTGCCATCTCCATACTTGTTGAGTACGCCTTGCACAGGAGCAGTGTCGTCAGTTGATCCATCGCCTTCAGCGCCTTGAACCCAAAGGTGAATGAAATCTGCCGGGGGTCGCTTTCCAGCAAAAGGATGCACACTTCCACAACGCCAATTCGGTGAAAACTATGTTAATAAGAGCCTCCTGAGAACGCCCAAGAGCATGCTGCCATAGATAGGAACTCAGAAATGTCGGCACTTGCGAAACGTATTGGGGAAGGTCGAGCATTGCCTTGTCTCTGATAAAAGGTTAACGCATTACCCAAAGAACGTATAGGAAGCATTAATTGCTGTGCAAGGCATTGATCATTTCCCGCAAGCTCTGAAAGGCCCTTAACGCTGTAGCCCAAAGGATGCAAAGGGGACCTTGGCATAAAGTCGGATCCCAGCTTCGGAGTCGGCGCAACTCTTGAAGCCGGAATACAACGCACCGTGGTATTAACCCGAATGGCCATCCTAACACTACGCTTCTGCTGCTCAATCGTATGTATTCAAAAGGGGGGGGCACTCAGGCGCAGCGTAACATACTGAAGCACGATGAAGCGGCTCACAAGGAATCCATGGAGAAATTTCCCATCACCTGCTTCAGGCTTATTCGGCGTAATGGGAACATATTTAACAGTATGACGCAACGATACTTGTTAAATTATTAATTAATGTACACTACCTTGTTGTCGCCTAATTTGATCTTAAATGCCGTTCCATATTGGTGAGCAATCTAAACCAACGCCCTTGCTTCTGTTCTCGCTCCGGCATCTACCAAGTCTCGCAAAACGGTCGAATAGCAATCTCCGACGTCATGGAAGAAGTGCTCTGCGCGTGAAGATGCCAGTAGCTCTCGGCGATCTGCAATGCAAAACGTTACTGTGCATCCATTATCGACTCTCGAGGGCATTCACTCACCGCATCAGGATCTAGCTTTGCATCCCAAGCCGAAAATAGTTTTAACAATCTCGTCAACGGCATTCGAATGACTCCATCGATGATGACATGGGCAACGTGCACCCCTTGCGGTTCAAATTCGCGAGACAGAGTCTGCGACAGTGCTCTCAGCGCATGTTTAGAGACGGTGAATGGCTGCATCCAAGCGTTCGCTTTTACGGAGGCCGTTGCGCCCGTAAAAATTAGTGTGGGCACAAATTCTGTACTCCCTGTGGAAGATAGCAGAAGAGGCAGAGCGGCTTGAGCAAAAATGAATGCCCCGGTCCTTTGTGGTTTTTGTTGGTGAGCGGCTTCGCGTGGTTGTCTCACTGTGTTACTCACAAACTGATGTCAAGGCCATAAGCCAGGTCATCCTGAGACTGCCATAGGAACGGCTTGGGAAATGGACGACTGCTAGCATTGAAGATTGCGGCCGCACATTTGGTTCCAAACTTCTCCTTGATCGCGTCAAAGGCGAGGTTCATGCTCTCTTCATCCGAGACATTGGCCTGGAAGCTGGCAGCGATCCCTCCATCAGCCTCGATTTGCGAGACCAGCCCGCTCGCAAACTTGGGCGACCTTGCCAAAAGTGCAACGGGATACTGTTTTGCGAATCGTTTGGCGACGGCAGCGCCGGTTCCTGCACCTGTTGCAGGTCAAACTTGTAAGCCCAAGACCGTGGAAATGCTGGGCATTTGTTCATCCTTACCAACCCCTGCAATAATAGCGAACGGTTGTTGATCCATCTGCAATTGTTGATCAGATAACGGCAACATGAACAAAGACCATCCTCGTGGAACAATACTTTACTTATTGAGATTGGCTGGAGGGATCAGCATCAGAAGGGCCGAGGAGCTGATGAGTAATCTGCCCGACCATCCGGTTACAATGTCGCCGTTGGTGATCAGATAAGCAATGAGAGGAAAACTGATTAACACGTAGTGTTGCATTGCGACTGCATCGGGATAAAGCCAAACCACTAAGCAAGCCACACATGGCCTTCTTGCCGAGGCAATGTAACGCTTCAACGTTTCGTTAGCAATTCTTGTGCACCCAAGGCAGCTGTAGTTTTATTCATACCTGTTGTATTTACGCAAGTTTTCTTCTGTCAAATGCCGCTCTGGTAGATGAGTGATTGCTCATCATAGTACATAGCAAACCAATTCACTGTCAGACTAATTGGCGGAGACGGAACTCCTTCACATTCAACACATTATCATGGCATCTGCTTTCGTACTCATCTTGGCAACCGGTAAGTCGTACCTGGAGCAGCATGGTTCGAAGGCTCACCACCCATTGATGCAGGCTCCCCGGACGTTGACACAAAAATTGCTCTAAAATTCGCTCCCCAATACCCGCTCGCATTCATTTGCGATACAAAAGATGATCTAAAACAGACTGTCAAAGCGGTCCAGGATGCAGGCGGAGAGATGTTACTCTTCGAAGCCGATCTCTCTACAAACGACTACCTCCCAGAATCCATCGCCTCCGTAACCAAGAGCTTTGGGAAAAGATGCGCTGCCGCAATATTTCAATTGCGCACCAGGCTGAGACTATCACTTCCCTTCCTGGAGCAATCTACATCTCATATTCGCGAGACGGCCGTGTCGCCCATTGCCGGTGCCTACGCGTTTGCTCAACAAGCAGTTCCGTTGCTCTTCAATCACGCTGACCGCGCAGGGTATCCTCCGACTTTGATATTCAGCGGATCGTCGGGGACTTCGAACTCTGATAGAATTGCCGACAACGCTCTGGTTGCTTTATCCAGGAGCCTAGGAAGAGAATTTGGAAAGAAAGGCATTCATGTTAGCCACGTCAAATTTAACAAGAGTCGCGAAACATCTTTAGGTACAGACCAAAGGACAGAGGATACCAAAGCAACATCAGTGAGTTGCTCTCAATAAAAAGATGCTTATATTCTGTTTGCTAATACTTGTTGAAAAGATTGCTGAGACATTTTGGCATCTGCATACGCAGCCTTTGTCCTGTTTTAGTAATGAGATGACCATCTAGCTATTTTATACCACTTATTTGCCACTTCGAGAGCCCAGAAATGTGCCAGTGATACGAATGATTAGTTTATGCGTTAAGGGTGTCCATTCTAGCGAGACATGGGATACCAATGAGTTGACAAGGTTGCTGATCGCTGCTCCTAGAAGCTATGTTCCTGAGTGATTAGAATGAGACACTCGGGCAAATGCATTCAGCCTATCAATGCATACACTCTATAAAGTGAGTGGTATACGCCGATTCTTCCAGACAGGAATTGCATGGGTAGAGACATAAGATCCTGATCAATCCCAGCAGTGTAGGGTATAAGATTGTATTCAAAGATCGTACAGCGCGTGCTGGTTCAACCTGATTCACAATTTAAGCTCCAACCAGGAATTACTTTTCTTGGCCATGGCAAATCCTCTCCTACAGTCCGCGCGTATCTCGCCGTTTCTGTGGAATAATCGACGATAAACACCTGCTACTACGTGAAGAAAAGAGCTCCACAGGAAACCTGAGACGAGGAGCCCCTCGAGGGCGGTAATACACATCTATTCCATCCAGCTAGTTTGCTCCATCGCTCGTTGTCATCTTTAATTCGATACAGGCACACATTTCATTTTGACCGGTCATTACTTGGTTTTGTTGGAGGTCAAGGGAAGTAAGCAGAGAAGATGACGGCAAGTTCAACACCAATGCGACAAGTGGCAAACTGCTATGCATGAGGACGCATCGTAACATATTGAGGCGTAGAGGCTGACGTCTCTCGGGGATAGATTGCAGACGAAGAACAGTGACAATGGGCTTGTTCACTCAGCCGATTTCGAGACTTGAGCTGACCAAGTGAGCCAATATCCGGCTGCATGGAGAGACCTTCGTCTATATCCCCCTGTTGACTTTGTATTATCGCGTGGCTCCCCGTATATACGTATCCGAATGCCCTCCCTTTCTGGCCTGGTCAGTATTTATGTACAGGAGCAAGTACGGTCGAGCATTGGCTACGTCAATGTTGGTGCAATAACTGGCCAAACAGAAATTTGCAAGCCACATATGCCAGTCTTTTAGCCAGGTGAACTGCAAGCTATGACCGATTACTCGATCTACTTCTCTTTTGCGCAGTTCCATCAGAGCCACTATATTCATGAGTTTACGTCGCGCGTAGGTAATTTCACTGGGAGATCAATATACGTAGAGTGCCGGAGATGGAGATAGCACCGTCCTAGGCGTGGGGCGAATTATTCACATGAAGGTGTGATCCTGCGGTGGCGTAGTTAGTCATGACAGGCGGGAAAGTCACAAGAAGTCAATATGCATACCGACAAAGCACGACGGCCCTGGGAAGTGCGCTGGTTCTACGTCCGTCATGGAAACTAGCACAGGGGATCTTCATCATCTCATGTCCGAGTACGTCGATTTTCCTAGTGAGAGGCTATGGAAGGTGTATGTCTTCGCTTGAAAATGATGATTGGACATCGCTTAGCCCGCGTGGCGTAAGGCATCAATGACTACACGAGGGCTACTCACTCAAATAGATCACACTACCTTGGAAGCTGCGAGCTGGAAACCGAGGAGCTACTAAACTCAAAAGTTTTATTTAGGCTAGTTCGCCAGGAGTAACACAGCGTAGTGGCGCCAGCCAAAACTCTACCAGTGCTCTAGTAGCCTTTGATGACAAGCATATTGCTTAACCTTGAAAACAAAATCAAGTCAGAACTTCAAAATGGCGACTCTATGATATCCAAAAGTGCTTCATAATCTCATGTAGATGCAAGCCGAAAGGGGAGAGGGTCAAACCGTCGCATCCACGTAAGCCGGAAAAGGGAACCGGACAAGATGAACCCATTCTGGTAAAGACTGGAGCTCTAGCAGGTCTTTTGGAAGCAAAATGTCTCCGAAATAAGTGTCTTCTCGAAGCTCGTCCAAGTATTCGGTCCGTCGGTAGGGCCAAGTTAGTAGATTCGTGGTTGCAGGGGGCAAGATACGAAGATGGATATGTATTTCTAGTTTTTCGACAGTTCCTGGACTCAAGTCGGAGGGCTCTTTGGCATGCATTGGCATGGCACTAGGCTCCCAATTCGCCTAGAAAGTGTGCCGAGGCGTCTTGGCTACAAGACTACCCTTCCCACATTTGAAGACGTGATGCCTGTTCAAGCTTCTGGTTAAGCTTTCAGTTTAACAGGCAGTAGACCGTCCAAAGTCAGGTTAAGAGTTCTTAGGCAAACAAAAACAAAATTATATAAGACGCTCGAGTCATCACCTCCAGAATGCTCACTAGCGCTTTCGGCTCTTGCTATTCCCTTTCACGAATCCGGATCGGTTGGCCAACATATTCAGCGACTTCTGGGCACATCAAGACAACATTACTACAATATGCGACCTATGGTTTTTGCTGGCCTCGTGGGCACGATACTTGCCATCGAGAGCCCGGAGGAATGTGCCGACAGATGCACTCTCGCGTGGTACGAGTGCAAGGGTATACACGGGGGACGTTGGCCCTGCGACGGGGCGTATAGTGTCTGCTTGGGTTTTAATCCTTTCACAAGGGGCTACGATGTGCCAATTGCTTGCAGGGGCAAAAACAAGCCCTTCGACCCGTATGCTCCGCCTCCCCCTTCGCCTCCTCCGCCTCCGACTCCGACGGTTGCTACGGATGTTCATACACAGGAGTGTCTCTGGGCGTACAAAAAGTGCGCCAACAAACCCGATGCCAACAAGTCCACATGTCGTGAAAAATACCACGCCTGCCTGAAGCACAAAAGTCTCAAAGCAATGATTGAGAAGAGGATGATGGTGGACTCTGAGACCACGGAGCCTTCCATCACAGAGCCCCCTTCTCCCTGCGCTACTGATGATTTGGAATGCTTGGGGCACCGTATTTCTTCCAGTACCACGGAAAATCTTGGGAAAACGATGACGACGGACTCCGAGACCACGGAGCCTCCTATTACCAAGACGTCTTCTGCCTGCGCTACTGACGATGTGGAATGCTCCGAGCACAATCCTGCTCCTACTACCACAAAGGATCTCTGGGAAACGACGACAACGGACTCTGAGACCGTGGAGCCTTCCGTCACATCCGTCCCATCCGTCCCAAAGGGCCCTTCTCCCTGCGCTGGACGCTGCTTGCTGGACTACTACAGCTGCTTGCTGGTGCCCGACTTCAACCACTGCCCGACGATGCTCCTTCAATGCCTTGGCTACAACCCGTTCTACAGTGGCAAGCTGAACCTTCCTATTGCTACCTGTGCCAATGAGCCGACATCTACTTCCACTACTCGCACTCCAACTCCCACACCGACCCTCGTTCAGGACAAGTGTGTCAAAGAATGTACTGACATATTGAACGCATGCAAGCGCTTGCCCAACTCCCACGAAGCAGTTTGTGGTCTTCATTTCATGAAGTGTGTCGGATACAACTATTTCAAGGAAGGCTTAAAGTTTCCTACCACCTGCAGAACGCCCACGTCTACCCCTATCCCTACCTCTACCGCTACCTCTACCGCTACCTCTGCCCCTACCTCTACCCCTACCGCCGATCTCTGCGCTCAGAATTGCCTCGACGAGTGGAAAAGCTGCAAGAAGAGCACAAGAAAGGCCCGAGCCCACTGCAAGTCTACCATGACTGAATGTCTAGGCTACAACCCCTTCAAGAAGGACCACAAGAAACCTACTGCTTGCCAGCGATCAGATGCTCCGTCTCCGACCGCCCAACCTACCCAAGCTGTCCGCTCCAAAAGCTGTACCGATGAATGGCAGGCCTGTCGTTCTCGCCCAGGGGCGGACCAGTCTCTTTGCTCTTTCAACTTTGCAAATTGTCTCGGATACGCTCCATTCTCGAACTCGACAAATTCGACTTTGCCGGTTTCGCGCTCCAGTCCTATACCCGCGAATATAACAACCACGGCCCCCTTCCCCTTTACCAACTTGACCACGGCCGTGTCGACAACAACTGCCGTCACCGAGTTCCCTATGTCTACATCGTTCAGTTCTTCGTCTCAGACTCATGTTGGCACCATCTTGGTGCCAACCACTACCATGATGGTGCCAACTACGACCACAAATTTAACGGCTACCGTGACTGCAGCCGCGGGTCATCTCGAGCCGGCGACGATGCTCCTGCTTGTTCTTGCTGTTGCTTTGCTGTAGCGTGTAGGTCCTAGGTAACTGATGAGAGATTGCTAATATTTGCGGCAAAAAAGTTTCCCATCACTTAGCTGCAGCATCAACTAGCTGAACTGCATTCTCAATTCAAATTTCTTAATAAAATCTTTAATAAAATCTTTGTTATCGTGTGATACAATCTGTGCTGATGATATGTTTGAGGTAAGTGACGTTTGGCTCTTGGCTCAAGCTGTGATGCCTGAGCTGCTGCAAGTTGATTGGTTCACCAGCGATGAAATCCACCCGGCTTTGGCCTGGAGACCCCGCAATTCCCCCCCATTCTCATTCTGGGCAGCTCCTTCCTTGCACCGCGGAAGCACATGCAGCTTGGCACCACGATGAAGTGAACATTGAAGCGCCAGCTGGCGTGAGGCGGCAAAATCCCCGACTTTGCCTCACCCTGACAGTCCATACTCCCAGCCCAACTCTCCTGCATTCAGCATCCGTCCCGTCCTGCAACATCCAACGGAGGCATACTGCGCATTGGGCTCCGCCATGCAAGCCAATGTCGTTGCTCGGCGCACCCAGTTTTCCAGTTGTGACGAGTGCCGTCGATCCAGAGTGGGTTGCGACGCTCTGAGCCGTAGCAATGAGACTGGCGACTCGGCTGCTTCTTGCACCCGGTGCTTGAATCGCAACCAGCAATGTACTTTCAAGGTATGCATGCTTCCTTTCTTCTTCTTTTGTACAGCGACTCCGTGATCACAAGGCCAGCTAACTCGCGCGTAGTGGATGAAAGAGAAGGGCGCCGAGCCAAAGCGCGCACCATTGGGCCGACGCAAGCTTCGCCGGCAATCCGAGATATCTAGTTGTGGTGGCCCGAAGGACCTTAATGACAGACAGGATGACCGAATGGCCTCGTCTCCTCGTGATCCTTGGGACCCCACCAAGCCTAGGCAGACCACTGTCTCTTCACCGGCAGCTACAGATTCGACAACCGGTTCGGTTTCGGACTTGCTGAGCCCGCTGGAGAATACCTGGCTTCAGGTTCTTTACTGCGATGGTTTTGACGCAGTTTTCGGGTCTTGGATGGGCAGGGACGGCTGTCCATTCCTGTATGCTTCTTCCTGCCTTCCCGGCATTTCGTAATTTCTGCTAATTCTCCAACTATAGCTTCGCCGAACACAGCCTGGCAGGGAAGCATGTCAACATTGCCGAGGTTTGTGGTCGGCTCGACCGGTGGGTAGCTGAGAACTCTGATGATGAGAGGAATAACCCTCTCCGCGCTCCAGTCCGTGAACCTCGCATAAAAGACAGATTGATTGATCAGTCAATGCGAAGCACGATTGCTGCTTTTTCAGCCCGATGGCTCTACGTTACCGTCAAGGGCGCTGGGTCAGAACAACACCACCAAAACATTGTGCTTGCCCTTTGGAGAACTGCCCGGCGAGATATGCTTCGAGTCATTAATCGACCGTCGTATCGGTCTATGCTTTCGTTGTTTTTGTTCGCCTTGACACCGATTCCCACTGGCATATCAGAGGAGGAGGAGATTGATGGCATTTCGGGGCAAGCGTGCGTGCATGCGGCCTTGCAACAGATACAAACCCTGCGAGCGAGACAGCGAAACTTACAATTCAGTGGATCAAAAGTGTCACCGTCCACAGTCAAGTCAAAATCCGTCGTAGCTAACCCCGATGCCATCGGCAGCTCAGACTTTATTGCCGCAGAGAGTATTGCTTACTGGGCAGCTTTAACATTCGATACTTCAGCATCTTTAACTCTCAACTGTCGCCCCTTGTTGTCTTCTGGTCTGTTCGGATTCGAGGCTGAGCTTCCTTGGCGGCTGATACGAACTGGCGCGAAAATGTTTTATGAAATGACAAAGACTTGGCGCGCTGATGGAGTCATCGACATGACAGATGAGCGAGCAAACCAAATTATTGCCAGCGGAAGTGCATGGAAACTCCTTGCGTGGAAGTTGACATCAGTCTTCAAAGAGGCTCTGCGCGACGGACATAATGAATCAGAAGTCAGTAGAGCGTTCGGCTTTGTCACTGGCGCAATTCAACAATTTGACGACGTCTTCCGACGACCTTTAGAGGCGTGTCAAAGGCGAATGCACTTTCTCGGACAACAAACAAAACTTCGCTGGTGTATGTGATGTGCAGCGTGCTGTGACGTATGTTGAGCTCTTTGCTAACCTTTATTCTAGACTCCTTAATGTTGCATTACCATCTTAGCATACTGATGTTCATCGACATCATTGAAGCCACTGAACGATACGACTTGTTGGCCAGCGTGACTGAGACCAACGCCGACGCAGAAAACGCTGTTATGAATGCCCTGGTTTTTGGGCTTCAAAACTCTTTTACCATGACTGTTGCATCACCTTCCACTCAACAAGATGCCGAGGACGCGTTCGAGGCATCTTTCACTGTACCCATCATATCTATCGATCCATACCCGCATCACGTCGTTGCTAGTGTCCAGCTTATACGGAAAGCTATTGACAGGGACTTGAGACAAGGCAAGATTACTGATGAATCGCATGCAAGTCTTCGATCTACACTGGAAGCGGCGCTAAGCCATCTTCCCCAAAGTTCCAAGTCCGTGCAGGCAGCACGGAACCGATCTTCTGAGATGGGAACGACGGATGCGATATTGTCGCGTCAAGATCCGTATGTAGTCTTGCAAGCACAGTTCGCGGAATAGCACATACTCAAGGTTGATTTACCAGATGATTCCATTGGCCTTTCAGCTTCATGGGCATTTTGCCAGTCGAGGCTCGTGGTCAGACCGTACCACCCGGTGCCTCTAGGCCTCCACCTTTTATCCGATCTATTAGATGCATTTCTTGACAAAAGGTACTAGAAAGCAACGTCCTCCATTTGGCTGCTGCGTCGACTAGGATCGATAGTGGCAACAAGTAAACGGCACTAATTACCTGACCAAGTAGACCCCAAGCTCCGACGCATTGCAACACAAAGCCATGTGGTAAAGTCGGACTATTGGACCGCACCGACGCGGGGTCCCTGTTTTGAAAGGTAATAGGTCTGTCTAGCTTACAATCTCTCATTTTGACTCCCAGGAATGGATGAATGATTGCTGCGGCCCCGGTCCACCTGCCAGATCGATGTCAAACTCCCTCCCCACATCGGATCCGATCACGGTGCTGCTGGGCTGGCGAAACTCAATTCCCAAGAGTTAGATTGAGAAGCAACGTTGAGTTTCTTTCAAATTATCCTTGAGATCTTACTTGTTTCTCTAATTTGCAATTTTCCCATCCTTCCATTGAACGATAGATTGGCTAAAATGCATGCGACAATAGCACGACTGGTGAGGTCATCAGTGACTGTTCTTGGAGCAGGTTCACAAGGTAGACGCCTGGCTTACATGGTACGTGATAGGCCTACGTTGATGAAAGGTGGCTCATCTTTAATGGCCTTTTCTAGTGGTCAAGCAGAGGCAACGATGTCCACTTGATTGATGGGAAACCAAGTCAACTCCAGGCGAGCGTTGAGAATGTCAATCAACTACGATCTCAACTTGATCCAAATGGCAACTTTGGCAAAGTGCGTGCACATTCGCCAGATTTCATGAGAGCTGCCCTGAGTGAATCATGGCTGGTGGTCGAGGTACGTTGCGCCATGAATACAGTGATGCGATTAGCTGTTAAGACTGTCGCAGTGCATTCCCGAACGCTTGCGCCTGAAGCAGGAGGTCATGACCCAACTTGATGACTTGGCGCCAGAAAACACAATCATTGCATCTAATTCTAGCAGCTACCCTTGTTCTGAAATTGTCTCTGGGCTATCTCTGAAGAATGCGAAACGAGTTTTGAGCGCCCATACCTGTACGTCCGCCGTCAATCCGTTTGTTTTTATATATGCTGACTGTTCTTTGTGTAGACTGGCCACCGGAAACCACAGGTAACTGGACATTATTTCTCAAGTATTGGGTTAAAGTCTTTAACAGAGAATAGTCATTGAGATCATGGGGCACGAATCGACTGATCCATCTCTGATTCGGACCATGATGGAGCGATGCGCTGCACATGGATTTTCGCCGTTTCATGTGAGAAGCTCATCGATTGGATACATTTACAATAGGCAAGTCATTCATGTGCGCGGTGGGCGTCAACGCGATATGGAGTCTTCTAATACTGCATAGAATATGGGCTGCCATCAAACGAGAAGCACTCCTAACAGCAGCGGAGGGCGCGGGTACACCAGAGGAAATTGACGCCATTTTTAGAGGCGTATTGAAGACCGAAAAGGGTCCATTTGAGCTTATGGATATTGTCGGCCTCGACGTAGTGTTCGATATTGAGCAGCACTATGCTGCTGCGAGAAGAGATATCCCGGAACAGCCAAGAAGCTATTTGGCCAGTTACCTTGAGAAGGGACATCTCGGTGCGAAGAGTGGACGGGGATTCTACAGATATGACAGCTCTCCATCGATGCAGCCAGCAGGCCATCGGGAGATTGCATCTACTACAGCCGCGTGAGATAGACGCAAGCCAGAGCACACCACGTATACGGAGTACGTGTTTGGGCAATAGACAGAGGCATAGCTGAATCCGAGTTTTAGCCAACTCCAACAACTTGGACAAACTTTGACCCTGTTCCTGCGCCCGTTGCTCCCCGCGCCACCGAAGTGGAGGCGACCGCCTAATAACGAACAAGCAACTCTCGGGCTATTCACAGCGTCTTCAACGATGGCATCTTCTCCACTTCGGATCCGGTGCAGACAACTCTGAAATTCGGCTTGAGCTTATGCATATCATGATCTGCCCTGGCGCCCGGATAAAACCAGGAATCGAACGAATGGATGGAGAAAAGAAAACTTAGCCGTCGCACGATGGGCCCAGTTGGGATGGCGGTCAACCCCGCGTTTTCGAAGCCACAAAAGCTGGGGAAGTCTAGAAATAATGTGGAGAGGGGCGAAGAAAAGGGATGAGACGGGCGGTTGTCCGCCCTTCAGGTCCACTCATTGTCTTGTCTGAGGTGATTTGATGGTCATCTCCATCATGGGTGCGCCGCCAGAGTGAGCGGAGTTGTCGACGATGCCGCGAGCTGAATAAACCCGGCTTCCCTCTTCAAGGAGGAGTCGCCATCGGAGGCTCAACTGTTGTAGTACCTTGCCAGGTCCGCATTGAGCGGGGGAAATGGAGTCGTGTCTCGAGAGTTGTTTGTTGAATCTCAACATTTACTGTGCAGCCAGCGCAATGGTGTGGCTTTCCGTGGCAGGCAAAGTGTTGAATGGCACTGGGTACGTCCCTCGTGCATCACAAAGTTAAAGTTCTGACAAGGTTCCAACGTTAGTTTCTTACTTGGGTGGCATCCCTTGCCCGTATAGGCCAATTCCTCCAGCAATAATGATGCTGACCCGTTGGTGGCTGCCTACCTACTCCGTACACTTGTCTACTTGCCGTGTCTCGGTTCCGAAAGAAGACCCAGGCATTGAGACGATGGATGGGGCCTTGGTTCAAAAGTCTGTCTGGGCTCCATTCCTATGCAACACAAACACAGTATAATATATGAGCCTAGGTCCTCCCTGATTTCTAGTTCCCCATCAAAAGTGCGGATGAGGTGGAAGACGCTGTCCAATCTGCCATTCCTCACACACTCTGCTGCGCTACTTCATTGCCGCCCACAGACCTGGACGTTTCTTCTCCCGCCACCATGATGTCCCGCTCGGGCCAATCGACTGAAAAGGTCGTAATGCCGTTCAACCATGATGAATATGCTGCTGGTGACAACAAAACTGTCAGCGACACGGATGACATGGGCGTTGGAACGGTCGCAACACCACCGAATTTTGACCATGTTGATGAAAAGAAGATTCTTTGGAAGGTAACCATCTCGCGCCTCACTTCGCCCACTGCCCACAGAGGAACGGCACGCTCACGTACTGTAGATGGATATCCGGTTGATCCCCATGCTGGCGCTCCTCTACCTGCTCTCATTTCTTGACCGTAAGCGTCCTCTCACACCACACGCGGAGCTGTAACTGAGAAGCACAGGCGGAAACATTGGCAATGCAGACGTCGAAGGCCTCAGTGTCGATCTCGGCATACAACCAGACCAGTACAACTGGTGCCTCACCGTCTTCTTCTTCACCTACGCGGCGTTCGAAGTCCCCTCCAACCTGCTGCTCAAGAAGCTCCGCCCTAGTCGCTGGCTGCCCACCATCATGGTAGCATGGGGGCTCGTCATGACGCTCATGGGCCTGGTTCAAAACTACCACGGTCTCTTGATTGCGCGCATCTTTTTGGGCGTCACTGAAGCCGGCCTCTTTCCCGGCGTCGCTGTGCGTTGCGTTTCCCATCTCCCCTCAGGAATCTCTTTTGTGGAAACTAACGGGCGTAGTATTATCTGACAATGTGGTACTGCAGACACGAAATCCAGTTTCGCCAGGCGCTCTTCTTTAGCGCTGCTTCCGTGGCTGGTGCTTTCAGCGGCCTGTTGGCGTTTGCAATCAGCAAGATGAACGGCACCGCGGGGCTCGAAGGCTGGCGGTGGATCTTCATCCTCGAGGGAATTGCCACCGTTCTCGTCGCGTTTTGCGCCTTCTTCCTGATTCATGACTTTCCCGACACGGCGTCGTTTTTGACCGAGGATGAGAGGGCGTTTGTGATTCATCGCCTCAAGTATCAGGGCCAGACCATACTGGCCGGTGGCGATGCCGAGAGGCAGGGAAGAGCGCAGGTGGAGCAGGCCGAGGAGTTTGAATGGAAGTATGTCTGGCAGGCGTTCAAGGACTGGCAGATTTGGGTGAATATCCTCGTGTACTGGGGTGTAAGCTCTTCTCTCTTCTCGTTGCTTTTGCTGCAGACAACTAACTCGGGGTCGTAGATTGTCTGTCCACTCTACGGAATCAGCTTGTTTCTGCCGACGATTATCAAGAGCTTGAACTATTCCAAAACGGAAGCGCAGCTCATGACGGTCCCGATTTACATCACTGCTGCGATATTGGCCGTCATTGTTGCCTTTTGCTCCGATCGAGTCGGCAAACGGAGCCCGTTTGTGATTGGATTCATGTGCATGATGCTAGTAGGATTCACAATGTGAGTTCAACGATCTGCTGGGTGTCGAAACATTGGCATCTCGCAAGGAGAGCCGAGGGCTGACCGCTCGCAGGTGCCTTGCCTCGAGCAACCCCAAGGTCGTGTACGGCGGTGTTTTCGTCGCCGCATGTGCGATTTACCCTGCGTTCCCTGGCATCATCGCCTGGCTGTCGAACAACTTGTCCGGCAGCTACAAACGCAGTGCGGGAATGGCCTTGCAGATTGGTATCGGTAATCTCGGAGGTGTAAGTTTCTGCTCGGTGCCTGCTGCCATGACTCTTTGCTAACAGTTTTTATTTATGCAGGCCATGGCATCGAATTTTTACCGAAAGAAGGACAAGCCTCGCTACTTCCTGGGTCACGGCCTGGAAATCGGCTTCATTGTGCTGGGGATCGCTGCGGCATTTATTCTCGTCCTGGGCTATAGGCGGCTCAATCGCAAGAGGGAGAGACAGTTGGCTGAGGGGCAGGACAAGAACTACACTGCGGCTGAATTGTCGGCGCTGGGAGACAAGGCGATTACATTTAGATACATGTATTAGGTTGTCTGGATGTGTAGTTTACCTTGATCGTAATGAACCATCTGATGTAGGATCCAAATGGCTATTGAGGCCCTTTCTAACCGCTACGTATAACATGTTGCTTTGCGGGCTCGTGTCTGCGAATGGCGTGTCGTGAACCTTGCTCCTGCAAAGCGACTAGTTACAGTAGTATTATTCTAAACTCTATTTAATATAATAAAGGGATAAGTATGCAGTTTATCTGCTATAGGTCTTATGTATATAATACTAGAAATAGTATTAGGTTGTTTGTTATTTCCCTCTAAAGACAAATAATAGTACAAGTATAATACAATAGTGTCTAGTAATATAGTATTAAGTATAACCCTTACATATGAAAATATCGTATCCTTTAATTTCCGCAGACTTCAGGCGCTCCATCATCTTCCTGACTTTTCAAAGGAAGCTCTATTGTCTCTATGCCAAGCCATTCTTCCATATCATCGCTCAGAGACCGGAATACTTTCGTCACGCCCTCAAATGTATCGTGGGCCAAAACAGCCGCGCCAAATACCACATTGGTAGCCTCTAACAGGTGCTTAACCGCCCTTGCCTTGGTTCTAAACATCATTGCCTGAGGTACCTTGTCTGGCGCCTGGAGAAAATCCGGAATCCGGCAATCGGACACATGAAAAACAATATTCAGCCGCTGCAAGTTTGGGTAGCGACCTCTGGCAACTTGATTGCAAAAATGACAAATATCCCCCCAGGCTCGACTTTGAGGTCTCACCAAAACCAGCAATCTTTGAACGGATGGAGAAACTATGTCTGTGAGGCAGGTTTGGGGGCCATCTTCAACCTGTGACGGAGTTTGCCAGTGATGGCAAAACGAATGCTCATCAATATGCAGCTCCTCTAGAGCAGGAAAGGTCGCCAGATTCGGGGACGCGTACCAAGCGTTTGTGGTGATTTGCACCACGGAAGCGGCTTCATCGGAATCGTTGCCAGCACCATGATCAATGTAGTAGAGTAGGTCATGTGAATCCAAGTAGTTTAGCTCAAGGTATTTCAAGGAATTCTTTTGCGTCTCGAGCATATCCACCAGATCGCCAGGCGACACGAGCCGTGTGGTCCGAACTGCGGAGAAGAAGAGGCAGCAACATACCCATAGCTGCATCGTGAATCTTTCCAACGCCGCACAGTGTTCAATGAGTGGCCTCAAAAAGAGCTCTTGATCCTCGTCGCCAAGAAAAACCGAGTTGCAAAACCGAATGTTTCGGAGGTGCGTGGGCAATGGCTGACGTAGCAAGTTCGTCGCTCTTTCATCCATGGGCACGTCAAACACGCCCATGCCGTACAACTCCAGGGTGTGCAGTTTCGGTGCCGTCTCGAGAAGAAAACGACAGTCAAGTCTTCTATCTCCATGCGCGTAATCGCGCCAGCATGCGCGACAAGGGGACGGGACGCCTTGTATAAGTACTGAGCGTAACTCGGGGAAAATATATCTCATGCCACGCTGACCTTGTCGATTGGCAAGATGTTTGAAAAGCCCACTTGTCCACATCCCTCTTAGAGACAAGTTCTTTATTTTGTCCGTCACTGCTAGCAATACCTGCATGCCCAGGATGAGATTGCTGTCATCGTGGTACGCGTATGGAAGCAGGAAATAGTCCGGCGCTGGGCGAGACACAATCATACCTAGGGTTCGCGCCGTTTGCATCAGTGATACATCTCTCGCAACCCAGGGATCATCTAGCAGGTCCCAACGGATCGATTCAACATGTTTTGCCAGTTGTGGCTTCTCGGAAAATAAGCCGGTGAGGAACTTGACCCAACGATTCCCGCTGAGAGACAGCTGATGCCACATGAGCGGCACAGTAATAGCCCGCCAAGATTTGCAGACGAGAGAACAGTTATGCAGGGCCAGCGTGGTTTCTGGGCATTTCGGTTCCTTGGTGCAATGAAAGCACAACTGGGATAAAATCTGCATCTGAATTTCGGTCGGGAAACGTAGAAAACTCTGCAATCCAGTTAGTACATGTGGTGTCAACGGACCAGACGCTCAATGACCAATACAGACTATTTGTCGGCCAGCAGCAATACCCGAGTCTTCATCCATTTTCCGATCTGCGCTCATCTTGCAATTGTGCTCGAGTATTTTGCTCCTTTACGAATCTTCTCTGATATTCGTCGATTGGCTTGATCGCAGCGCGTAGTCTGTACTTTCACGTCAGGCAGTAAGCAAGGAGACAAAGCGAGGGGGAACCAGTTACTTTTAAACTGCCAGACACCTGCCGGAGGCTGAGGATAAGCTTTCGCTGAATGGTTATTGTCCGAAACTAAAATTTAAAACCTCAGGCGAACAAAGCCAGGGCTAAAGCTAAGAGAGCATTAACAGGGAAAGGCAAGCATAAAGAGCTGCTCAAAAGGCAAGCTAGGTGTTAGTGATTGTCACTTCAATGTAAATCTAGTAGTCTAGTCCGGGCAGCCAGCCAGAGCTAGTATATGTGGCTGCTATTAGCACTTTTTAGTATCTAAATTACATGATACCGGTATAACCTTACTAGTATCTAGCTGACGCCGTCCGACAGCTTGACCTGGACCGCCGCATCTCCCGTGTCGTGGAACTCGTCTACCGACAGACCAAATTGTGATATAGCGGTGGCGTTGGTATTCTCGTACAGGATTCTACACAGGTCACCGCGCATGATTTCATATTCACTCCTGAACCCTTTTGCTGCCGGGCTCGTTTCGGGGAAAGAAGATGACGGGCTTGCTCATGCAGTTGACAATTTTGACTCCGCCGTCGTGGACTAGGTGTTTGCGAATGTCGTCGAATGATGCCCATGTGCTTGATTAGGTCGATGCCTTGGCAGCGAATGTCAATCTGTTGGCCGCCGACGCGGAGGGTGTCCCATCGTTCGAGGATGGTGCACGCGTGGCCGAGACGATGTAGCCAAAATACAAGTGCTGGGCCGGCAATGCCCGCTCCCACGATGAGAACTCGAAGTGGTGTATCGGGTATTTGCGATGAAGGACGTAGCTGATCAACTCCAATCCGCCATTGACGTGGCATCTCTACAGAGTCTCGTGTGCCCATTCTGCAAGTATGTCGCAGCTATGTGGGCAGCCTTGTATAGCTGATTTCCAGCAAAGAACAATGTCCGAAATATGCAGCTCGTCGCTCATTCAAAAACCCTGAGAGAGCGACTACAGCGAATACAACATCAAACGGCCGTATCCCCACCGATGTGCAGATTTCCATGCCAGAGCTGTCTTTCGAGACCTCCGGAAGCCAAGAACCGGTCCAGTTATGGTTGCAGCATTCATATTTCTTGTACGCGGTCAACATGGTACACGGTACGCTGGGCAGGTTGAAATACACTCAGTTACTCACGCATCAGGTGAGCCAACGGCATTTTCGACGCTTTGAGGATAGGGATCGAGCCATCAATTTGTGAAGCCCTCTTTGGGTTCCTTTGACATGCTGGATGTGGCGGTAGCCGCCATATTGAATGACGCTCGCTGCTCATCACAGTCGCGCAGTCGCTTCACGCATTCCAAGGACACCTGACCAAATCCACTGACATGGTCTTCCATAAGTCTCAAAATGCGCGTATCACAAACACGACAACGCCACGATGAGCGAAGATGAAGCGCGTGGCTGTGCGCAGGCGGGGCTTGCAACGCTGATCGGATCATCAGGCAACAGTCAGCCCTCGTGTAAGAATCGACAGACTCCCCTCGAACAAGTACTCGCCTGCTAACATAAATTGGGGTCCAAGCAGACGCTGCCACAAATATCCTCAACGTGAACAAACCAACTCCTCCCTTGCGTTATCATGTCAGCCAACGCTCCGCCAATCATCCCATACATCCACCTCTTGTGCATGGAGGACTCATGTAGCGAAGCGTTCACAAAGGCGGCCAAGTCATATCAACTGCCTGCATCAGTCCGATTCGAGCTTCATCGCGCCGCCCTCCAGTTCGTCCCAGATACGGCCAAGTTCGACCTGGTCGTGTCCCCAGCCAACTCGTACGGACGCCTAGACGGCGGGTTCGACGATGCTATTTCCCGCGCATTCTCCCCGCGAGGCGATTACCTCGCCCTCACCCACGTCGCTCAGGCAAAGCTATACGATGAGTGGTGTGGCTTCGCGCCCCCCGGGAGCTGTACCTTGGTCCGCATCCCCGACGAGTTTCGAGACAGGTCCAAGAATGTCTGGGGCACGAGGTACATCGCCCTGTGCCCGACCATGAGGACGCCGCGGGAGGTAGAGTGGGACAGGGAGGTTGTGTACGAGAGCATCTGGAGCCTCTTGGTGGCTATCGACAAGCACAATCGGGCGCGTCCCGAGGATAGGATTTCCAGCATCCTGATGACGCCGCTGGCGACGGGAACGGGTCGCGTGAGCCCTGAGAGATGGGCGCATCAGATGTTCTTGGCCATGAAGCACTTTGTTGATGCGAAGCGGCATCCCGACAAATGGAGCAAGCTGGAGAATGTCGAGATTTTTGAGTATGCCAACGAAGTCGCGGAAACTTGGACCATGTGATGATGGAGGCAGGAAGAGGAACTAGACAAAATGTGTGGAATGTTGAGTTTCTCACGTGATCACGCGAAGGCAAACAGACTCGTGTGCGGATGAAAACGTATCCGCACTTTCTTCCATCTCCGGCCTTTTTGTTAGACCTCACAAGATTATCAGAAGTGACGTGATTTTGCTATCCTTGCCTTTGCATCTAGCCTTTCCATATAGAAAACCGATTGCCTGGGTCACGAATGATGTCTGCGTGCAGTTCAAGGCGATGACTTCTTCAGCCCTTTAAAAAGTGCTAGGAGAGTTTTGCACAACTAGAGTTGCATAATTTTTAATGATTTATAACTGAATTTAAAATGAAAGGAAATTCTCCTTGTAATACCTGCAGCATTAGCCCGACGCAAGCGCACTGATTGGTTACCGTTACCTGGTGGGGCCAAAAGAGGTGACCAGACCAGCTTAGTCAGCCCGGCTCAACACCATGAAAAGGGGACCACGATGCAAGTTAGCTAGAAAAAAGTCAACTATAAATAACATCCTTTTGAACCCGATGACTATCTCACGCGTAAGTCGGTAGGAGGAAGACCAAGAATGCCCCCAAGCAGAGTCTATTCCATCACTGCTTTTCTTTGTTCGAATTGAGTCTCTAAAAAGAGAAATATGCGTTATTGCTATATTCCTGATCGTAAGTACGGCTCTAAATGGTATCCCTCAGAACACCCTATCCTAGAGACGCCTTTTTGATTGAGAAGCCACTGGTTATCACTTCCGGTGGGTGTGGAACGTCCATATCAGTGTACTCCGTATGCAGTCATCATGCAAACTTACACATGCATGCCTGGGGCGTAATTTCCGCAAAAACAATCGCCAATCATGTTGATGTAATCATTTCGGATGTCTGTTGAGGATGGATGCCCAAGTGCGCATTCCTCCACCCAGGACAAATTGCTCACCAATACGACCATTAGTACTTCACACCCTCTCCTTGGTATTCATGAGACTTGTCATTTTGATAACTGAGGTTCTACATGCGGTAAAGGGATAGCCCCCGCCCTTAGGTTATGTAGTGTTATGTGAATGGTGTAACGGGTCAAGCCGCTTGAACGGCGGTTGCGTCTCCTGTCATCAATTCATCAGGATGTCAAGTTCATTATAGAATCTTTTCGGCGGATTATTGGAAATATACAAGACATTTTATAAGCCTTTGTTTTCTTCTTTTAGGGACTAGTTAGGTGAATCAACTCGCCAGAGGCCTTTCACAAATAGCACAAGTGTAGGAGGCGTGCTGTTGTATTGCCAGAGAATCCCACATGAGGATCGGCGTCCCAAGTTTTTAAATACCGCAATATTGCCTTTTAAAAATAACATGGTCTTGCACCAGTAGAGTACTTATGTATGAGCTGCTCGTTTAGGCTCGTATTTATCAACCACACATCAATGGAGGTGTCCTCGAGTAGGAGTTGGGCAGCAATCGTCGTTTTGGCGTCGAACCAAAAGTCTTTATTGGAGACTTATTTTAGTCTCGGGCCGTTCCTATAATACCCCGCATGGTCTTGTGTGTGTGTGTGTGTGTGCGTCGCGTCAGATATCTGGTCGTCTACGTGTCATGTAGTACATGCCCCCAACCGTTGATGGACAACGAAAGGGGGTCGAGGTCGGGCACACGGAATCTTGTTTTAGTCCTTATTACTCAACATGATATTGACGGAATAGCGTTCGGGGCTTAGCCTGCGGCTTCCATGAATGGCTATCGCAATCAGGCCCAACGGTACGCGGCTCATGTGACAGTAGCCCAACTTGGCGTCAACCTTTGCTTGCTCAAGCTTATATTCAGTTAATCCGCAGTCATTTTCACCACTAAACACTCAACACAACTTACATCGTGTGGTCCGTGTGGTGTTCTGTACACGATATGATGGCTCTTGCACGTCCTCGACTGGACAACTCCGAATATACTGTGGGATGGATTGCTGCGCTGCCGCATGAAAGGACTGCTGTTAGGGCAATGCTCGATGAGACGCATGCTTCACCACAGTACAGGCACGAAAAAGACGACAATATATACGTCTTGGGGTCTGTTCGTTGCGAAATTGGCCAACATTATGTGGTCATTGCCGGCCTCCCATCAGGCCAATGTGGGAACACTGCGGCCACGACAGCCGCGGTTCAAATGCTCTCCACCTTTCCGGCAATCAAATTTGGACTCATGGTTGGTATCGGTGGTGGCATCTGGAGCGAAAAGAATGACATCCGGCTGGGGGACGTTGTGGTTAGTAATCCGGATGGCAGCTTTGGGGGCGTGAAGCAATACGACTCTGGAAAATCTACTGTTGATGGTTTCCAACATTCTGGATGGCTCAAACCGCCACCTCGAATTCTACTCAATGCTATAACCGAGCTCCAAAGTAAACACGGCATGGAAAGGAGCATGATACCCGACATACTCCGAGACATGCACAGGAAGCACCCATTAATGCAACAGTCGCGAACAGGGCCAGGTTTCGTCCATCAAGGCACCAGCAACGACCGGCTATTTCGCTCCGACTACCATCATCAAAGAAAAGATGAAAATTGCCACGCGTGTGACAAGACGGGGGAAATAGCACGCAAAGAGCGTCCAGACTGTGATCCATTTATTCACTACGGCACCATCGCCTCAGGAGACAAGATCATCAAGGACCCACAAACTCGAGATCATCTAGCACAGGATTGTCTCTGTTTCGAAACAGAAGCTGCTGGGTTGATGAACGACTTCCCTTGTCTCGTTATCCGTGGAATCTCTGACTATTGCGACTCGCACAAGAACGATGAGTGGCAGAAGTATGCAGCAGCTACGGCGGCCGCATATGCCAAGGAGCTTCTTCTTATCATAGACCCGGCAGATGTGAATAAAGCAACAAGAGCAAGAGATGGTATGCGTCAGATCTGCACAAAGTTGTCCCAGTTTCATATTGTACACGAGATGAGTTAAGGGTACTTTTAGAAACATTCTAACATGCATGACACAATGTAGTCGCAAGAAAACTTGACCAAGTGACGCGCGCACAAGAGCAAGTAACAGAAGAAATCCGACAAGGTATGACCTATTCACATCTATCAGAAGAAGAAAAAGCGCTCTATTACTGAGCAATTATACACCCTCATATATTCCGTTGACAACATCACAATCCAATGCTAATATAACAACCTATCCTGAGCTTCTGCAGGGCAGGAGAGAAAGGACCGGGATGATATTCTCGAATGGATCACCCACATTGACTACGGTCACCAATATAGCGCCATCCTCAAGAAAAGATTGGAGGGTACAGGGCAATGGCTGCTAGACTCAACCGAATTTAAAAATTGGCTGGAAAGCAAAGGAGAGACACTATTCTGTTCCGGAATTCCGGGGGCAGGCAAGACTGTCCTCTCTGCTATTGTGATTGATCATCTATGCGGGAAGTTTGGACAGGATTCAAGCATCGGCATCGCGTGGTTGTTCTGTGAATATGATCGACATGATGAGCAAACGTTAGAGCACCTCCTTTTAAGTCTTTTAAAGCAGCTACTAAAGCAACAAACTACTTTACCAAACTGTGTTACGGAGCTCTACGAGTTGCATCAAAGGCGGACAACGCGGCCCTCGATCAATGACATTGTGAAGTTACTACAGTCTTCCACGGCCACTCTTTCCAGAATTTTTGTTATTGTTGACGCTCTCGACGAATGCCAAACTACAGGGGGATGCCAAATGGACTTCATATCTGTATTATTCACCTTCAAGGACGTGGTCAAGGCGAACATATTTGCAACGTCTCGGCATATTGACAGGATACAGAAAAGGTTTCGTGGATGTATCTCGCTAGAGGTCAAAGCAAAAGCCGAGGATATAAGAATGTATTTGAGAGGACAGAAGAGACGATTCACGCAGGGTTTGGTGAACGACGAACTCCAGGCTCGGATTGAATCAAAAGTGATCCAAGCCTCCGAAAGCATGTACGTAACCTTGCGCGATTCGGCCTGGCTGAATTATAACTTGCTAAGTGGTCTACAGGTTCTTGCTAGCGGCCTTTCACATGAATAGGCTGGTTGAATTAAAAACAAGGCAGGATATAATCAACTTTCTAGAAAGTATTCAAGAGAGCGGCCTCGACGCTGCTTACAAAAAGACGATAGAGACGATTGAGAATCAGGACCAGAACAGCGTGAGCCTTGCAAAACGGATCTTAGCCTGGACCGTTTACGCCGAAAGGTCATTTTCGATCGAGGAGCTTCGGCATGTGCTCGCAGTAAGGGCAGGCACCAAACAGTTCAACCCGGACTATATGCCATGTGCCACTGACCTCTTGTCGGTCTGCGCCGGCTTAGTTACATACAATAACCAAAGGGGATTTTTTCGTTTAGTCCATTACACAACGCTTGAGTTTTTTCGGCAGACAAGGCCAGATTGGCTGCAAGATATGCAAGCTGATCTCGCGGAAACCTGTCTTACCTATCTGTTGTATGACTGCTTCCGAGTCGGCTCCTGCAGGGCGGATCAAGTTTTCGAGGCCGAGTTCGATTTCTATAAATATGCCGCAGCAAGCTGGGCTCGTCACGCTGGCATTGACAGGTCCTCGGGGGCAAGTTTGGCGAGGAAAGAAAAGACTCAACTCCTCCTTGATGAATTCCTGGCAACTGACCCCTTGCCGCCCAGTTTTCTCTATTGGCTGTTCCGACTTAAAGAATGCATTATACACGATATCGATAACTTTCCATCAGAAGATTCTTATTGGGGAATCTCAGGCCTGGTCTTCTCTCCACTTAATTGGCTAAGCAATACGACCTTTGCAACATCTTGTCGGCGCAAGCGTTTTACGTGGAGTTCTGACAAGATGACATTCGCAGTTTTGCATGCTTTGATTACAGCATCGCTTGAAAGAGCCAGGCTAGTGTTGGCGCCTTGCCCACATCCCGAACATTGGCACAATCTCTTCAGTTCAGCATTTGAGGACCGCCCTCCTCTATGCTTGGACGACGGGGCCCTCGGCTGCAAGAAAAGCTGTACCCCTGAGGCAGTCGAGAACTTGAAACGTTGGAACAAAAAGATTTTCGAGTTTCTTTTTCAAGCCGTGGATGAAGATGGGCTTACTAAGAAGGCAGGGCGACAAAAATCTCCCCCAGAGCAAAGTCGAGATATGTTCTCTCGGGATACATGCTCTCAAGGGTTTTCTAGACGTCGGTTGCTTCACCACAAATTCTCTATAATAGAGAAGCCGGATGTTTCCTCTTTACCGACAGACCCGCATGTCGAGACCCGAGACTTTACCGAGTGGTTGCCGCTTTTCGAGAATCATGACGCGCCGCAAAGGTGTCTCGAAGAGATTGCGAATCTGACAGTCATTCTTCTCCTGAAAGCTAAAGCTGGCTTTAAAGAGTGGACAAAAGAAGAGGAGGAATTATTCCGGCGCTTACTATTGAAACCGGTACATAAATACCAAGAATACCAGTATATTCCAGTGGATTTTCTAGACCAGGACCCCGTGCTCTTAGATGTCATACATCTTGGGTGCGATGCTCTTGATTTCTTGGTTCGGAGCGGTGTGGATGTAAACGAACAGTTTAGGCGGCATCCATCAGGGACAGCATTGGTAGCTGCAGTTGTTCACGATCTCGAGAGTAAGGCACCATGTGTAGAATACCTCCTAAAGCATGGTGCAGATTCCAATCAGCAAACGAATGGGAGGGAATACGGCTCTGCTTTAATTGCAGCATGCGCACTCGGGAGGATGGATGCTCTTAATCTTTTATTACAGCAGCCCAATATCGGGGTTAATATGGAGATCAAGTTTGACTTATACGGAACTGCCCTCATTGCAGCATGCGCAAAAGGTAACATTGATGCTTTACATCTTCTATTACAACAGCCTAATGTGGAGGTCGCTATGAGGACAGAATTCGGCGAATATGGAACGGCCTTCATGCAGCATGCGCAAACGGTAGAATGGATGCTCTACATCTTCTATTACAACAGCCTTATGTGGATGTCAATATGGCGACACAATTCGGCCGCTATAGAACAGCTCTTATTGCAGCATGTTCAAATACTAGATTGGTTCTAGGTGAAAACGAGACTACGGCAACGACTGTCAAATACCTCCTTGAGAAAGGTGCGCATGTCAATCATTCAATAATTGGAGAGGCTCGTGCCAAATACGTCACAGCCCTTGCCGCTGCTGTACATGGTGGGAACCCACGGATAGTACAGATTCTTCTAAATTCTGGCGCCATAGCCGACGAGAGGGTCAAAAGTGATATGCCTAGTGACTCGTCGACGGCACGCCGTCGATGGGATTGTTTGCGGTTCCAGGTGTCCCACCCAAACACAGAAGGGACAGAACTCGTACGCACATGCATGGACAAAGAATTCATTGATCAATGCACTTTAGCAGCGCAGCAACTAAGTATGGCAATTATTTACTCTCTGTTAGAAGTGGACGCATCATGGGCAGACGAGTATATACCTCAAGCTCTCTATTATCTCTGCGCTTTCAGCAGCCGATGGATGGAGTCGCTGGACCGATTTGCAGCGGCCCAAATAACACTGCAACAATTCGGATTTGGCGGCAAAGATCTTGACGGGAAAATGCTATTATTCCTTCAAAGTGAGCTAAGCGAGAGCTTTCAAAAATGGAACCAGGTGGTAGCCCGTTTAAAAGAGCTGATATTGGAGTTTGAGGAAGGCAAAATACCTTCACCGCAGATCCAGACCGATGACTTTGACTCTGATTTCGATATGCTACCGTATTCGGATATATCAGACGAGATATCTTCAGCTCCTGAGGAAGGGTGAATGCCACCACCACGACGGACCGGGACCGATAACTTTGACTCCGATATCGATATGCTATCCCTTTAACTGCGTTAAGACGTCAGCGAAGTCTCTTACGGGGATAATGCCCCATAAGAACTAAGATTTATTTAAGTATATACATGTACACTCATTTTTTTGCAATGAGAAAAGTATTATTAATTATTCTTAATACATGACATGGTAGCGTTTTGACCCTAAATAGGTAAAGACTCAAGAGACCCGATAAGGGTAGTACTCTGGAGTAAATACGAAGGCGGCACCTTAACACAGTCAAAGGATCATAGCCTAGACGAGGGGTATACAGTAGTTTATGGTCTATCCTGAAGGCGTACAAGACAGGGATGATTATACGCAGCATAGACAGCTTCTCCGAATGCTTGCCAAAGAGTGATCACGACACGCGACGACTTAGTCGGCTTAGTCATTGTCGTCGCTTATCGCGGCGTGGCATGGGTTAGGGGTAAGCTGTCGCCCCAACAGAATGCAGCAGCAAGAACGGAAGCAGGAGCTTCGGGGCAGGGTCGAACAGCGAGCGTTGCCCCTTCCTCGCCGCAATTCGACGGGTCTCCGAGAATAGCGCCGGTGGAGCCACTCGCCCAGCCAGCTGGCAGCCAATGTGGAAAGAGAGTGCCAGGGGAGCTCCACGTTGGCAGGCGGGCGGCGACGGCCCCAATGGAAAAAAAGCAGAAGCTCTGGTCCGCCGCGTCCTGCGAAGTCGCTCCAACCAGGAAGCTCGTTTCGCCGTGCTCCGGAAAGGAAATTCCCTCGAGGCCATCTGTTGAAGCCATCGTCATCTACATCCTCCACCACCGCTAGTCCTTCTGTTGAACCAGCCCCGTGCTGATTTTATTTGTCTCTTGCTCTTGTCCGCTCCTGCTTGTCCAATTCCAATTGTGACGACTAGCATTGGCGGCTCAGAGTCAAAGCAGCTCTTGTGTGTTGCATTTGGATTTATCTCCTCCAGCCTCAACCCTCAACAAATATCCACATACAACGCAGACACCATGTCCCGTATTCTCCGACCGGCCGCCCGCCTGGCGCTCTCATCACGAGCTGCTGCCATCAAGACTCCCGCCGCTGCCGCCTTCACCCAGACCCCCCGAGCCGTAACCACTCCTGTCTTCTTCGGCGCTCAACAGAGCAGGAAATATGCGGAGGGAGCCGGCGTCAAGGAATATACTGTCCGCGAGGCTCTGAACGAGGCCCTCGCTGAGGAACTGGAGTCCAACCCCAAGGTTTTCATCCTGGGTGAGGAAGTTGCGCAGTACAATGGTGCCTACAAGGTCACCAAGGGTCTTTTGGATCGTTTCGGCGACAAACGTGTCATCGACACCCCCATCACCGAGTCCGGTTTCTGCGGACTCGCCATTGGAGCTGCTCTAAGCGGCCTGCACCCTGTTGTAAGTAACCTGCTGTTGTTCTTCATTGATCTTTGACCCAGTTTGCTATGCGCAGCTCCAGCGCGGATCGATTTTACACTATGAAATGTTGGCGTTGCTAGTGTTGATACTTGAGCTAATTCCGAATCGTGACAGTGCGAGTTCATGACCTTCAACTTCGCCATGCAGGCCATCGATCAGATCGTCAACTCTGCCGGAAAGACTCTTTACATGTCCGGCGGTATCCAGCCGTGCAACATCACCTTCCGTGGTCCCAATGGCTTTGCCGCTGGTGTTGCCGCTCAGCACTCCCAGGACTACTCCGCCTGGTATGGCAGCGTCCCTGGCCTCAAGGTTGTCTCCCCCTGGAGCGCCGAGGATGCCAAGGGTCTTCTCAAGGCTGCTATCCGCGATCCCAACCCCGTCGTCGTCCTCGAAAACGAACTCATGTACGGCCAGTCCTTCCCCATGTCCGAGGCCGCCCAGAAAGATGATTTCGTGCTGCCCTTCGGTAAGGCCAAGGTAGAGCGTGCCGGAAAGGATCTCACCATCGTCTCTCTCTCCCGGTGTGTTGGTCAGTCTCTGGTCGCCGCCGAGAACCTGAAGAAGAATTATGGCATCGAGGCTGAGGTCATCAACCTGCGTTCCGTCAAGCCTCTCGACATTGAAACCATTGTCAAGTCCGTCAAGAAGACCCACCGTCTTCTCTCCGTTGAGTCCGGCTTCCCCCACTACGGTGTTGGCGCCGAGATTCTTGCCCTGACTATGGAGTACGCTTTTGACTACCTTGATGCTCCTGCTCAGCGAGTCACTGGCGCCGACGTGCCCACTCCTTACGCCCAGAAGCTCGAGGAAATGAGCTTCCCTACTGAGAAGGTCATCGAGGATTACGCCGCCAAGCTGTTGCGAGTCTAAGAGGCTGGCTTACACAACTTTGGAAATGCATCAAGGTTGAGAAAACTGACGCGCGAGAGGCGAAGGGGCTTCTGAAGCAGCAGTGGCGTGAGGCTGAGCTGCAGCTTTGGAGCGGAACAGCAGCATTATCATAATTACGTGCTGCAGAAGAGCGCGGACAGGAATTATAGCGCGCTTTAAAAATATCTTTATTTTATAGACGGACTTGGGGAAGGGGACCTGTACTTGTAATCTGTTTCGTCATGTATACACCCTCTGCCTTGCATTCGTCTTTGCTCATCGCTGGTGAAATCGAACTGCAAATATTGTGACTAGTCCACTCGGTGATTTTCGAAATTGATTGCCTACTGTGAGCCTGGAGATAAACTACCAGAGCTGATTGCTGCTGTGAATTTGTCTCGTGTTCCGTTTGTGTTGATTGTTGATCCGCCCCCGGCCATTGCAGAAAGGAGCTTGGGCTACAATGGGAGGCAAAAAGTACCTACCCTAAGTGTACCTGCCTAGGTAGGTAGCTACCGCGCTCCATAATATAATATCAATGATACTACCAGAAAGCATATTAGTGTCTGGTATACTTTTCGTTGAGCAAATAGATTCTGCCACTGACTGTACGGAGTAGTGAGCAGAACAAGTCGGTGCGATATCAGCCCCACTTCACCCACACATGTGGGGCATGCCCAACTGGCAATGACAAGATCGAGTGTAGCCATCTTCACGAGCCAACCTCACCATCATCATAGTCAGCATGGCCGGAATCGATGCCCTCCTGCGCGAGCAGGAGGACGGAACGTCCCTGTCCGGAAACGCACAAGGCCTGGATTCAGAGGCCCTCAAGCGTCACCTGGAAGACAAATTTCTGACACCTTCACGCGAGTTCTCAAGCGAATGGCTCAATCTTTTGCAGCAACGATGGGATTTTGAAACTGAGTACACCTCCCTATTTAAACTGGCACCCACTCAGACTCGTACTGTGACGAGGTTCCAACGCCATGGGCTGGAGGGTAGAGTCACTGGCTACAAGAACGTCACACTACCTTCAAATAGTGCCACGGCCAAGAACTCAACTAGCTTGCTTCGAAAACCGGCCAACCGAGCCGACTTTGTTCGTGGAGCCGCCGGGTTCTTTCCTTTTGCTCCCGGTGGGCTTGAAGGTATTGAAGCCACAGCCGCGCTCGAGGATCAGGTTCACGCAGGAGGGATTGAAGAAGGCGCGAAAGCCAATAAGCTTGACAGGGTTATCCAACTAGGCGAAGGGGGTTTACTACAGATAGCCCCAGGTCTGGATCGAGGCATCGATTTCAGCAAGAAGAAGAATGCTCCTGATGAAGAGGCGGCCAGCGCCGTTCAGGAGGCTTTGGAAGAGGAGCCCGAAAACGCTGGGTCGGTGGATGAGACAGAAGGGGATTCCCCCGATGAGACGCCGGCAGATGCATCCGATGCAGGGGAAGATGAAGACGACATCGATGATATCCTTCCTATCGAATTCCCGGCTCTGGAGCCTCATGGTGTGCTGGCAGCATCGAGTGCCCGTAAGGCTGGCCGTGAATGGGCACACATGGTAGATATCCGACAAGGGATGCCGAACTTTCGAGAATTGGTACCTGACATGGCTAGAGAGTGGCCATTCGAGCTGGACACTTTTCAGAAGGAGGCTGTTTACCATCTCGAGAACGGCGATTCCGTCTTCGTCGCTGCCCATACATCAGCAGGCAAAACAGTTGTCGCTGAGTATGCCATTGCTTTGGCTGCGAAGCACATGACGAAAGCCATCTACACATCACCCATCAAGGCATTGAGTAACCAGAAGTTTCGAGATTTTCGACAGACGTTCGATGAGGTCGGCATTCTCACCGGTGACGTTCAGATTAATCCCGAGGCTAGCTGCCTGATTATGACGACCGAGATTCTACGAAGTATGCTTTACCGCGGAGCCGACCTGATTCGTGACGTTGAATTTGTAATTTTCGACGAAGTTCACTATGTGAATGATTTTGAGCGAGGGGTGGTTTGGGAAGAGGTCATTATTATGCTGCCAGAGCATGTTACGCTTATTCTGTTGTCGGCCACTGTTCCAAATACGTATGAATTTGCGTCATGGGTTGGCCGCACAAAGCAAAAGGACATTTATGTCATTTCGACTTCCAAACGCCCTGTTCCTCTCGAGCATTATCTCTGGGCGGGCAAGGACGTCCACAAAATCGTCGACTCAGACAAGAAGTTTATTGAAAAGGGATGGAAAGATGCACACGGAGCCGTACAGGGCAAGGAGACGCAAAGACCATCAGAGACTACAGTGGCCATGAGAGGAGGCAACTCCCGAGGCGGACAACGTGGTGGCCAACAGCGTGGAGGACCTCAACAGCGCGGTGGACGAGGAGGTGGCCAACAAAGAGGCGGAAATCAGCAAAGAGGCCGCGGAGGGCCACCTCGTGCCAGCCATGCCCCTGGCCACATGGGCCGTGGAGGTCGTGCTGGTGGCATGACTTCTGCTGCGCAAGACAAAAATCTTTGGGTACACCTCGTTCAGTTCTTGCGAAAGAAGTCTCTCCTGCCAGCTTGTATCTTTGTCTTTTCCAAGAAGAGATGTGAGCAAAATGCGGATGCTTTGAGCAATCAAGACTTCTGCACCGCCCAGGAGAAGAGTCACATTCACATGGTTATCGAAAAGTCTATTGCACGATTAAAACCCGAAGACAGACAGTTACCCCAGATTATTAGGTTGAGAGAACTGCTGAGCAGGGGCATAGCGGTGCATCACGGCGGATTACTACCAATCGTCAAGGAATTGGTGGAGATACTGTTCGCCCAGACCCTGGTGAAGGTGCTTTTTGCTACCGAGACATTTGCCATGGGTCTGAACCTGCCCACCAGAACTGTCGTCTTCTCGGGCTACAGAAAACATGATGGACACTCATTCCGCAATCTGCTCCCTGGCGAGTATACTCAAATGGCCGGTCGAGCCGGTCGCCGTGGTCTGGACACGGTTGGATCAGTCATCATTGTTCCACCAGGGAGTGCTGACGACGTACCGCCTGCCGCTGAGCTCCGCAACATGATACTGGGAGAGCCGTCTAAGCTACGGTCTCAGTTCCGTCTTACCTACAACATGATCCTCAACTTGCTCCGGGTCGAAGCGTTAAAGATTGAGGAGATGATTAAGCGCAGCTTCTCAGAGCACGCCACTCAGGCACTGCTTCCTGAACACGAAAAGGATGTCAAGCTCGCACAAGCTGATCTGGCCAAGGTCAAGAGAGAGTCCTGCAAGATTTGTGACACCGCTATGGACGAATGTCACCAGGCTGCCCAAGACTTTAAGCAGCTTACTCTTGAACTGTATAAAGGTCTCCTCCGAATCACATTTGGGCGTAGAATGTTTAGTCAACAGCGTCTCATTGTATTTAACTGGGAGGGTGTTCGGACAGTTGGCATCTTGCTGTCAGAAGGCATGAGTCCGAAGGGTACCCTGGATGACCCTATCCTTCATGTCTGCGCTATCAAACCACTGAGGGAAAGACGAGATGCAACAGACCAATTACCCTTCATCCCTGCTTTCCGCAGATACTTGCACAAACTGCCTCAGGGCAAGAGGCGCTTGCAGATTAAGACTCTGCACGTGCCACTGAGCGATGTGGAGTGCTTGACCAAATGGGTTCTCAAGGGCACAATTCCAGAAATCTTCAAGGGTGGTGAAGCTGGTCAACAAGCCATGGAGAAACTACAGGATATTTGTTCCGGTTGGGACGCCCGATGGGATGAAGTGGATATGGGCAAGATCAAAAGCATGCAGTTGCAGGAGATTGTCGAGAAGAGAGTGCAGTTGGTTAAGGCGATTTCCATATCCCCGGTCATAAAATGCCAGGCGTTCCTGAAACACGTGAGCATATTCCGTTTTATTGAAGAGCAAAAGACCCTCTGACTAACGATTTGCAGTTCGCCATGTGCCACGACGAATGGCTCATCAAAGAGCACATCTCCCAGCTCAAGCAGTCCCTCTCGGACCAAAATCTCCAACTCCTGCCCGATTACGAGCAGCGCGTCCAAGTTCTCAAAGAGCTCGACTTCATCGACGATGCCACGCGAATCCAGCTTAAGGGCAAAGTAGCATGCGAAGTCCACTCGGGCGACGAACTCGTCCTCACCGAACTCATCCTCGACAACGTCCTCGCCGATTTCGAGCCCGCTGAAATCGCCGCCCTCCTATCCTCCTTTGTGTTCCAGGAGAAGACTACAGTCGAACCCACATTGACAGGCAACTTGGAGCGCGGACGGGACACCATTATTGCGATTTCCGAAAAAGTCAACGACGTACAGACCAGGTTGCAGGTGATTCAGTCAGCGGACGACTCGAATGACTTTGTGTCACGACCAAGATTCGGCCTCATGGAAGTGGTGTACGAGTGGGCAAGGGGGATGAGTTTCAAGAACATTACAGGCCTGACGGATATACTTGAGGGCACTATAGTGCGCACCATTACGAGATTGGACGAGACATGTAGGGAGGTGAAGAATGCGGCGAGGATAGTGGGTGACCCCGAGTTGTATCAAAAGATGCAAGAGGCGCAGGAGCTGATCAAGAGGGATATCACCGCCGTGGCGAGCTTGTACATGTAGTTGGGACCGGATATCCAAGACGTGGCGCACGGCCCGCCGCGGTCTCTATATGGTTATGGGATTAGCAGGGGATCCCAACCCAGCTTGTTGCGCAATGGAAGTAAGGAAATAGACGTGGCAAAGCACGCTATGCACAGCAATAGAGTTGTAAAAGGTGAAATTCACATCCATTCTAATGTAAACACAGGCCCCTGAAACGCCTAGCAATGACTTTATCCCACGAAAGAATGTGATGCGATGAGAAAGAATACACGGATAAAATAACGTGTTCCATCCGAAAACACCCAAGAACACCCGCCCAGTCGATCCCTTCGCATGGAAAAAAACACAAAAAAGTGAAACAAAAACCTTTGGCATTAGGCCCGCAAGGCCCTCAGCCTCTGCTGCAGTTTATCCTCGTCCTCGGGCGTGACCTCGGTCGCCGGCTCAGCCTCAGCGGGCGTCGCCTCATTCAGCTGCTGGTTGAGCTCGATGCCCGCATCGTCAGCCAGCTTGCCGAGGAGTTCGTGGACCGCGTCCTCGGGCACCTGCGCCGAGGTGGACTGCGCAAAAGCGTCCTGGTAGATGTTGTTCGTCATGGCGTATTCTTCGTTTTGTTCCTTGAAGTTTTCGAGGACGCCGAGGCTCTGGTACACATTCGTTAGCGTCTTTTTTTTGTCGTAGGGATCGCCGGGGGAGGGTGCTTTCATTACCTTTGCAGGGGTGGCATTCTTCTGCGCGGCAGTCATCACCTTGGATGACTGGGCCATCATGTGCGTCATGCGGTTCATGGCATTGTTGGCCTGGATCTGGGTGGCGCTCAGCTCCGCCATGTCGGCGACCTGGTCCATTTGCGAGGCGAGCGCCTGCTTGCTGAGGAGCATCTTGGCCTTTTGGTAGGCCTTTTGGGTCTCGCCCTTTTTGAGGAGCTCCTGGATCTGCTTCTTGAGGATGGGGTCTTGCTTGGCGGCTTTTTGGGCCTCGCGCCGCGCTTGCTTGGCTTGGAAGCGCGCTTGGAACTCGACTTGCATGTCGCGGGCGAGTTGGCGGTTCGACATGGTTGCTTTGGAGACGGGTGTGTTTCTTCCGAGTCTGAGATGAAGACGGATTTTCGGGTTTGAAGTCGAGAGGCGGGTGGTTTGGTGATGGTGGTGTTCGGGGCTGCCTGTCGGATTGGCCGTCATGTGAGTGGCATGAGGACTTGGAGAGTGCGGGGCGCCACGAGGTGACGCAACAATTGGCACCGCCACGGATGTCAAGCCACATTCAAGCCTCATTTGGTGGTTGCCGTGGTACTTCGGTTCTGGCAGTTGATGGGCGTCTGCTGTGTTACCTGACCATCGCGGGGTTTGTGATGGAACGTTGGGGCGGCTCAGTTGACAGGATTTGTAGGGATCGATGCCATGCATTTTCAATCTTGGGTGAAATTGAATTGTCATGTCCGTCGTGGCAACTCCATCTTGTCCCTGTTGACTGTGTGACGGATTCATGGGCACTCGTGCCAATGCTAGGGAAATACCATGAACTGATTGTGTTGGATAAAATGTTTGCCAGGATTTCAAGGAAAATAGTCTGGAACCCCTTATTCCATTTTGATGATATATAAACCGGAGTTTAAACTGTTGAATTAATCACCAAGCCGCCGTAATGAAGCTACCCGGGAGCTTCCTCGATTAGAATCGGTGGATGAAGTTTGGAGGGAGAACCAAAACCGGGCATAACAACGATCAAGCAAGAAACGGATATAAGGGACTCGCACATTTGAAAGAGTCTGGTCTTGCAGCCACCCGGCCACTGCCGTAGTAGCAATGATACAGAGCAAGGTGTAGTGGAAATCTCAAATAATTCCGGGTCACGTGCATAATTAATGTCATCACTGATGAACTGGTCAGCAAAACACCCTGGCCCCTGTATAGACTCGCCTCATAATTGAAAACTTCAAATAGCTTGTGAAATTACAACGCGGTTCAATATTGAAGTCAAAGCGCATCTGCTGGGGCAAGAGTGTTGTCGTGGCGTGACCAGTTTCTCAGGGTTGGGGGCGGATTCAAAGCCACCTCACCTCAGCCATGCATGGTCCATGACTCCATGGACACCAAGCTGCGAACCACTCAGAAATGATCGCCATCTAATCTTCAGCCGTACATCAACACCCAGACCACGCTTTGCACCCCTACCAATGGCTTCCAAACTCACGATGAACGTTCAGAGCTTCCCACGGCCGCCCCGACTGGAGAAAATATCTCGACATCTACTGGTCGTGTACAAGGGGCAAACGATTGCTGAGACCAAAGAGGCGTTTTGGGCTTTGGAGACTCACCATCCGCCAAGTATGTCGCACTTCTGAGCTCGCCATCGCATCCCCCTTTTCGTTTGCTTTGCTCCCATGATCCCTGTATTTGAGCCGAGTATTTTTGGAAGAGCGATTCCATGTCCCAGATTTTGGTTTTGAAGGCCTTACTTTGAGGTCTACTTCCTGCCAGCCATTGACAAACGTGGAACAGCTTACTATCTCCCACCGTCATCTGTTCGGATTCCCCTGGCTACGACTGCGAAGAAGACATTCTGCGAATGGAAAGGATTTGCAACCTACTACATGGCCCAACTCAGCGATGGTAAAACCGTCTGCAACCGGATATGGTCGTATGACCAACCCGCCTCGCCATTTGAACCCATTCAGGGATATCTATCCTTTTACGCCGAGCCTTGGGAGTGTTTTGTCGACGGCGAGAAAGTCGAGCCGCAGCCTGGAGACTTTTATGGCGGATGGGTGACTTCCGAGATTGAAGGCATCGTTAAGGGTCGGTCTGGTAATCTGGACCCAATAGTTTGAAGTCGTACGGAGTAATGACGCCGGTGATTCAGCCAATGGCAAATTTCAGCTGTAAGACATGCCATCTGCGGCCTGTGTATTTTATTAGAAATAGCCGCAAGACGGCTTTCTTGGTTTCAAGAAAATTTCTTCTTGTCGAAATGGCAATGGGTCACAGAGGCATGAGTGCAACAGCTCGGTGGTCTGCCATCCTGCCAGCCATGAGGGGTCCGAACGCAAGCCTCCCTTCTCCAAGAGAATGATAGATCGAATACTGCTTTTCTGCAGTATATTCATTGTCAAGAGTTCGATCGAGAGCGTTTTCCAGGCTGTCGCTAGTGGCAGCTAGTGCAACGGAGGCCTTGTCCGCCGCGCCGCAAAGTCTGGTTAAATGAAGCGGCTAGGATTTTCCCGACAAAACTATGATACGTGATTGCGGCAAAGCACCTGACGATGAAGCCTCGCTCAGTATGGACAACTCAGCCGCCTTTTCGCATGGGACTCGGACCCTGTGGCGTACTCTGGAGGACCAGCATTGACGGAGCCAAAAGGGAGTGTGAAGCGGCGGCAAAGTGAGAAAAGTGTGAAATGCGACTCCTCAACGTTCCAGAGTTGCGAATAAGAGCGATTGGCATGCACCAGGCAGTACGGAGTACGGAGTACGTACATGTATGTACTTACCCTACCTCGGGTAACCGTTGTAGGTAAGCACGGATGATGCATCGAGTTGCTCCTTCTGTCTCGGTGAGCCAGTGGCTCTTGGACTCGCACACGACATGGCCCGACTCGCTGTGCTGTCCGACATGTCTCTGCGACGCTGCTCTCCATGTCTCGAACCGTTATGCGACACACGCACATCGACCCGTCGATATCTCGGCAGGTCGCAGGCGATCTGACCACAAAGATTGGCTCAGGCTCCTTGGCTGTCCTGTCAACTCGTATCGACGTGGAGGCGCTCCCGCACAGGCTCCCGAGCTTCCACCCACTCATGACCGGCTCCAGCAGACATTTAACGTCGATTCGCTACGAGTTTGTAATTTCTCCTCCATCACACGCATGCAGCGGTGCCTGCCCGGCATGGCAGGAAACCCGACATTCGCTACTCATCGGACGGCCCAGAAGCGGTACCAGCGGCACCATCGGAGCACACACGACACAGCCAACCCCTGTGGGATAGATGACAATGCAACCACACCCTGCACCACCGCTTCAAGGGGGGCAGCACACAGGCAGACAGACACTGGAATTCACCGTCGGCCTTGAACAGAACGCACTGGACATGTGGCTGCACTCACGCCAAAGTTGTAGATCCTGAGCCGCGAGACAGGGGTGCCCATGCCGGTAGATAGTCCGCCCAGACGAGCCGACAAGGGCGACATGGCCGGCCTGATGCCCTATCAGTGGAATTGAGCTGGTGCAACTGAGCAGCTTCGGCTAGATTCCGCCATCTCCTTCAATCCACAGTTCAAGACCAAGAGCTTCGTTCGTGGGGGCCGTCACTGTGTATGTGGATGAAGTCATTTGCCATCTGACGGTTTTCTGGGCTCTGGCTCCCGCGGTTGGCCTCGAATTGTTGGACCGCTGGCTTTTTTTTTTAAACTGTCATGGAGTAACACAGTAGTTATGAGCTCGCCGCTTCATGGCTACCGCTGTCGCCCGTCAGGTGACAGTAACACGAATGAAACCCAGTCCAGTGTGTGTTACAATTTTAAACGCCGTGTCCATCGGCCGCAGATAAACTCTCGTCTCCCTACGTTTTAACGTAGCACGACCTGCACGTCTCCGTTTCCTTTTTAGCATTTTCCCCCTTCCAACATTCCCTGATCGCCTTTGTCATTGCCTTATTTTCCTACGTTGAATTCTAGGCGGCCTATCGCCAAGAGCGCCATCTTCTCTCGAGGATTTAGCATACATGTCCCGAATATAGTCGAATGAAACCGAGTCCGACTTAGTACGACCTGATCTCGGCGGCGCTAAAAGCGCCTGACTCCCTCTGTGCGAAGCTCATGAGGTACAATTCCAGCTGTTGGATTCGGAATGGAATTCACAACTTCACTATTAATTGAATCATGGATTCTCTACACACTAGGCGTAGCAATAGTGCTCTGCCGTCTGACGTCGAGGAGAATTAAACTTGGGAAGTGGCGGAATCTGATGGTTGATGACTATCTCATGCTTTTTGCTCTGGTTCGTCTTCACTGCCTTCTATATTCTTGTCTACAAGATCTTGCAATTCAGATAAAACTACGGCCATACAATGGGGTTTCACACGGAAACATCATGGTGGCCCAGATCGGGTCACTGCCATTCTCACTTTGTTGTTCCCAAATCACTCGGCCTGGACTAACACCAGTATCGTGGTAGGTTAATTTCACCGGAGTCGTCGTCGCTATAAATGAGGTAGCCAAGAATGGGAGTAATTATATGTCACCGGAGGCCGCGGCAGCCTTGACACCAGATGGCGTCGACCGAGCCATTTACGGCAGCATCATGACGTTTGTACTCGAGATATTTACCATTACCGGCACGTGGACCATCAAGGCTTGTCTTCTGATACTTTATTCTCGTCTCACGTTAGTTGCTCATGAAACCCTAGTGTTCAAAAAGGCAAGCATGCACGCTACGGTACTAACTCTCGCTAGGAGACATATTCTAGCCAAGCAATACCTGATGGTCAAGATTGCGGCAGGCTACTGTGTAGTTACATATCTTGTCGTCATCTTCATGTTCGTTTTCTACTGGTGCAGTCCGACGCCCGAATACTGGGCCGTCCCTGTCCGAATTGACCAATGCGCCACATATTACAACCACATGATCTTTGCAACAGCTTGCAATATATCATCCGATATCCTGCTACTACTAATTCCTATTCCTATTATTTTCAAGACGCGATTGCCCACAAAGCGAAAGATTATTCTCGTTTGTATCCTCGGCTTGGGTGTATTCAACATCCTCGCCGCCATCCTAAACCGATACTACAACTTCAGCAACCCCAACTCGTACGTATTCTTGTACTGGTACGTTGCCGAGGTAGGAATCGCCATGTTGGTTGGAAATATGCCACTGTGCTGGCCGGTGTTCCGAACAGTGTTTGGCGGCACCGAAACGACTGATACCCCGTCATACCATGGATACACCATCAGCGGAGGAGGCCGCAAGAACAAGAAACCAAAAAATATTCTCAGCACGACTATCCTGGGGTCAACAATGTGGGATAAACTGGACGAACAGGAAGGCTCAGGCGTCGTGACCCAAGGCTCCCGGGAGCAACAACCTCCGTCAGATCAGGGAAGCCAAATCGAATTGGTTCTACAAGGACACGCGCAAAATCATCACCACCACGCTGCTGTCAGCGCGAATCCAGAACAGACAGACGGGACACACCGATCAGCGGCCCTGCCGTCCTGCAGCACAGGAAGCAGTCAGCAGGGGGCGAAGGAAGATAAAATTGTGGTTGTCACTACGGTAGACGTTTCTTCAACCGATTCTCACAAATAAAAGAGGTGGAGTGTTGGCTTCCAAGCGTTTGTTTTGTTTCGATTGGGGCTCGTGATGCAGAATTGGAACGGTGGCATGCGTTTATTTACAATTTGCAAGGGGGCGGAACACACTTGGCGCAAGAATTCCTTCGTTTTCGGGGCATTGAATTGCATCGCCTCCATGCGCAGCTACGTCTCTGGCAATACCTCATCATTTTCCTCTCTCTTTCGCTTAGAACCCCACAAAATTCACCGCCAGAATGGCGCGTAGTGTAAAAGCAGGAGGATATACCCTCGGAATTGCGATTCGAAATATACTATACTTCTCATTAGTAACCTCCGATAGCCGCTTGATGTAGGTGCCATTTGCGCCATAATAGCCGAGACAAACTTCTCGCGTGCAGCCAGATCACCTTGGTGTTCACCCAGATATTCAACATGGTTTACAAGGAGGAGGTCCCACGCGGAGGCAAAAGGTGCTCCGTCATCAGCATAGCAAGGGTACTAACATTAATTTTCCTAGGATCTAAGTTCTAACCCTTGGCTTACTACTCCACTCGGGATGTTCCTTTCTAAAAGGAGGGATGCATCGCAGTCCATTTTCAGAGTTGAAAGGGTACATGGACAACTGGAGCAGTCTTGGAAGGCCAGTCCTGATGTACAGACAGAGGCGGCCACAGCATTATACGCGGGGGCGGGAAGGGTCGATTCGTTTCAAATAACGTTGGTGGCGCCAGCTGAAGAACGCCATGTTCGATAACGTACCGCCTTTTGCTTTCCTGCGGACGAGGAGGATAGAATCGGAAAATTCCTCCTGTTTCCAGGAACGGACATGGCAATTCCAGCCAGTCTGGGGGGGGGGCATGCTCAAGCGGCAAGCAGTTGAGATGAGGAACTGGGACATTGATGCCTTGTGCTTCATGTATCGGACTGGTATCCCCACTGCAACAAGGCAATTTTTGAGAGAGTTCGGCATGTCCCACATTTGGCCCTCCCGCAAACATTATTGCGCCACCTTGAGTAGCAATCGTATTCATCGCCCCTTAGTGGTTCGGCCCAAAAGTCTCCATGAGCTCCATGCTCTCCCGCAAGTGAACGGGCCACTAAAGGTCTTGGCTAAAAAGGGTGGGTGATTGGATCTTGGAGATAAAATATTGGCAGACCTGGGCACAAGGTAAACGTCTCTTTGCGTAGGGCCAGGCGATGCTACGGCTTATTGAGAACGAATGAGTTGTTGGCTGGTAAGTATGGATTGTTGTCTGCTCACCAAGAGGTATTGAGGTCTGCAATCGCAATAAACAATTACTGCAGTATGCGTCAGCACATGACCTCAAAGCACTCCTGCGGATACTTACAAGCCAACTGCGAAGTGAGAGGGTCTGATCAAATAGGCAGTCGGTGTTAAAGTCGCTACAAGTTTCGTTGTCCCATGAGGCGCTATACACTGGCTGAGAGGAGTGAACAGCCGCCTGCGGAACTACAGCCATATGATGTGATGAAAAGTAGATATGACAACCAACAACTGCGATCTGGAGCACTGGGCAGAGTGTATTTCTGGGGGCGGCGGCTCGCTTCTCATAGCATTCTCGACACTGGTGAATTTGGAGCCTCACTTCTTCCAACGTTCAGAATGATGGGTTACGCGCTCGCAACGTTTCATAGTAAACGGCCAATTAGAGGAGAGCTATTTCGCATTTACGAGAGTCGATGGCACACAGAAAGCTAGGAATTATCCAAGAGCAAGCATGGCAATTCTTGCAAGATGAAGGAACTCTTGACGTCTCTAGCCGACATGAACCAAAAGTAATGGTAAGCGGGGTTTGACGTTCTCGGTCTCCTTGTCCAACCAAGGTGGGATTGCCGAATGGCACACCTGACGCTGACCTGTCTGGCTTCCATTGTACAAGGGCTTTTGTCGGTCGTCGCTTGTGTGGGAAGCGGGGTTATTGATGGCTGGGTTCTGCAGAAGACGTGAATGCAGTGTATCTTTGGTGGTTGAGAGCTATAAGTGGTGAGCGAACGAAAAAGGAAGACCTCCCGGAGCTCATATGCATGCTTATCAAAGTACTCCGTACGGAGTACATGATGGCACATTGTGGTTCGCCGAAGTATGGCCTTGAATGGCGCGAAAGAAGGCCATCTAGAAGGAAAAAACCATGGCTGGGGCCCCCCTTTACCACATACCGTAACATCGGTCGGCGGAGTTCCGGATGCGCATCCAAGCATCCAGAAGTTGAAGGATGGGTAGAAACGGAGTCAAGAGTAGGGAGAAGAAGAAAGCTTTGCAATGATACTCGGCGCCGCGGGCCACATGCAGCCAGTGGGTCCCCTGATCTGGCTTGAGAGAGTTCTTGGGAAGTCAAACAGGGAAGGCGCGATTACACCAGAGGAAGGAGCATCGGCGGGCTCGTACCAGAAAGACATTCGCGCATCCTCCCCAGCCCCCCTCCGCCCAACCTCAACGGCAGACTGGCAAGATGGGCGGCCTTCTATTCGTCTAGTATCAATTCTCACATCATGAGCAGTGACAGCACGTTGCTCTATGCCGAACCGCTCGGCTGTCTTTGATGGTAGTCCCCAGGCTCGGGACCGCACGGCTTAATTTGTCTGTGCGGTTGCCCACGCACGTCGACCGGCATCGATGGCATCAGCCGACTTGGAAACGGCAATGTGCAACCAACACCAGCCCTTCATCCAATTCATCAGGTTTCTACGGAGGCACTGCCAAATCTGGCCATGAGCAGCGCAGCAGCGTCGTGTCCAAGCAGATGGTGGTGGCATGCTGTGGATCAAACCTTGTTCTTTTGCTTCTCTTGACCAGCGCGATATGGCATCACCACAGGGCCCACGTTTTGGTTCATGGTCCCATGGTTCCATGGCCATATTCCCATCTGGGCCGTCATCAGCTTTGCGCCAGTCTCTGTTGGTAGTGGCGGCCATCTCATGTCTCAAGAAGGATGATGATGAGCGACGGATGGACCAGTTTGGCCAACAGGGCTGTTATGGCTGGCTCTCTCTCCACCTTATTCTTTGTCCTTGGATTTGTTTTATTTTTTTTGTCTATAATATTTAACGTTTTTGCTTTCTGCCTTTTATATTTCCAACTTGCATTCTTGCCGATACATCGACCTGGACGCTGGTGTCTGCGTGGCGTTGACGCATTGCATTGCATCAACCTGGAGCTGCGCGTCTACCACCGCTAGCTACCAGCTTTCCGTGCAAGTGTCTTCTTATCTTCACTCCAGTGAAGCTGGCTTCCTTGGGGTCTGTTTCTTGGATCAATTGGCTGTACCGTGCTTCCCTTCATGCATGGGACCTCGTGGCTCGACTCCGTTGACTTACACCTTCACCTCGACTTCTACCAGCCCCGACGCAGGTCAGTTCTCCGCAACATCGCCCGGTCCCTATTTACAAGAAACACGACCAATATTGGCTTAGTCCTGTCGCCCTGCCGCTATTTAATTGGCCTCTGCACAGCTAGACAGGCGTGAGTTGCCTCGTGAGCATTCGAGCAGCGAGTGTCTCACCTCGCATATCCGGAATAGTGATAACACATTTTCCCCGCCATTCCACGATTAACCAGCAAAGTCTTGGTCGCCGAATTTCTCGAGACAACCCATCATTGGTCTGTGAAGACTCCATATCAGCAAAATGGTATCACCCTTGCGCCCGGGACCGGGTCACCAGAATACTCAGAGATTCGACGAGAAGGGTATTTCTCACCTGAGTGCTACCGGCTCCACGGACGAGGAAGCCAACATTCCGGCCAGCGACCATGAACTTGCCGCGAAGTTGCCTGTGCCTTCCAGACTGAGAGATGTCAACAACCGAATAGAAAACTTGGCCGGCTTTGAAGCCCGTGGTATTACACGGGTACTTCCCGAGGAGCGTCAACCTCCCTCATGGTCCAGCGATCTCCAAGTGGCCATCATGTGGTACAGCGCCAATATTTCTCTAAACAATCTTGCTGTCGCCATGCTGGGGCCTTTGGCTTTTGAATTGGGGTTTTTGGATTGTGCCATGTGTGCTGTATTCGGGGCCTTTGTTGGCAGTTTAACTACAGCGTACATGAGTATTTGGGGTCCTCAAAGTGGAAACCGGACAATGGTGAGTTGACACAACTGAGACGACCTTTGTAGTTGCAAAAGCACTACCGCACATCGGGATCAATCCCGACTTGACTTTGGGTACATGTACTTGCTAACCCCACCATGCTTCGTTGTCAGGTTGTTTTGCGATTCTTTATGGGCTACTGGCCATCCAAGATTCTGTGCTTCCTCAATATCATTCTCATGATTGGTTACGCGACCATTGATGGCATCATCGGAGGACAAGTCTTGTCAGCTGTTAGTGGCGGCAAGATGACCATCATTGTCGGAATCATCGTGGTGAGCGTGGTTTGCTGGGTGGTTGCAGTTTTTGGCATGGCTCTGTTTCACAAGTACGAGCGGTAAGTACATCCATGGTCTCCATCTGCCAGGTCTCCTCAACCTCTTGCGAGAAGAAACCACTGATCCGAGTATAGATACTCGTGGCTTCCTCAAACTATTGCCCTATTCATTCTTATCGGTGTCGCTGGGCCCTATTTCGACGCCTCAACTCCCTCCAAGAACAGCGGCGCTCTCCTCGCCGCCCAACGCCTCTCCTTCTTCAACATCTGCCTGTACGTGCCCAACTCGTGGGCCGGCGCGGCCTCTGACTTTTACGTCTACTACCCGGAAAAGACCTCAAAGCGCAAGATCTTCCTCCTCACACTCACCGGCATCTGGACTGCCTTTACCTTTGTCTACCTCATTGCCATTGGTCTCGGAACCGGCGTTGCCAACAGCCCTGCCTGGGCCGAGGCCAACGGCGTCAGCTCAGGCGCTCTCATTGTTGCCGGATACGAACCTCTCAAGGGTTTTGGAAGGTTTTGTTCTGTTGTCGTGTCGCTGGGGGTCATTGCCAACAGCATTCCGAGTACCTACTCTGCCGCTCTTGGTGTCCAGGTCCTCGGTCGCTATTTCAAGGTTGTGCCCCGATATGTTTGGTCGACGGTCATCATTCTGATTGAATTCGTGCTGGCCGTTGCCGGCCGCGACCAGCTCTTTACGATTTTCCAGAATTTTTGTGCCCTAATGGGCTACTGGGCAATGATCATGTTCTTCGTTGTGCTCATGGAGCACCTCATGTTCCGCGGCCGCAGGGGATTCGACTGGTCTCGATGGGAGGACAAAGAATACCAGCCGCTGGGCCTTGCTGCACTGGCAAGTTTCTTGGTCGGGTGGGCTGGCGCGGTACTTGGCATGGCTCAGGCGTGGTATACTGGTCCCATTGCGAAATTGGCCCAAGGCGGCGATGTTGGATTATGGATTGCTTGTGGTTTTACGATTATTTCGTTTCCGCCGCTGCGAGCTTTGGAGCTGAAGGTTTTCGGACGATAAATTCGGCACCAAGTGGCGAGATCCGTCCAGCTCTTTGTTTTGTCATTCTTTATGAGCCTATGAAACCATGACCCGTGATATGACTTTGGCATTACGTTGGCAGAGGGTTGTATTTGTTGGAAGTGGCTTTGGGGGTGGGCGGCTGCGTACGATAAATGACGCAATATTGGCAATGGTTCATGTTGAAATGGGACATCTCATGAGTACCTACGGAGTAGGTAGTATGTAGATTAACGCAGTATGAGATTATCTGATACGGAGTATACGTCGTGATATATGACGCAACACGAACCCGACATGCTCAAAACGAAATGAAGTTGCCCGGCAACATTCTCTCAAGAACCAGCATGCAGAAGTACACTCTTCCGTGGCATAACTCTGTGCGGCTTCTACGACTCTGTCTGCGAACAGCATGAATCGCTGGACTCATCCTCCCCGAAAGTCGACCATTAGAGCATCTGGCCCCGGGCCAATTTGTGTAGTAGGCTGTAGCTGCATACGAAGCCGTAGCGGTTGCATGAAAAGTGTTTCAGCATCGATTGGTAGGGCTGCGTGTGGCGATAATTCAGCAGTAGTCACCGGTGTAGGCAAAGGAATGTCTTTGTCGCTTGACAGGGACGCGTCTGGACAATGCTGCTGAATTTCACGTTGTCACCGCCATAATTGAACCTACCATGAAGTTGTAAATGGTAGTGTGCCCTATACTCTTGTTCTTCTAGACTCATCGACTCCCCCTCAGCTTTTATGAGGGCAGTCCCGGTGCTCTGTATTCGTAATGAGAACCATTTTTGGATCCGCCCTACATGCTTTTCTCGCTTTATGCCTCTCCTCGTCTTCCGTCTCTGGCCTCAACAATCCTCCAAGGAGATGATGACTAACTTATTCCATGTCACCTCTCTCCCTGCGCATCATGGTGTGATGTTACAACGTACGCAATCAGTCAATGGCAGCCAAAATGATTCCGGCGGCGGCATGTGTTCAAGTAGAAAAGATGCCAGACAGAGTCAAACGGCACTGCACATCACTGCACATCATTAAAGTGCTCATTCGGCAAATCGTTTGGTGCCGCCTGTCGCGTCTTTCTGCACTGCAACGTCTTTTCACTCTACATGATACGACGTCACCATGGGACATGGGACATTTTCCCAGGTGCTCAAGTGGCATAATTTGGCTCAATTACACAATCAATGTAACATGTGCAAAGCCCACATGGCTCTCGGACATGCAACTTGACGCAACCACTCTGCACACCCTGGCATTTGTCGGCAGCGACTCTATTCACATCACTCCTCTCCTGAGGTATCCCAAGTCGCTGCCTCGTGGGAAAAACATTTTCCCCAAAGCGCGCCTGGGCACATGGCATCCAAGCGCAGACGCGAAACGTGCCAGAGGCGGTGCAATGGGGGCTGCCCAAGCTCAAACGTCTCACGGGGAAATCAGACCATCGGTTCGTCTCTGCCTCGCCGGTGGATTCTCCAGTCACGATGCCCTGGTCAGTGTAGATGGACAGATGGGGTCAAGTCGAGTGTTTTGTTGGTTTGCCTAAACCCACCCAGGGCCATCCATCTCGGGCTCGACTCTGGTACTCCATACATTCATTCGGAAATCACACGCCGTGGCCAAGCGTTACCGAGCGCATGGGCTCGCTGGGCAGAGGAGGGCATCGACTCGGCAATAACCGGAAATCGTCAAGGCAAGCTACGGGTGTATCTGGATGAGAAGTCAATATGTCGACTCGAAGCACGCCATTTCCAGCGGTGGCAGTCTGCTTTGGGAAGATGAGTGGAGGGAGGACATCAGGCGACCCTTTTTACAAAAATTAATGAAGCAAGATTAAAAAAAATTTAGCAACAAGGTTTCTAGCTGGTACTGTACCTGACCATCAAACAGACCAAGATGATGATGTGCAAAGGTGACCTTGACCTGGGGCTATATCAAACGCAAGCGCGCGTAGTACGTACGCAGCGCTCGGAAATCATGGGACTTGTCCGGTGGGCTGCATGATTAATGTTCCATAAAGCAGCTCTACTATGCCGCTACCAGAACAGACGTGATAGGGAAAAACCTACCGGACTGTGCGGCGCAGCGGTTCTGACTCGCAAGCCGGAAGGGTCCCGGTCCCCGCCGGCATTGAACAAGGCAAGGCAGCATCTGGTATCCAATTCAATTCAATTCGACTGCATGGAATCAGAGATTGAATCTCGTGAAATGAGGGGGCCCGGCCCAAGAGAGCTGCGCAATCTCGCCGAGCACATGGCCCGCGATGGAATCGACTCGGCGGCACTCTGTCTCAAGGGCAGGTGGTGGTTGTGCTCGGTCCATCACCACGGTTTCAATTCGACGATAAACCACAACGCAGAAGCCCGAAATGCCTCTTTGCAAACACCGTCGATTCGCATCAGATACTCGACTGAGGTGATTTCGTGTCGGCCCTTCTCCCCTCTGCTCCGGGCTAGCTCCTGTGGCCCAGGATCTGCAGGGCCCTTTCAATGGCAGGGACCTGGGTTTTGACAAGGGGAACCGTCAACTGAATCTCCATGGTGGCATCAGTCAATGCATCGTCGAGCTAGTCGATTCAAGGTTCACCCCGTCGTACGACCGCACAGCCCTTTCATTTCTGGCCCCCAACGGCCCGTCAGAGGCGTTGAAGTGCCGGGACAACCTCCCACCAGACGCATGCATGACTGACTCTGGCGCCGGTGAGGGATACAGAGTACCGAGTACACCAAGTGCCAATCAAGGTAAGAGGGGGGAAATAGGCGCCTCGAGCAATAAGAAATAAGTCTCGGTGCGGAGGGCGTGTTGCATTTGGCAGTCGAGATGTCAGCAAATTCACACGTCAGCCGGGTCCATGCAGCCCAGCCCTTGATTTCTTTCTTTTCAACTATCTGCCCTGTCTTGCTTGTACGGAATTTGCCGTCCACGTGTACGGGGTAGTGACTTATACGCGCGGAAGTACATAGTGAGGCGGCTTACATACATACACACACACACGCACGAGGCGTGGCAAGCGCGCCTCTTGTCTGTCCCCAGAGCCAATATACTTGACAAATGTCTTCTCCCGCTCACTCGTGCTCAGCAGCCCCCTTGGGCTCCCAGCCCGGCGCGGCCATCTCGAATCCCGCAAAGTCAAAGCCGGGCGCGACGGAGCATCCCACGAGCGTCCAGTCCCCCAGGGACCGCGCGTGCTGCCACTCCCGGCGCTGGATGACGGCCTGCGGGCGCTGGGCGTCCCAGAGGTCGGGCCCAAGGACCAGGTCGCGGACGGGCGTGCCGTCGTCCCACGACAGCGAGAGCCGAAGCGGCGCGCCGGCGTAGTAGTGCCACACCTCGACGGCGTCGAGCACGCGGTGCCAGTGCGACAGCCCTGACTCGCCCTCGAGGAGGTAGTAGATGTAGGTGCTGGGCGCGCGGCCCTCGGCCGACGTCTCTGGGTCCCGGAACGTCTCGATGTAGTAGCCCTTTTCGGGATGGGGAGCCAGGTTGAGCGCCGCGATGACGTCCTGCGCCGTCTTGCGCGTTGCCATGTTGACTGACGGACTGGCGGTATGTGAATTGTGTCTTGGACAGTGAGGGCTTTTGGTACATTCAGCAGCCCACGAGGGGAATTCAAGATGAGAGGGCGAGGGGGAGAAAAAAAGGCGTTGGTTGATGGGGTCAGGAATCCCGCAGGATCAAGAGGCGTTTGGTGCCATTCCTTTGGCTCTTAAATCTTTCCTTTTCGACGGTCAATTCTCAATTTTTTTTTTCCAAGCACAATGCGGGGGCATGCCAGCCCAGCGCTGGCGTAGCAGCGGCCTGGTCGTTTTCATGTACGCTGCGCATCGCGCAGTTACACAGAGGCCGATAGGCGAAGGCGATGACATGGAGGGACATCTGGAAACGCCAACGTTTTCCCGCCGATCACCAGAGAGGGGGGCACGTCGTCGGCATAATTGGAGATGGCCTCTCGTCTCCACCTGGACTGCGACGTCGTGACCCAAGCCGCATCTTGTCCTGCAGCTTTTTTTCCCGTGGTTCAGTCGAGCTCGAGCTGTCGTCGCCTGGGGTGAGACGTCTTGCAACGACGACGAGTGTCGCTGAAACCCTGGACACTGCGAACCCAGCACTTCGCCGATGTATTATTGCCAGGGGAGTGGTCGTATGCGTCAAGTCAATCCACCCGTCACCTCGACCGGCGCCGCATAGTTTCAATGCTGGTGTAGGGATGCCCCCTTCCCTCTCCCCTTTTCCCCGATAATTGGGAGACTGGGCGATGCAAAGTAATACTGGCCCGGGCCACAAATGGATGCCATCTCTGGTATATGTACATGCATAGATAAGTGAGCAGTCACCACCACGGGGTGTGCGTGGGCGTAACATTGACCTCTGAACCTTTTTGCCGAAGCCGTCAAGTCGATATTCTCACCGAGGAGCGGCGAGCATCTTCCGCCAACGCACCACAGGACGGAGGGCCGCACACCATCGCATTAACATCAATATGAAAACGGCAACGAGGTGAACAATCGCTGATATAGAAAATAAAAAAGGCCCCCCCCCCTCGACGACCAAGACAAGGTCGGCCTCGCAGGGCTCCCTCTCTATATGCGGCCGCGCGACACCAGCCAACGACGACTGCACACACTTCGCGCCTCGCCATGGACGACATCCGAAAAGACCTGCCTCTGTCCATGACCATGGCCGCCTTCATCGGCATCTCGTGGTACATTGGCATCGAGATCAACGCGGCGCTGTTCCTCATCTTCAAGCGGCGGCGCGGGCTGTACTTTTGGTCCTGCGCACTCACGTCGTGGGGCGTCATCCTGCAGCCGCTCTTCATCATCCTCGCCGACTTTGGCGTGTGGAAGGACCCGGTGCCGTCCATCACGCTCATCTACCTCTCGTGGTTCATCATGGTGGTGCCGCAGAGCTGGGTGCTCTACTCGCGGCTGCACCTGCTGATGCACACGGCCAACGTGCTCCGGGGCATCAAATACGTCCTCATCTTCAACTCGATTGTGTTTTCCATCCCGACCATGGTGATTGGCACCATAGCAGTGAGTAGCGAACCGAAAGGACATCCGTCGTCAGGCAAAAATCACCGACTAACACGGGACCCTTCCCCCCGCCTAGCAAGCCACGTCCATCAACCCCAACCTGCCGGCCTTCAACCTCATCTGGGACCGGATCCAGCTCGTCGTCTTCTTCGTGCAGGAGGCGGCCCTCAGCATCCTCTACATGTTCCAGACGCGCAAGTACCTGCGCGGGCGGGCGCCGCTCACGGAGCACGCGTGGTCGTCGTCGTCGGCAGGGCCGGCCGCGCGCCCCCAGCAGACCAAGGAGCAGAAGGCGGTGCTGTGGCAGCTCGTCTACGCAAACGCCGTCATCCTCGCCCTCGACGTGGTCCTGCTCGGCATCCAGTGCGCCAACATGTTCCACCTGCAGGGCGCCTTCAAGCCCTGCGTCTACGGCATCAAGCTCAAGCTCGAGTTCGTCATCCTCAACCGCCTCATCCAGACCATCCGCAAGCCCGCCAGCACGGGGCTGTATCTCGGCACCGGGCCCGACAGCTCCGCCCGCAGCCGCCAGTCGAGGCACAACAGCCTGTGGCACAAGAAGCCCGCCGCCGCCGTCCTCGAGCCGCACGAGGACAACGACGCCGTCCAGCTGGTGGATAATCTGTCCGCGACGGCGTTTGCCTCGCGCAGTCGGGAGAGCCAGGCGCCGGCGGCGTATCCCGGGGGCATCAGGTGACGGCTGACGGGGAGTTGGGGGGGCAATGGGAAACCTTGTTTGTTGTTATTTTACCGGGGATTGGGAAAAGAGATGTATAGACACGCCTGTATAGGGGCCCTTTGACGAGCACCATGTACCATCATCATATCATGCGTATACATATCCGAGACATGTGCTGCTACATGAAATACCCAAGACGTGACGCGGCGTCATCAGGCGGGCTAATTGGTCACTAGTGGACAATGGGACGAACAAATCGAGTCTGTCTCTCTATTACTCTCGTCTATGTCGTCATTCAACGTTGACATTATCCCGCACCAATCCTGAGCGGGCTTACACAAGCGCAAGGAGTCCGCCGCAACCTGCAAAAACACCATTTAAATGGCACAAACAAATCGAGTCTATATCTCTATTACTCTCATCTATGTCGTCATTCAGCATTATCCCGCGCCAAGCATAAGCGGGCTTACACGCGCAACGAGTCCGCCGCCACCATGAAAAACACCACATACAATTACCGTCCACCACGGATTGACTTAGCAGAGCGCTTGCGCTTCTTTTGCTTACAGCAACCCTTTGGCACAAAGTCCGGCTTCTCCAGAATTGTTCCGTCTGGCGAAAATCCCGGCGCCACTACAGATGTTCCCTCGTCAGCTTCTATTCACACGCACAGCTCACACACACACATCGGTCAAGGATTCTGATACGTACTCGTGGTCCCGACCAGCGTCCAGTCGCCGTGGGAGCGGGCGCTCTGCCACATGTCCTTGGGCACGACAACCTGCGGCCTCTCCTCGACCCTCTTGTTGAAGACGTTGGGCCCGAGGACGTGCCTCTCGCACGCGGTGCCGTTGTTCCACGACAGCGAGAGCGTCAGCGGCGCGCCGGCGTAGTAGTGCCACACCTCGTACGCGTCGAGCTTGTGCCAGACGGACTCGCCCGCGTCGCCCTCGAGCAGGTAGTAGATGAGGGTGCTGATGGTGCGGTTGTCCACCCGCACGGGGTCCTCGAACGTCTGGATGAAGTAGCCCTTTTCGGGGTTGGGCACGAGCCCGAGCTTCTGGACGACCTGCTTCGCGCTGTAGTCTCGCTCGTCGATCGGCTCCCAGTCCCAGGCCAGGAGGCCGGTGGGCAGGACCGCGAGGGCCGCCAGCGTCGTGTACACGTGGTGGAGGAGCATCGTGGCCTGCTGTGAGTGAGGTCTTGGGTAGCTTGGCCTTTTTTTGTTTGGTTCGTCTGGTATATAGAAAAAAAAGCCGAAGTGAGCTGAGACACGAGGTGTTTGAGGTTGGACGGGTTCGGGGTATTTTATGCGTCAACCGGCGATGGGATGTTTTTCCGCAAGCGCCACAGAGTGGTAATGGAAGATTCGAATCTTCGGGGCACGAGGAGCCAAGGTCTGTGTGTTCCCCCCCCCCCCCCCCGCTACATATCATTTGTCCTTAATAGCGCAATTCCGCGGTGCAGGGTCCCCCGGTGTCAGCTCGGGGGGGGACAGGGTTATGGTTGCCCAATCGGCCAACTACTGCTACGCTGGATAACTTGACTTTTTTTTCCGCCGCGGACACTAATAAACCTACGACAATGCTGGCTGGAACGGGTCAAGCATTTCGATTTTTCGAGAAAAACGCTAGAAAGCGAGGCCAGCGCCTCTTCATCATGGCCCGTTCCGAAGCCTCTCCTCCTCCAGATCGGCAGTCTGCGTGATAGTACTACATACACGGCAACTCGGATCGCACTTTTATTGAGCACAGAGCTTTTCCCCTCACGATAAGCGAGGTGCTATAGTTTGTACGGGGAGAGTTGGCAAAGGCGTTCTGGGCTCGTAACCCGGAGCCACTTGGTGTCTGGGCAAACTGGACCAACTTGATGGCCATGGAGAGCCTCCAATTTCAGCAGCGTCTACTAGCATTATTACTTGGAGCCTTACTCCGTACTCCGTAGGTGAAGACGAATTGCATTATTCATTGACGAGCGCCCTCTTGACTGATTGCGGTCTTTCTCTTCATGGGGCAGATGAATGTGCTAGAGGATGTTATGCCGACAGACGCCGAGTAAACCAATATAATTCCCAAGGCCCCAATGGACGGATCCAGCAAACATCGACGTTATGCAGCAATGGCCAGGCAATCAGGTGAATAAGTCTCCAGCTACGGAGTACAGGGACAATAGCGCTGCACATCCCGGCATGTGCATGAACCCCAATAGCAGTCTGTGGGCACATCCATTGATAGAGTTTGCACCTTGCCCCAACCGCACAGAGTCAGCCAACTCGGCCAGGATCAGGCTGCAGCTCCGGCCAAAAGTGGACATGTACAGCCCGTAAGAGGACCGCTGATTTGTGCAACGAGGCCATCCTACCACCGTCTGGGCCAGAAGGGTACAATATAGGCAGGGGGTCGTGTGAAGGAGCGCAACGATGGATCTGGCATGTCTCAGTTCTGCGACCGGCAGTTTCCTTTGTTTGGAATAGTATATACTCGGTATGTACAATACAATAGCTAGTTGTGTGCTCACGTCGGCCCTTGGCAGTCAAATAGACCAGATGACGAAGACCAGCGGCCATCAGCAACCTTTGGCTTAATCGCAAATGGCATACCGCAAAGGACTAGAAATTATGTCATGCGCTGTCGATGACTCGAGCGTGCATGTGGCTATCAAACTGCTTGCATAGAACTAGTAGTTGGCGACTGAGTCGTACAGGAAGCTTGGCAGATGCTGGAAACATGTACGCGGTCGCCATGGGACGACTTGACGCCATAGATGGAGGACCAGACATGGAATGAACAGCGGGCCAAGGCGCGGTAGTTCCACCTCTTGTGGTTTCGTGCCTTTCTCCCACATTGCCTTTGATGCGTAATACTGTCTACCGTCAGATCGCGGCACCGTCTTCTCCAGCTAGGCATTGACATCACATCGCGTCCAAACGCTACCCTGCGAAACAGCACCAGCAAATCGGGTTGGTCATAATCAAGACTTGCCCGGGCTATAAGTGAAGACTTGTCGGAGCATCGAGGCCTCTTCTGCCACCGGAATTGTATCATCTCTCTCGCGTTCAAGACTCTCACGGCCAAAGAGCCAGGAATCTGATTGCTACTCACAACGTCCATGCAGGGCATCTTCCTTTCCACCGGGCCGGTGGACGATATCCAGCGAAATTTCGACATCATCAGGGTCCACTGACTGTTGACTGTCGTGCCCGTAGCTTCGTCCAAGTTCCCAACTATCATGTCATGACCGCCTCATTTCACTTCCCACCATGATTCACCGCCATTCCAAGGACTTTGGGAATATTCAGCACGTGCGCCCTTTTTGCACAGCTCGTCAATTTCATTGCACGGCCTGCCGCGGGAAGCGCAGTCTATCATGACAACTTCCCGCCGTCGTGCCATCCGCCCTTGCCTGAGAAGCTTCAAGCGTAGTACAACCACCCCGTCTCCGTACATGGTTCCAATGTATGTACAACTTTTGCAATAATCTGGGTGCGCCTGGGTGTGCATGTGGTTTCATTCAATACAATGTATTTGGGCGTGTTTTTGCCACGGTCCGAGACTCAAGTTGTTCCGACCAAGCAGGGCACTCTTCCCACGAACGGATTCTGCGTACGCGGCAAACTCGCGAAGAAGAAAACATCTAGAGACCAACGTTTTACAGGTATTCTTTGTAGTTGATTCTTTTTCCGGATCAGGTTATTGCTAGAAAGAGGGTTTAAACGTGACCGCTTCGTGGTTCTCGCCGCTGCAACCAGACCTCACCTCTGGCATGTCAGACTCACTTCATCTAGGGTAGGTCGAAAGCTGCAAGTGTATAGGCAGGCCATCAACGAGCACCAGCAACATCCCAGCTACGGGTGCATCAAGGTGACATGTAAACAAGCTAGATGAGATACTTGGGAACAAGCCCGGCATGCAACTGTAGCAAACACGACTTGTTCAGCTCGCCCCCAGCGGGTGGCGGTGCAAATTACGCAACAAGACCAAAGTGAGCGTCCAAGGCTACATTTATCCGCCAGTCATGTCCATCCATCGAGTCTATTGATTTTCCGCCACCCTGTATCTAGAAGAGCGTACGGCTTCCCAGATGAATGGGTGATTGTGTCCTGCGTACGGAGTACACGTCTACCGGCAAGTCTGCGCATGTGTTGCGCCCCTGCGGTCTTGTAGTTGCCAACAGCTATTCGCATTTCGAGACGGTCCTCCATGCTCACCGTCGCCCCCCATCCTCAAGAATCATGTGCGCGCCCTTCTCGGCAATAGCATAGACAGTCGCCTGCAGATGCGCGCTAATCTGCAACGGCATCACGCTCGCGTCCACGACTCTCAGCCCCTTGACGCCATATACCCTCAATCGCTCGTCGACCACGCCTCCCTTGATGCCTGCTCTTCCGCCCATGCCGCACGTCCCAACCGGGTGCCAATCCGTAATAGTGTGTTGCCTCACCCAGTCCCGCAGCCGGGCATCGTCGGCCACAATCTCGGGCGTGGGATTTGCGGCGGCACGAATGATGCCGGCCAACGGCTGCGTTTGGGCAATCTTCTGTCCGAAGTGGATGCACTCCTTGATGATTTCGGCGTCAAGCTGCCCGTGTCGGCCGGCGTAGTATGCCGGGTCGATGATGGGCTTTGTGTCCCCCGTGGAGCTCTGACCCGGGCGGATGTGGATTGACCCTACGGAAAACGGGTGCTGAAGCATCTGGAGCATGGTGCCGTATTTCTTGCCAGCGTCCCCTTTGAACGTGGTGCTCCAGTTGCCCAGGTCAAAGATGTACTCTACTTGACCGAGGGTTGATGTGCCGTCAAGACGTCTTCGAAGGATGGCGCGTTTTCCGTCATCGTAAGCTGTAATGTTGGCGGATTTGGCGTGAATTTCGGCCAGGAAGTGTGACGGGACGGCGTGAGAGAAGGGAATGTATGCGAGTGCGCATGGGAGAACGGTGAAGGGGCCTCTGTGTTCACGGAGGTACTGCTCCCGCGCGGCGGCGATAACGGCCTCATCCGTCAAAAGATCATCAGGGTTTGATAGCGAGGGGTCTACCTCGAATATCATGGCCACCACTGCCATCTGTCAATATTTTCCTGACGGGCATCCGGGACACAGGAAACTCACTGATGTGGTCTTGCAAGTTCTCTCCGACCATTGGGCTGTCCACCTTCACTTGAACACCGGCCTTTTTCAAGACCTCGGTGCTTCCAATTCCAGACATTTCCAGAATTTGAGGAGACTGGACGGTTCCAGCTGACAACACCACCTCCCTTGTCACATTCACCACATGCTGCTTGCCGCCGTGAGAGAAGCGCACTCCGGTCGCTACATAGTCATCCTCATCGCCGGAGCCATCTTTGCAAAGCACAATCTCGTACACGGTGGCTCCCGTCAGGATATGCAAGTTATCAGGCTGGTGTGCGAGGTAGTAACTGGTGGAATAGCTTCGGGAAGCTGTTACGGGGTCGACGGTATTCACATTCGTCCACACACCGACATTCGATCCCGACAGGTGGGCGGAATTGGTCTTGATGCCAACAGCATTGAGTGTTGAGTGCCACAGCTTGTGAGAAGTTGAATAGTCGGGAGAGTAAGAGATTTGAATGGGACCAGTCGTGCCAAAGGCCTCGGGTTCGTGTGTGGCGATGTATTCCTCCCTGAGTGCTTGAGTTGGCGGGTGGAATGTTTCGGATTTCTTGAAGAATGGGCTGTATTTGACAAGTCAGCTCGCAGGCTATATGCCTAGGTAGCGATGCAGTCGTAGCAGCATGAGTCCAATTGTTGAGCACCGACATAAAATGGGTAGTTGAGGCCCGATAGCCATCAGCACCATCTACACCACAGTATTCTCACGACAACTCGTGTACCAGGCCACGGAGCCAACTCACAGTAAATCATTCCAGGCCCATCCTTGATTTCCCAACGCCGCCCAGTCATCATAATCCTCCCTGCCGCCTCGAACCCACGTCATAAAATTCAGGGCGCTTGTTCCCCCCAACACCTTTCCCCTCGGCCACGGCAACCGTCTCCCACCCAAACCGTCCTGTGGCTCTGTCTCAAAGGCCCAGTCCAACGGACCGCCGAGGGAACGGCCGTAGAAAGCGGGGATATCAACATTGTCTTCGCCATGTGCAATGCCGCCCGCTTCCAGGACGCCTACCCTAAGTGATGCATCCTCTGCCAGTCGAGAGGCAACCGCTAGACCAGCAGTGCCGCCGCCAATGACAATGTAGTCGTAGGAATGCGTGAGGAACGACTCGGGTGAAGAGGATGATTTGATTGGGTTCCCCATTTTGTGGACGGGACTGCGAGGTTGGGTGTGACGATGTTCAAAATCTGTTGCCCGTCAACCTGTCAAGCAAACACTTGTTTGGCCGTCCTTCGTGGGTTGGTTTGCTTTGGCAGACGATGTCTCGGTTTTTTTTAATTCACCTCGATTGAGACATGTTGCGCTGTACGGGGCAACAAGAAAACGTCGCTCTGCGAGATTAATGAGTGGCTGTTCTGACCTTTTATACTGTCATGCACGCCGTATTACGTGCGTGTTGAAGGCGCGAAACTGGTTCATGAGGAGCCTCCTCTCCACCTGAGAGGTTTGATACCAATTGTGAGGTTACATTGCATTCTTGCACTCCTGTCAGTTGTCTCTTTTTCCACTTGAAAAGGCGCTGTGCAGCGAGTTGCGAATGACCCAGAATCGTTCGATAACACCGGGTTGTCAGCAATAGAATTTGATCACAACACGTGCCTGTCCGTGCCTAACCGGTCTCACTATATATCAACATGTCCCGTCCATGAATACTGAAAACATGCCGCGCCAGTCGGATGCAGACAAGCCTGGCGACCATACACACCCCATTGGCAGTGAGTGTGTAGGGTAAGTAGCCCTGAGGATGAGAAGAGGGTAAGGTCATCGACGGCACTAAGCATTTTCGACCAGAACTGGTACAGCGTCGGGCCTTATGGACGGATAGTGAGGAAGTTGCTTGCCGCCTGCTTTTCCCGTCAGTTGGCCCCGGCAATAAAGAATGCTGCTTCACCAGGTGAAATTGCCGCCTTGAGACCCTGCATTCGCGAGAAGCTCGGAGGAGCGCTGATCAACGGTAGATTTCGAAACAGTTTGCATCATGTTTCTGGTGCGATCGGCAACGACCCTAGCCCTGCCCTTTGAACTCTGCTTAGCCTTTAAGGAGTCAACTTCATTTTGCGAGTCACATAAGCCCGCCCATAATTCAAGATGCATCCCATTATGCATCCATTGCGTCTCGCCTCTGCTATGGAACGACGAATCCGTTATTGCATGATCTTGCATTATTGCCGCTCATCATGCCGGCGCTGAATGATGCCACAGTCGGCATCCCTTTGCACCACGTCGCATGCCGGGACAATATATTTGCTTATGCCCATATGTGAGCATCGTGCGCCTGCATTGGTTTTCAATGCCGATCTCCGTATGGACTGGATAAGAGAAATGAGTAGTCATGACCCTGACAGACCCTGACATGCCTTTAGTCGTGGCATTGCTCGCTCTCTCCGGCGTCCATGCCCTGTGCCTTCAATGACTGACTAATGACGATGCCTTGTACCAGATTAAGACTTGCATGAACCCGGTGTTGGGCATTGCTGGCTGCGCATCGCTGTTTGAGCCTGTCAAGTTCCCAGTTCCAATGCTCTCCACTACGACGGCGAGATCGGTTCCTTCCCCTGCTGTCCACTCTTATCGTTTCCATAACCGTGCTCCATTGTAGAGAAACGGGCGGCATTTGCCATCTATCCCATCATCCCGCATTATCTGCAAGCTTTGAGGCTATTATTGCCGGTTCCCAACAAGGCGTTGTCGAGGGATGGACCTTTGCTGATACGGGGGAACCTTGCCACCCACCAGAGAAAGCAGTTGCCCATCATGGTCTCGCCATTCTCCCTAGTGTATTGCATGAGTTACCCACCTCCTCTTCCAGGCAGCTCGAAACAGCACGAAAGCTAGTCTCGTGCCCGCTGTCTAAGACAACTCTGACCAAGCTGCAAGCTGACAGTTGAGGGATTGGCAGGTCAATGCAATCTGTCAGCTACTTGCTGTCTGGAGTGCAATGTTGTGAATTTTCCACATTCGAAAGAGGAAAATTTTGTGGCGGAGATGCAATAGTACGGTCAATATTTGTTTCTTTGTACAACACGGAGTCCTTGCTGTGGTGGTTGAACCTAAATGGTTAGGACGATGATTTGTACGGAGTACTCCGTATCCCGCAATCTTATTCCGATTGTTGGTAGGTTAGAAACCTGACTCACATCATAATAGAGTTGCCTCGTCTTCCTTGTTCAACTCCAGCGTAATGCATTGACATGACAATCAATATGATGTCTTGGCTACTTTCTTGGCTCCTGCGTATCTTCGGCCTCCGGGCATGCTGCCGAGATTCCGAAGCTGTATTCAACCTTGTTGATAGCATCTGCGCGCCCAGGGCATGCGAATGCGTTGACTGCTTGCGGACGGGAATAGAAACCGCCACTGCGGCTACGCCTTGTGGCAGATGCGCCTCTTTTGGCGGCGCTTTATAGGGGCACTGGCGAATACAAGTGGACGGCCAGACAGCGACGTTTCCACTGAAAGCTTAAAGGCGCAGCTTTGGACCGAGTCCACCAAGATGTACGGGCGATGGTGATGGCGATGGCACGCGATGGCACGCGATGGCACGATCCTCGTAAGCCTCCCCCCACTTGGACGCCCTACTTTGCGTAGAGTACCGTACAGTACTCCGTACCGAGTATAACTGCTCGCTGTTGCACTTGATTCCAAGGATGGCCGTACAACACGCCGCAGACGGGCGGCCGAATTACTCAGGAATGGTGCGCTGGATGGTGGGAACGCGAGGCGCCTTGCTGAACCTTGTATTCCGTATTCCGTACTCCCAGGTGCGATATTACTCAGTATTCCGTAGCTTTCATGGCGTGCTTGGATCCTTGGGGCGTTCAGCTGCCCGTCCGTCAGCGCCGACGGGACCGAGCGGGACGAAGCGTCACCAAATGGTGAGAGCGATAGACTTTGATGACTATGCTTTGTGCCCCATCCTGTTTGGCATTAGGAACCAGAACCCTCAGACCACACTCCGTGTTGTCTGATGTACTCCTCCAAGCGGACGGCAGGACCGTGATGGGGATCAAAGGGGACTGTCGCAGGCTCCGACCCACTCTCCTGAAGCAAACTGCCGCGACTCGCCGTCGTGTTTCCAGGCCCTTCTGTCTGGGTTTGCTCCCGATGCCATCTCATGCAGAGTGGTGCGAACTGGCGTGGCATGGTGCGAGGTGCCAATGTCTCGGTCCATCAAGGCTCCATTTGCATTGCCAGGAGGCGGCCCCCTTTGGCGCCTTGCTTGTGCCATCCCTGCCCCCCTTCGTAAGCCCCTTTGAGGCCTCAGGCATCAACGGCCAACATGCTTGACGTGGCCTCAAGATAAAGAGGTCGGCCGCCGCACCACTAGTCGTCATCCATTGCTCTGATCGATCAAGAGAACACCTGTCCTCATCATATCTGTCAACTCCCCCAATCACCTGGCTCACAGGTAATATCCACTCTAGGCTGACTCACTGCCTTTGCCTGTTGCCTGCCATGCCTTTGGCGTATATCTGCCATTGAGGGAACGGGCTGTTTGCTTGCACCATCACCTGCGCTACAAACCTCGCACCAAAACAAAGCCGTGCCCACATCTGATGTCGTCTTGGACGTGACGAAACGCGATTCCACACAGTCAACATGGCGCTCCAGCAAGCATCCCCAGTGGCCAAGTTTGAGGCCTCACCAACCGAGTCCTTCATCTCTCTGCCTGGTGACAACTACTCACCCCTCTTCGCCCCCAGCACTCCCTCATCAACCATCAACCCCATCGACATGATGACCCCTCAGTCCTTTTCAGAAGACATGCAGACTCCTCAACTGCCTGCCATCAAGGAAGAGACCGGGGCCAGCCCCTCGCCCGAGGACATCCCTACATCATCAGAGAAGAAGCAGACAAAGAAGAGGAAATCATGGGGCCAAGTTCTCCCAGAGCCCAAGACAAACCTTCCCCCGAGGTAAGATAGAAGAGCACAGAGTCAGTTTGCACGCAGAACCTAACATGCTCCCACAGAAAGCGAGCCAAGACTGAGGACGAGAAGGAGCAGCGACGTGTCGAGCGTGTTCTTCGGAATCGCCGCGCGGCCCAGTCTTCACGAGAGCGAAAGCGTCTCGAAGTCGAGGCGTTGGAGCATCGCAATAAGGAACTTGAAGCGATGCTCACCACTGCAAAATTAGCCAACTACGCGTTGCTAGAGGAGCTGAAACAGTTCAGACGCGATACTGGTGTTGTCACTCGATCATCTTCGCCCTTGAACCCGCTCCGTGACGCTCCTCTGTCTCTGTCACCAGAGCTGTTTAGTTCCCAAGATGGCCACAACCCATTAAAGGATACCGCCCACCTGGTAGACGAACTCATCAACTCGACTGTCAATCCTACTGTCAATCCAGCCTCACTGTCTCCCGCGCTGTCCCCTGTCCCCGATGAGACCCAAACTGATGAAGCCTCAAAGGAGTCGCAGTCCAGCGAACAGGACTTGGCCACCTCTCCCGACCTGACACAACATCCTGCTGAGATGTTGTCAGACCTGCAGTGTCACAAGTCGGCGAAGGTGCCCAAGTCGTTCCAGGACTCGCAGACTCCGATGTCGCCCTACTTGGTATGGGCTCTGCAGCTCCGGATGATGCTGCTTTCAGCCTCGGCGATTCTTTCGGCCTGTCAAAGGCCTCTGACACAGATCGCTATGTCCTCGAAAGCGGGCTTCTCGCTTCTCCCAGCTCCTCAACTCTTGACGACGATTATCTGGCTGGTGACTTTGCCACCGGCTTCTCGGGTCAGTCAACCTTCGACCCCTTCGACATCGACGACTTCCTCAACGACGATGCCAACCATGTCGCCTCTGACATTATGGCAGCGAGCGACTATGCCGCTGCGGACCACAGCTTCGAGCCCAAAGTCAATGACGCTGAGATTCAAGTCCCTTAAGAAAATCCTATCCAGCAGCCCCAATCTGGCGCGTCCCTTGATGGATGCGACGATGGAGGCATTGCGGTTGGTTTCTGAGGGATGCGACTCTCGTGTCGGGGATATTGGGAGCGAGTCCAGTGCGACGCGCGATCAAGTCAGCGAACTGACACAATGTTTGAGGGGCATTGTTTTACCGTCACGAGAGGTTCTGATGGCTCTCCTCTGGGCCTTGAAGGTCGAGGAGCGGAAGATCCAAAGAAGGAATGACGAAAACCCCCAACTCGAGAGTGGCACCCCAGAACACCAATCATCACACACCAAAACATTTATCTTGAAGGTATCCGGGATGAAGCGAAGTACTCAATTAGATGGCAGGATGGCCAATAAACGGTCACGCCTAGCGTAAAATGAATTTTATCGCGTGATTGAATTTTTTTTGGGGTAGCGGAACAGGTAAAGGCGTTAAATATGGTTCCAGGTCCAGGAATGACCTTGTTGAGCCCGGAAATAGCTGTATATTAGGCGAATAAAACGTGTTTGAACTTTTCACACCATTATTATTTCTTCTTTTTCCAGCGTAAGAGTTGAATCACATCAACGCAATCAATTTCCAATACGGCACGTCAGACTACCCATAGCAGTAGGGCGACGCGATAACTCCAGAAACGCCATTCAGACGGATAAAATATACAATATACACCGCACCCGCTCATTCGAAGCTCCATTACCATATACCATCCATTTCCTGCATAGCAGCCTCCTCATCTGCAAAATCATTATTATTGGCATTTACCGTTTTCTGCACCACGTTTCCGTGATCCGCAGTCTCCGCTTCCATAATCAGAGCATCCAGATCGTCCTCGTCGTGAATATCGACCACCTGAGATTTCTGCTTACTGTCTTGCCCTTCCGACTCGGCAATAAGTGCATCCAGATCGTCCTCATCGTCTGCTTCGTGCTGCTGTGTACGCGTGATCCTTGGTGTTGCTCCATACAGGTCCTCGTCATCCGGTACGTCGTCCTGTAATGGTGTTTGCGGCCTTGCGTCTTTTGACGATCCGGCCTCCATAGGTTCAATAGAACCAAAGGCATCTAGTTCAGAGTCGATTTCTTCTATTGTATCCTTTGGTTTTGACTCGTTGATCATCTCGGACCTGGCTGTTAGGACGCGCTTCTTGTGTCCTGCCTTTTCCACCATGGCTAGTGCATCGAGAAACTTGGCTTTAGGGAACAAGTCGTCGAGCCACATCTGGTAGAATGATAAGAGGCGAGCTGCGTCTGAGAACTCGTGCCCCTTGCCTTTGATTTTCAATTCGCGTGCTCGTTGGCGAAGTTTGGGCAGTCCGGCGGGACCTAATAATCTGGGCGTGGGTATTAGCTACTTGTCCTCATGTGTCTTGTGGGAGAAATGCGGCCAAATCTTTTGAGAGAAAAAGGATACAGTACCTGTCCTCATCGAGCTTCACGAGCGGAGGTCTTGCGCGTTTCTGGACGGAAACCTCCTCGTCTATACCTAGGCCCTGTGACGGGGGCTCCTTGCGCTTCTTGGCTCGAGGTGAGGGGCTGGGCGATGCAAATGGATCGTCTGATAAGTCGTAGTTGTCCAAATCATCGTGGCGATTGGGCGGTAATTGACCGGCTGAAAGTAATGTCGACATGGTGGTTGGCAGTGAGAAGTAATTCCAGTCTATCACAAATCGTGAAGCCCATCTTCCTCTTTACGCGTCCTCTTCGGGTGGGACACGCGCTTCTTGGGTGCCCAATTTGATAGCGGTACGTACCCCCCATGGGCGAATCACAATCCACGTGATTTGAGTAGTCAGCACCACGTGATCTTTTCTTCCTGAGGCAGGACTCTGGCTTCAGAGCTTCGGTACCATCATACTCCCGAGAACCTTCTTGAGCCAATTGATCGTTTTGGGGGCCTGAAAACTATTCGCAAAATGGCCGAAACCGCGACCAAGCAGGCGCCTTCGACCTATGTCGGGACGAGCAAGGTCGTCCAGACGGATTACCCGGTATGTTGGGACGCAATTGATGGTTCAATTTGGAGGATGATGCTAACCGGAATCCAGCTCATCGATAACGACCCGTATGTTTTGGTGCTCCTTTTACCCGAAATCGACTTTGCGAATGTTCAGTGGCCTTGAGATATTGAGGGAACTGTCTCGGATCGTCGATACGTCATTTTTGGGAAAGGGGGAGGGAGACATGTGCTAATTTGAGTGAACTAGTCACTTCAAGCGAGTTGTTGGATATGCACGAACGTCCGACTACGTTGCTGGCGGTGCAGCTGCTGCATTTGCCCCCGGCGCCCTCTACGCCCTCGAGAAGTTTGCCCCCTCATACGTCGGTAAGGGCGGTTTTGCCAAAGCTATGCGATTAGCTGGCGCTGTTGGTATTGCTGGCGGTTTCCTCTACTTTTACCAGCGATCATGTCGTACGTTGACCAAGATGGCACCTGCTAGGCACGGGAGATTTTAATGAAAGCTAACGTCACGGGGTGCCAGTGCGATTCTACGGCGCTACCGAAAACGCCCGCGAGATCGAGATGGACATGCGAGAAATGGTGGCCAAGGTCAAGGCGGGCCAGTCCCTGTACGGTGAAAGCAGATTGAGCCCATACCTGCAAGGTGTTGCAGCCCGACAAAGCAGATACTCTGCGCTCTTCTTCAGCACTGTACCGTGGTTTAACTTTGTCAACCACAATCAGCACGGCGTGGACACAGCCAAATACTATCAGCAAGCGGAGCGGGAGTTGGAGATGGAGCGAGCTGCCAAGAGTTCGTAGGCAATGGAAGACGCCGAATTGAAGAGCAAGGGTACGGTCGATGCGGAGATATAAAACGGAACGAAATCCAGTCGTCTGTGTATATTAAGCTGGTAAGGGGGACTTGCCTCGACGGCTTGGCAACCTATTTTCTTATACAAGTTTTGAAAACAAGCAGTGGTCCACTCTATTTTGCTCGGGAATGGTGAAGGCCTGGCAGTGAACCACAATGACTGGCTTGCAGATTGTCGATTACTGTTATTAACAGTGACTTTGCCTTGCCCATGACTGATAGTTCGGAGGCTCTTGCAGGAATATTGGGCAAACTGGGATACAACAAAAGAAAAATCCGTCTCTTACAGTGGTGGCCATTTCCAATTCGATGACTACAATTGTTCAAAATAGCAATCAAGCATTCGTTGCCACGAGATCAAGCCCACGAATTACAGAACCAGTAAAGCGGAAAGCGGAAAGCCATGGTTTTGCAGATATATTACTTGGAGCAAGCATCGTGAGTAAACGTTGGCAGGCGAGAACGAATGAGTATAGTCACTATATGTCATGGTGAACAACTACGGAGCAGATCAGCATCGCATGAAGTCTTTTACTTTGGCATTCTTTGTGACTGACATCGAGAAAGAAAGCGGATAATGACAGCTGCGCCTTTGCTTGATAAGGCGGTGGAATGGTCCTGTCCGGGTGAAATGCATCTAACCTAACAGGGTTGCCCAGCAAACATCAATTATAAGCGCGATTATGGGACGTGTTGGGCCGGTAACATCTATCTTGTGTTGTGGTATTATTGACAGGAAGAATCCCCCTATCATTCTCCGTACTAACAAGCGTCGTCGACGGCAATTACTTTCCGCAAGCATTGGCCGAGCTGTATCTCCGCATCTGCAGCAAGACGCGGGGAGGCATTAATCCCTTCCTCTGTCATTGTTGGCTCCATCAGGCATCTCGGGTCCTGGACTGCTGTGGCTGCGTTGAGACAAACTAAACGTTGAGTGTGAGTACTGTTGGGCAAGTTGCCCTCGCAGCGTACGTTCACCAATGTTGGTCAGCTAACGTGGCGCAAATAGTGTCTGGCCGCTGTGGAATACATCTCTGCGCCTAGGTTTAACAGAAGACGCCCCGGACCAACGATTATGAATAGTGCCGACTTATCCACCTACACAGTTGTGGCAGAGGTAGACAATGTATCCGAAATACTCTCCAAAGTCTATTTTTAGAAAAGACGCCACCAAGTCCACATATCCCGGAGAGTCCCGAGTGGAAGGAGCTGGCGGCAAGCCGTCATGATTGATATGCCTCTGATTTCCCCTATGTGGTAATAATAGTTTACGAATGTTTTTTTTAACGCCTAGAATCGAGTTGCACAGATAGAGTGAAAGAGGAAGGTTTCTGTTGATGTCACTCTTAGCAGCGTCTACTCTATAATCCAATAATATTCAGATGTCTTTCTCTTCTGCGCAGATATTAGCTGCATAACAGTGTAGCGCATTTTGTGCATGATTGTTTCTGCTTGATGATAAGTCAACTCCATAGGATTTACACGCATCTATAACTTCTGCTATCGTTTGAATACACCCACGACGGTAAGTAACATGAAGGGCATTTTGACTATCCGCGTCAGCGATAGTGAGATGATAGCGCAAGGCCAACAGGGAGACGGATGCAATATTGCCAGCCTCGCATGCAAGATGCAGAGGCGTCTTGTTATTAGAGCGTCGGCTTAAAAAGAAAGCCTTCTATTTAAGTAACTTTTTAATAAACTGACTTGGTCTATATTCTCTATATTAAACTTTATGTAAAGCAGATTCTCCGTTAGAATTTTTAATGTTAATATTAGTCCTGCTATTCCCAAGTAGTGCTTTTGGCACTGCAAGGCAATTATCTAAAACGGTCTCTTGCCTTACCTCGTAATTGTCCTCTAGATCTGAGTGATCTAATATTACTTTAACTCTCTAATCGTAATCTGTTTAATGATCCTCTATTTTCTTGCCTTGCAAGGCTTTCGCAAGCATTGAATGGAGAGGCGTCTTGTTAAATTCAGAGAGTGCATTTGGGTTCGCTTTATGCTATAAGAAGAACCTCACTATCTTCTTTTGCCTAACTAAGGCGGCGTAATGCATAGGAGTCAGTCCCCGCCTAATTATGTTGGGAAATAATGACGCCGTGAGGTCTTCTTCGCATTTGCTCTTATCGCCATTAAAAGTGCGTGTCGTAAAAGAAACGTGCAGTAAAAGAAGCGTGCAGTAAACTCATCTACAGTATTGGCTTGTGCATCTCTTGAATCGTAAGCACGGTTTTATGCAGCCTCCTTTCCCACTCGGGATACAATGCGTGGTACCACGATGAAAACCCTCTGGCCCAGAAGCCCGACAAACGCTGCGAGACTGATAGCGTCCAATATAGCCTCGTTTTCCCCTATTACCCAGGTTCACAATCGGGCCTTGGCATTATATGCCAAGGCCGCAGAGAGAGTGAGCGGAAATATGAAATGTGCGAGGACATATCATATCCAGGCCCCTTATAGATGTTTACGCAGGGATAGCGTAAAGGCTATCTATCGATGGTCGCGCCTTGGCCGGCTCTTGAAGGCCGCCTAACCACAAACTTGGCGCTTGATGAATTAAAACTACGGGAGTAGTGCCTTTATAAATATCATAAAGGCTGTTCAGCTAGGCAGGTGAGCAAAGGCAAGTGGAGGCAATATAACAAGGGCTAGGAACTAATTAGACAATAAGGGCTCTAGTACAGTAAATTGCATAGAAATCAGCTTATACGACGGAGTAGGTATACCAATAACCTAAGAGATATAAATTGCTACATCGCACCTATCACTGCGATGCTTGGTCTGCTAACCCGGCCCTGTCCTGTCGCTCAAAGAGGCCTCTTTTAAGCTTTTTATATATTACACCAACTTCATGGGATGAGCAGGCCGTGCTTCAGCTGCTGCGGACACTGGCGGCAGGTCGGTCAAGGCATTAAAAAACGACTCAAAGGAACCACTCAGTGTTGAGAGAGGGTGTCGGGCATGAGGTAAACAACCCCCGATACCTGGGCTTTTCTGCCAAGGCCCTCCAGGGACGTTAGTGGTCTCTCGGGAGAGAGATAAAAATCCGTGTTCGTGTCCGTGTTAGTCCAACATGGCTGCCAAGATGAGTATAGAGTACATATAGACCGACGATGCGCCACACGGACATGCTCATCACTACAGCTCATGGCAAAGAAGTTGGCTGGGCAGATTCTCACCATGCCGGCCGCTGCAAGTTTTGATGGTAACGGAGACGCGACAAGTACGACTCGGTACGTGTACGTAGTTGTTTGTCTTCCATTAGAGCGGTTGCCTCTACTCAACAGCTACCCAAGTAGTATGAGAAAGTCATGTCGTGTGGAGACAAAACATGTCGCTGCGAGAAACAAGACGCATAACACGGTAATTTCGTTTTGGCCTGTACCCACGGAGTATTCCGTGATGCAATGAGCCATGCCCAACCCCCCGCTGTTGGTAGGGCAAGCGGATCATATGTATGCACCGCTACGGAGCAGTAGAGCTAGTATTTAGCCAGAGAAGGTTATATTAGACACAAGAAATAATGGCAAGGGTGAGAACTTGGCCAAGAAGCGGACTTCCTTGGCAAGATGTCTTGTCACCTCTGCGGTCTGCGTGGTCAATCAAGTGTGGGAGCCTCATGGGACAATGCTGGACCCCTACGGAGGATTGAACGCTCAGGGAAGCCCATATGAGGCGTCCAAGACTGAGGAACTGGACGGGATGATAGATTGCCTGGCCCACGGATACTTGAGGTTTTATCTGATGGTACTACCGAGGACTGGGAAACAAGCGCTTGCTCCGTGCTGGTAGTGTCTTTGAGCAAACGAAGTGACGTACCCAGGCTCTTCTAATGATACAAGACAGGGCGCAGTCGAATATAGAAGAGAAAAAAACATAGCATGACGTGTCAACATGGACATGGGTAGAAGTGCTGGGCCCAATAGTCGGTCCCAAGCAGGGCCATGGATGACGGGTTTTGGCACATAACATGACTGAGGCGTGTCGTTGATTGGTGTCAAGTCGCGTCGTACGGAATATAGAGGGTACCAACGTACCATACGATTATGTGGCTTGGCCACGCCCATATTTTTCATTTATTGAGGTGATGTATTATTTTTGGTGCAACAATTCGAGTTTCCCGGCTGCCCGACTCCATTGGAGCATACCTGGGCATTTGAGTTAACTCATGAGTTTCGGCCCTCTTAACTCACTTATATGAGTTACTGTCAAGTCATAACTTACTTATGAGTTTAACCCAGACTTATGAGTTAGCTCACAAAAATGGTCACGTAATGTTGTGAAGTACTTGGTAAGTAATTTTATCCATAAATATAGATAAAGTTATGGACAGAAAGGTTACCTACTTATTGTAATGAACCTTTTGGCCCGTTAAAAAGTGTTAATAGGGCAGATGACCGCTAGTTTCTGGGTATAATGGAAAGTCCAGCGCGAGAAGCCTCATGTTATTGTAGGGGTCTGAGAGATTAGAGCCTAAAAATGAACTAATGACATGTCATGAACTGTGGGTATCAGTTAATGAGTTGACTCAAAACGCCGAGGTATGGACTCCATATTCAGCTCAAGGGTCTCGCAAACAATGACTTGGGATCTTGCACAACTGGGTTAGGGGAGGTCGAATGCGAGTCAGGCTATTCCTCCTTGGACAAGCCAAGTGACGCCATCAAGATACATGCGGCGTCGCAATGACCAAGTTGCATGAAGAATCCGATTCAGGCCAATCCACTCGAGACCCTTGTCCTCGCATGAATGCCAGAATGAAGCGGCCACTCGAAAACAAGGAATCCCAGCCGAAACAACGGCAACGCCGCCAAAGGGCATGGCTCGGCGTGATTTGGCTGTTTATGCGCACATACAACAAGCGGCCATGGGCGCAAAATACCAATTTCATCGTCATCAAGCGCCAGAGACAAAAACTTGCTCGGCTATTTTCCGCTGATCAGGCGGATGGAGTGTGGCTAATATTACGGCCATTATGCATACATGCCACGAAGCCGAGTGGATTATGGATGCTATATTCTAGAATCCTGTATTGCGTACACCTCACCCTGCCCTTGATGCTGTGCGTCGTCCTCTTCTTTTTATAAGATGCTTCACGAGCCTCATCTCATGTCTGCCTGTTTTCTTTTTGCTGCTACATGGACCAACATTCCATAATAATCTAATACTCGTTGTAATTGCTTTGCCTTTTGTTACACATCAAAACCACCACGCTCGCTACAAGTTGACATCTTTTGTTTTTATATATACATCTCCAGCCATGAAATCTTTTGTCACGGCCGTTGCGGCTGCCTCCCTCGTCGGGATGGGCATGGCCCAGACGAGCCCACGACCCAAGCTGCCCGAACAGCTTGGAAATATCGAGCGCATTCCAACCGAGCAACAGCTCCAAGGTATCGACCCCAAGGATGGCCTTGATGCCTGCCACAAGATCGACTCTATCACCTCGGATGGCTGGCAGTGGCCGTGTGGTATGCAGCGCAGTTTCGGGCCGCAGCGCTGCGTCCTGAAGGGAGAGACCGACGCTGCCAGAAAGGACCAGCAGAGATGCATCTGCGAGTCGAGCACCTTCTTCAAAGATGCCGATGCCTGCTTAGACTGCAAGGTGCGCCATGCCTTGATCGGAGATGAGCAAGACGGATACTACCAACAGCTCTTCGCCAAGCTCCAGGAGACGTACTGCAAAGCCGAGGTGGTGAACAAGAACCTTGGGGATTACTACAACGAGGCCGAGGCCCTCGTCCGACAGGCCGCCCCGTACAACGGAAAAACGCCAGGTTTCACGGTTCCCTCCAACAAGGTCGAACGTCAGGGACACTCGGCTCATCCCAGAGACTACTACAGCCGAGTTGGCGCGCCCGAGAAGCAGGGCGAGATCAACTTCAAGCCCAGCCCCGAGGTCGAGAAGCTGCCTGCCGTCAACAAGACCGTTGTCAACCAAATCCCCGATCCCGTCAACGTCCCCGTCATGGTCATCGTCGCTCTGGACAACAGCACCGCAGCGCAGACGTCCGTCTTGGCCGCAACCACGACTGCTGGCAAGCCATTGCAGCCCACTACCTTGGTCCGCGCCACCAGCATGAACTCTACCACGCGAGCCACGCCATCTGCCGCTGTCCCTTCGTCCATCTCTACTGATGTCTCTTCGTCCATCTCTACTGATGTCTCTTCGTCCATCCCTACTGATGTCTCTTCGTCCATCCCCGCCGATGTCCAGGGCCAAGTCGTCCAGATTGGTGGCAAGCTCTGCCTGGTCTACGTCTACTTTGCCGCAGTCGATTGTGTGTACAAGCAGAGCCCCGACGGCAAGACTACCTTTTATCAGTACAGAAAGGAAATCAACTGGTTCTATGGCTTCCAGATCTCGTCAAACAAGCAGTTCGATCTGCTCAAGGAGGTCGCCGACGCCTGCCCTGACGGAAACTGCAAGGAGCAAGCCACTGCCATTGCCAAGTCTAAGAAGGTTGCTGTCAAGGAAGTCGTCAAGAAGGAGACTGTAGTCCCCGGCAAGCCTCAGCAGCTCCCGCCTCCTGAGAAGCCCACTACTGGTGGTAACTCTGGTGTTTCTGGCCACGACACTCCCGTCTCCGACAATGGCGCTCCTGTCCAGCAGGACGACGGTGGCTGCGGCCCCGAAGATTCCAACGACACCCCTGATAATATTCCTTCTCAGGGACGTCCTGGTTCTCCCGCCCAGGGCAACACCAAGCCTTCTGGTCCTGTCACTCCCCAGCAGGATACTCCCTCTGGTCCTGCTGTCTCCTGCAATGGACCCCAGTGCAGTCCTGTCGTTCCCGAGAAGGATACTCCCTCTGTTTCTGGCCCCCCCCAGCAGAATACTCCCTCTGGTCCTACCGGCTCTCCTGGCACTCAGTCCCAGTGCGCCCCTTGCGCTGATGAACGTAAAGATGGAACTGAAATCTGCAGAAAGAAGGAGGAAACCGAGGGCTTTTGCAACAACCAGTCTGGAGCTGCCAAGCGCGACTGCATCTGTTCAAAGGGAGATTTCGGAAACAAGTTCTTCTTCAATGAGGCCATTACCTGCGCACGACGATCCGCCAACTGCCTGTTTGCCGAATTCGAGGCGCAGGTCTTATTCGAAGCCCATTTCCAGTACTGCCAGGAGAACAAGCACGATAGCATCAGTGCTGCTCTGGAAAGCGTGAAGAACGTGTGGTCTGCAAGGGCCCCACGACAGGATCTCATGTAAATTTGACGTCTTGTAATAGATTTTGTAATGGGAAGCGTCTTGTGGGCTGATAAAAACGTGAATCCCCCTGTCAAGATAGCTTTTATTAGCCCCAAGGAACTTATAATTCTATAGTTATAAATTTATTATTATTAAATAGCACGCGGAATCAATTATGAAGTCTACTTTGTATTAGTATAGAAATTAAATTCTAGGGATATTAAGCAATAATAACTTGTTTAAGAATAATAATATTAATAATAGTAATATTTAGGACCTTTCTAGGCCTAGGCTTTTATCTCTTAATAGTATAAGCCTTTTTTTAGGATAAGGCTTTTATTATCAGGTAATATTTTTTGTAACCTAAAAAGGCCCTATAAAATAGAAGGGTTTTTCCTTTAATAGAAGACTATTATTTGTGATAAGGGCCTAGCTTAGATTAATTACTTGATTTATCTAATAACAGTCTTTAGTATAAAAGGTCCTTGGTTTTCCTCAACGCCTTAAGGGACCAAAAACGTCTGTCGGTGAGGGACTTTGCCCTGGGTCTCGTGACCGTAGCTCTTGTGTAACCGGCCATTTCCGTGTAACATGCCCCCCTTTTGATGCACCGTCCTGTCGACATTAATCTATTTCATGGTCCTTGGCAGTTGGTCGTCAAAGAGATCAGATAGCGCACAAACTACACCCACATGTAAAATGAACAAATGAGTTACATAACACAACTGTTCAGAGCACCTTAGATTAACCCTACGTAAAGAATAGAGCGTTATGAAATTGAGTCACTTGCTGTCGAACTGCCGCATGTCGGGCAGCAGTATAACGACAGCTCCAGCCTTGAATAAGCAACTTGATCCTAAAAAATGGCAAGGGGAGGCAACGACTGGCCCAGTGAAAGATGGTCATCGCATGATTAACGAGGCATTGATATCGACCAGGACCTAGGCAAGACAACGCCGTTTTAAGTTGACCATTGTATCCATGCATAAATAACGATTCGTATAAGGTCTTAATTCCAATATTTGCCATGTCAACGAGGCATTAATATCAACCAGAACCTAGGCAATACAACGCCGTTTTAAGTTGACCAATTTATTCATGCATAAATAACGATTCGTATAAGGTCTTGATTCCAATATTCGCCATGTCTGCCGCCTGAATATCCGAGTACTTCAGACAAGCGTCCGAGTCAGGGGCTGGAACTATGAATCGTGACGACGGCATAGTCATTACTATTTCTCTATAAGTGCCTAGGCTTCACGTCATTTCATCGACTGTCTAGTCAACAACTTCTCGATACCACTGCTTGGATATACACTTCCCCTTTTTCCTCTACCAACATTCCAGGATGAAATCCGCCATTATTCTAGCCAGCACCGCCGCCCTGGCGAGCGCCTTGGTCCAGCCGAAGCCCGCCGTCGGCGCCCAGCTACCGTCTGCAAAGGGAGTTGACGAGAGCAGCTACGGCAAACGGACTTCAGACATCTGCCTCGAAACAGAGGCGAAAGTGGTCAAAAAAGAAGCAACTTTTGAAGAATGGAAGAAGGTCTGTGGAGCAGAAGGCCTATGTAACGCCATGCACAGTGAACCTTTGCTTTGGCGGACAATCCCAGAGCTTTACGGATGGGCGTTTGCCCGGGCTTGTCCGCCTTCGCCTGCAGAATCAGAAGCAGAAGCAGAACCCGCACCATCTCAGTTGGGCTGTCTTGAAACTGAAGTCAAGGCGATCAAAAAAGAAGCATCCTTCGACGAATGGAAACAAGTCTGCAAAACAGAGGGCCTCTGCAGAGCCTTACATAACGAGCCTTTACTCTGGCAGACCATCCCAGAGCTTCGTGGATGGGCGTTTGCCCAAGCTTGTTCACCTCTAGAACCATCACCCGCACCAGTTCAGTCCGGCTGTCTTGAAACCGAAGTCAAGGTGATCAAAAAGGAAGCATCTTTCGACGAATGGAAACAAGTGTGCAAGACAGAGGGCCTCTGCAGAGCCTTGCATAACGAGCCTTTGCTTTGGCAGACAATTCCAGACCTTGCCGGGTGGGCGATATCTCAGGCCTGCTCATCCGAAAACAGGGCCTAGTCGATGCTTTTTTTTGCAAAACCCCCTTGTGGCTGGTCTTGAAGACTAGGTATTCATAATCGGCAGTTGGGTGCTACGTGCCCCGAATACCTTGACTTGAAGACTCGATAGTTGCGATACGGGCTGGATGTCGTGGCTAGAAAACCCGGTGATACACGGAGGAAGCTGCTACAGGCTTATTGTCATCTTTTATTTCTTCGTCGGATAATTCTCACTCAATATAACTAGCACCCTCGGCGCCAGCGTACCACTGTTTTTCGTGATTGACCCTCCATTATGTGACAGTTATGAGCCCGGTAGCACTTTGGCGCTCATCATGGCTTGTTTTGACCGTCTGGCCACTTGCCCACCGCCGCGCTGTGTGAGTTGTCAGACTCTCCCCCCCCCCCCAATGACTGACTGGCCTTTTGGTTCAACGTGGAGGCCTGTCTCCTTGCATGGCGCGGAGAACCAAGACGAGGCGTTGCGGAATGTACACCCAGCCCTGGCGGAATTTCTGCACATGCATAGTATCGGACAGGAGGCAGCGCCGAGTTTTGGCAACACTCGTGAGCAAGTTGTCTGCGGGGGAAGCATAGGATTTTGCTACTAGTTCGAAACAGCATGCCTGGAGGAGGGACGCGACTAGGATACAGGGTTGACCGTTGTATATGTATAGTAGTTCTTATCCTAGACCGGAGTCTGTTTTGATAGATGAGCCCTGTTGCCCCCCTATAGATCTTGATGCCGTTGCTCAACTTCTCGCCTAAACTCACGGTCAACAACAATGACACCTTGGCTCCCCTTTGCAGAAGTCACGGCACTCAAATCCGCCATGGCGTATGTCTCGACGCCATTCTTGACGGGACTCGACGGCGAAGAATCCGTATCATCAAGTTTGTAGCCCGGGGCGGTGTCGCGCGTGGCGCGTTCTACTGAGCTCTTGGAGGAATCGGGACGGTGTCCAGAGCCAAGAGATATGATGCTGCGAATGCTGTGCAGGACACGCTCGGGTGGAACTCCAGCAACGAGGTACCAAAGCGACGGGCCGTTTATCGCGACAATGTTGAAGGCGGCTTCGAGGATGGCGTAATATACGATCTGGGTATTGCCCTCTGCAGGGACGTTGTGTGAGCGTCCGATCCGTGTGCTACTGGTGAAAAAGAGTCTGGTTGATATTTCATCACGTACGGTAGGTATCTTTAGCATTCCCAGCTCTGCCTTTGCGAATAAGCTGCATCATGATGACCAAGCGTGCTGTACTCGCACCTAAGCCGCTGCGTAAATAGCAGCATTAGCACATGCGCACCTCCATCAACGACCAAGCGGGTGGTTCATACACGAGCGCAATGAGAAAGACACAGGAGACTGCGATTTTCCGGACCGTGGTCATGTTGAGAGACCAAATCTGGAGCGAGTCAGCCTCAGCCTTCGCAGCGCGGCTAGACAGTCGTCGCACAGTTGGGAAACCATACCTTGGGGAGCGGCAAGACAAGCACCGCAACGTCTAGAACAAAGTCGGACACGGAAATGCCCTTAAAGTAGGCATAGTGGTCACATTGCGCCGCGTGGTGGATATCCCACTCGATGCTCTTCAAGGGGCCACAGAGATTCAGGGGCACGACAATAAACGTCACGGTCCACGCGGAGACGAGCAAGATGAAGACCACGGTGACGTAGTCGAACACGTCGCGGCGAGGCCCAAAGCAAAAGATGCGCCGGTAGAAAAACACGGCGCTGAGCTTGGTCATGCCAAACGTCATTGCGGTCAGCACGTCAAAGGAGATGAGAGCGCGCGCCTGCGTCAACGCCACGGCCTGGACCAGCGCCCTGTCCCTGGGCATCGCGTAGCCCAGGAATCCCCTCGATATGCCTAGACAGCGTGGTTAGTCGTGGGTTCCGGGCCGAGCAACACGAATTCCGCCCATGCTGACCGAAGAAGGACAGGGCCGCGAGGCCAACGAAGCCGACCTGGCGCCGTGTCAAAACGTTTAGACTCCATTGTGTAGTCAGAGAATCGGGCTACGGCTTACCCACGCCAGGGCCATGGTGTAATCGTCCATCCAGACTCGGCCCTTTTGCTTGTAGCGAGCGACGAAGCGCAACACGACGCTTCCCGCGGTGAGGAGCAGAAACGTGCCGCTCAAGGCTGCGAGCCCGTTTGCCTCGACGTCGAGCCCCATGATGTGTTGACGGGGCGCTTGACGAGACGACCACGGAGAAGAGGTGAGAACCGACGGCTGGGGGAAGAAGGGTCTGGTAGCCTTCCTTTCCTGGGGGCCAAGCGGGAGGAATGGCACAGCCATATACCCGGCCACATAGGCCATCGGGGGGATGTCATGCCATGTCGGGATAATCCCCGACTGTTGGCTGCACGGAGCGTCATCACATCATGTCTGGGTGCGGACGGTGCTGACGCTGCCTTGCGCGGCGGCATTGGTGATTGGCTCGACTGGAATGGATGCTCGAGCTTGTCTTACTTCGCGGCCCTCTGGGATACGACCCTTGCGCGAGGCAGCGTCACATTGCCATGTCGATTGGGCAAAGATGGGCCGGGCAGGGCAACACGACACACCGTCTGCAGGCTGTGCGTGAGGCGTTGCAATCCCCACGGTTCGATGGAGGAGCCACGAGGAGTTGGATCTGACTCACGAGGTATTCGATGTGGTTTCGCTTTCTGGGAGATTGGTAGAGGCGTAGTAAGGGTACGCCATGTTCAGCCCAGTCGCCGACAGATATAAACGTATATAGACCTCTGGGAGACGCGAAGCCGCTTTCCTTGGAAATTCAAACCTGTAAATTGGCAAGTCAATTCTCTCTGTTCTAAATTATACCACTGCATACTTTGTTGAAAAAAAGAAAGAAAGAAGAAGCAGATATGAACTTCTACCTCCCAGTTCTTGCCATGGTTGCTCTCGCTCTGGCTGCTCCTATGCCAGCACCAGAAGATTTCTCTCTCCAAAGCACCTGGGAAGTCAGAGGTAAATACAGTGAGTAATTTCTTGGCATTTTGTATAAAAGCTCGCTAAATTAATGTATTTCTTGTTGGAGACGATCAAGCACCTCATCCCATCGCGGGCGGCCTTTGAATTACCAAAGTCAATGTATCTGTGAGGGGGGTCTACCAAGGGTCAATCCTATGCTACGCAAACGGAGTTTGGGTGTGGAGTTTAGGTGTGTGAGACTTTAAGGATAGAGAAATGTTTTCCAGGGTCAGGGGGCATTGTTTGGATTTTGATGCTGTTACAGGAGCTTTATTCACTTCATAGACATTATGATTCGTTTTTATGCCGTCTTTCCTTGAGTATATCATGGTTCTCTGGCTTAGGTACAACCAGGCACACGATGTTTGCACTTGGGCCTCATGATAGAGTGCTGGCACGAATATTAGAATAGCTTAAAAGAATTCTTTAATAGACATGGCCTTAGTCCGCGACCACGCAGATGCTTATACAGGACGTCGAGAATAAACCCCGTAACGAGACTATACATGGGTTGTAAGCACAACAAAGTGTGTTCAAATCTCAGACATGGTCTCTCCTGTTGTCACCCCTCTGGATCTTTAGTTGTATGATGCGGCGGCAGAAGAGTTTATTTTATAGATGCTTAATAAATATCCACAAACATACTCTAGAGTCTAAATAAATCCACAATCTAAATCCCAAAACGCCCTTCCGCCACCCCTTCATCCAAGCATTCTCCTATTCCTCCTTCTCCCAAGGCTTGCTCCCATCCGGACACCTCTTATAACGATCCAGCAGCGGAATATAATGATCGCCAGGACGATAGTAGCAAGCAGAGTTGTCAATAGCGTGCTGGCGCAGCTTGTTCCAGTCGCGGCACATGCGAACCTGGCCTATCCCTGATTCCACCACGGTCTCGTTCTCCTGCGCGTGCAACCGCCCCGTATACCGCGGCGTGTCGTCAGCGGCACACATGACGTCCTCGCGAAGGACATGTAGGCAGTGCGTTACATGTCCGTATGGCCATGCTTGCGCCTTGTTATCGTGGTACTGCATTATGACGTCGCGCAGCAAGAACTGCAAGGGTTTGTCATGTTAGATGCTGCTTGGCAAGCGGATGAGCGAGAAGGGCTTACCACGCAGTGTAAAGAGTGAAACCCGTGCAATATATATATGCTCCTGGAGCTGTCCCAGGGCCAGTGCATGGCGGTAGGCAAGCCCTTGGACTGGGCAACGTCGTTTTGCAGCGCCACCCATCCTAGGTACCAGTCATACTCGGGAGAATCCCACATAGGGTCTTCGATGGTATGGTTATCATGGGAAATGGGCACCGGCACGTTGGTTTCTAGATCAACTGGTCGCAGGGGCGTTAGTCGCGTATTCTGAAGTATCGCAGAGCATTTATACTTCTTACAGAAACTTGGAGAGGCGAGAGAGCACCGCTGTCTGGTCAAGAGCACAGCCGTTGAAACGGTAGTCACGCCAAGCATAAAAAGTAGGGCGTATATAATCTTCTTTGCCCGCGCCAAGGCCAATTCTTGTGCCGAGAATGTAGCGTCATCATCAGACTCAACGTCGTCTTGTGAAGCACGGGACGACCTCTGACCCAACAATTTGTATTTTTGGCGCGAGTGCATGATTGCAATTGCTCATGGGGTGTCATGTTGTTCTTCAATTACAGAGGGACGTGTATTCAAAATAAGTACTTGATACATTGTCACAAGAGACGCCGTGGTCAAAACTCAAGACACGGAGGGATTACTCCAAGTAAACACTGCCTCCGCCTCGTCCGGGCGCAGTAGACGCAAACCAACAACATCTACACGCCAAAAAGGCAATTCATTGTCATGACGGATTACAGGACAAAGGAGCCCTTTGTCTCGTGGAGCCGCTCAAAATAGACAAGGCAGATCCAGCACTGTAGATGCATCTCGGGCCTTGTCTCAAAGCCCTGCATTAGTCTCTGACAACCTGCCTGATAGGATACGAAGTCCCCCCAGTAAACATTCAGCTATCGCCCGGAATCCTTCTCCGAACCCCCACAGCCATGTGAGACCCGTGTCACCTGCGATGCGACGTTGTGTTGGTCCCCAAGTCAGACTGGTTGCCTGAAGCGTCAAGAGCGCCCAACACGTAAAATTACGGAGTACGTAAAAGTGATATCGGGATTGACGAAGCCGTGCCGTGCCGGTGTATCCGGGCGATTCCTGTCTTGTCGTTTTTCTTCGAGGCGCACCTCACATCGCGGTCTATTTGCGTCCATTTTCATCATCAAATCTGCCATAGAGAGTCGAAGACCATACTACGGCGTAATACGGCACTGACGCTCGACCAACCATCATGGGTTCAACAAACGGCAGCAGCCAGGTCCTGGGGGAGTACATGCACCCCGTTGTCAACCCAAACTCCGATCGAGGAGACCCTTGGCAGCGAAGCTACGGCGCGCCTCCCCCCGTGGGCGATCTCGTTCCACGAACCTCGCCACTGATCGATATCCGCCCCTTGCTCTCTGAACCAGGGTACACCGCCGTCGGGCATCTCAAGAGTCATGGATTCGGGGTAGTCAAGCACCGCTCGGCGTCCCTGGAGTCATGCCACACAAGCAAAGGAGAGATGGACGAGGAAGCCGTGGCAAGCATGTATTACCCCGAAATCAAGGAACTAGTAGCAAAGACCCTGGGCGCCAAATACGTCCACGTTACGCATAGTGTCTTTCGGCGAGGCGCAAGAGCACCAGAACCGTTCAAGATGCCAACGGGCTTGAAGCCATTGCCGGCAGATGACGGCAAACATGGAGACAGGGGGGCTTCTACAGAAAAGAGCAAGGCAAAGCAAGGCAAGCCGGCAGACTACTGGACATGTCGACCGCGCATGTCTACATCGACACCGGCGCGCGTCCCCCATCTCGACTTCACGCCGCTCTCTGCACGGCGGACGCTGCGCTTCCACAGCCAAGAGATCTACAAGACAGCCCTGGAGCGAGGCATGATTGCGGCCGAGGACACAATCTGCCTGAACCACCCGTTTCGACCGTCCGACAAGGAATCAGACGCCCTCATCGCCAAGCAGTACAACCACACGGAGAGCGGGCGACTCGGGCCCCGATACGCCGCGTATAGTATCTGGCGGCCCCTGAAGAAGGTCGCCCGCGATCCCCTGACGTTCTCGCCGCGAAAGGAGACGCCCGCCAGCGCCGACGGTGACACGGTACACTGGCGATATGAGAACAGGGTCCCCGGCCCCCCGGAGCTAGGCGGCGACTGGCTAAAGGAGTTTGCCATGCTCGGCGTGAAAGCAAAGGAACCGCCGCCGGGGCAGAGCCCTCGACACGCGAGCGCCGGCTCAGAGTGGTACTACGTGTCGGCGCAGGAGACGGACGAGGTCCTGTTCGTGCAGCTCTTTGACAGCGCATCGCTGGGCGAGGATTCCCAGCACGCAGGTGCCCCGTGGCATGCTAGTCCTGAAATCGGCGCCGCTGCCGGCGATGAGCCCAGGGAGAGTATTGACGTTCGCGTCCTTGTTCTCTGGTGAGAGGAGTGCTATAGTATGTACTATTCCGTGCAAAAGACTGCGTTGTGAAGTTGTGAGAAATTAATTTATAAGGACTGACTCGCTGGCTGAGCGCTTTGATGCTATCTAATAAGATTCTTTGTGATGCGAACCGCAGAAATCTCTGAGAAGTAATATGAAGAAAATAACCAGAAACCAGAAAGAGGTTGTTCTTTCCCACCGCAAGTATTCCACAATATACTACCATATACCATAGTATTTCATAGTATGCTATAATAAACTATAGCATATTATAGTATAGCATGTGATAATCAGATATTTTGTTTGGTCCTGCTGGCTATTATACAGCCTCTGGATGACTGTCTAGCACCTTCGCTTTCCCAGAGCAGTTTGCAACCACGCGCTTCTGACCCCTTTTCCTCTCCTTCTTGGAGAGATCAACTAGTGTCTTATGCTTAGGCGGTTCCAAGATCTTAGCATAGTCAAAGTCTATCACCACGACCCGGCCCAGCTCCTCGTTCCAGAGCAGGTTGGCGTCGTGCACATCATCGTGGTAAATACCCTCGTTTCGAACAGCTTCCGAGGACCGCTGCACCTCGAGTGACAAACCTGGCGATTTTTCCTCTTTGACCGTTTGTCCCCCCCAAGACATGAGCATCATATGGACTGCTCTCAGGCCTCCAGGGAGTATGTAACCGCCGGGAAGCTCGACCAAGCCCAGATGCACGGGTACCGCGTCGCCCTGGAGCCGGTGGAGCTTCTCGTATACATTTGTCTCGTGCTCCAGGCTGCACAAGAGCGTGGCCGTGGTGCCCTTGGCGACAAATGTGTATCCGTAGGGTGCCAGCTCCAGCTTGAAGAGCACCCCGGTGCTCCCGTACGTGCCCCAGGGGGACAGCAACTCGCAGTAGTCGTACGGGTCCCTGCGAGGCTGCTCGTCGACGAGACGGGTGAACTCAGCCATGTCGATCGCGTGCTGCTCGTTTCCACCGACAGCACGGTGGAATTGCACGTTGGGACAGTTGTTAGCGAGGTCACGACCCGTCTTGAGACCAAGCAGGCAGGCCTGCGTACAGTATTGCTTCGCAGGCTTGTTGTATGCGCGGTGGACGCCAGTCTTTGTCTCGCCGTCCTCGGATGCGTAGCCCTGCCGACCCCATATGGCCAATGATTCCTTCGCAGCCTGCGTCGACGCCTCCAAGCCCGGGCCCTCGGCCGCCTCGGATTGAAGGCTCTGAAGGCAAAAGCTGGCCAGTTGGGCCACTGCGGTATTGGACATGTATGTGGACCAGTCGTCCTCACTCGCCGCATCCCTCACCACGGTTTCTGGCACGCACAGGTGGTGATACAGTGTCCGAGGCTCGGTTGGATCATAGTAAAGGAAAACGTAGAACTTGCCGGCGGCGACATAGCCATACGAAACCCCATAGATTATCATGAAGTTGAACACCCGTATCAGGATCCTGGCGATGTACTCTTGCCAGGCCTCTTGAGCATTGCCTTGTCTTGTGTCTGATTTGCTCATCACCCGGGTGTTGACGTCTTCGAATAGTGTCTCCATTTGAAGAGCCTCTTGGAGATGCTCCACGGACCACACGTAATCGTGCTGGTAATCAAACACGAAAGCGTAGTGTTCACTGCCGTCCAGGCTCGTTTGGATACCGAAGCCGTAAGGCCTGGTCTCCCTGGCGATGATGTGTTCACCAAACCCGAGCATTTCCCCTGCGCTCTTCACACGTATATCCGCAAACGGATACCGCCCACGTAGTTCCTTGTCGTCCCAGATGTGCGCGAGAATGTTCCCGACTGGTTGCTCGATAGCGAACCGTTCGAAATTCCAGAGATCTGATATGTACTCAGCAATATTCTCTTCAAACAGTCTACCAATGACCTTAGTATCCAGCTCCGATAGAAAACGCCGCTCCTGGGCGCAAGCCGCCCTGAGGTCGTTAAATCGTAGTTCCCGCTGGTGGGCAAAGGTTCTCCAGGGGAGAAGCCGCTTTGGGTAGAATTTACCGTCGACAGGCGTTGTGGGCACCGGCAGGCCATGGCCCGGTGGCGGGAGACGGAGCTTTAAATAGATATGAAAGTGACAGTTATACAAGTACTCTGACAGCGTGGAGTCTTGGTTCTTGCGTCTCTCCTCTTCGTTCTTGCGTCTCTCCTCTTCGTTCTTGCGTCTCTCTCCCTCATTCTTACGTTTATCTTCCTCATTCTTGCGTTTATCTTCCTCATTCTTGCGTTTATTTTTCTCATTTTTACGTTTCTCTTCCTCGTTTTTACGCTTCTCTTCCTCGTTCTTGCGTCTCTCTTCCTCTAGCGACCTTTTAAATTCCTTGTCTTTTTGGTCCTTGCGCGCTAGCAACCTTTCGAGTTCCGCAATCCGATCCTTATCAGACATGGTATCGGCTGCAAGACCTGTCAAGTATGCCCCAGTATATCTAGAATAGTAGTCAACAGTATGGCGTACGGAGTAACGTGATGATCAGAATGTGCAGAGTTCCGTTTGAGACATACACGACGGGGAAGTGTGGAAGGAACGCTGAGAGCCCAGACAAGATTGAAGTTGGGCTGAAATGTCACCAACAGCCCCGTGCCTATTTTTAAAGAACAGAAAACAAGGGGGTCCTTATGTAAGCCCCAGGGCTCAACCGACCAACACTGCGAAGACTTGGCCTTTTTTCTTCCAGGCACATCTGCTACGTAATCACTAGGTAGCGAGAATTCGTGGCTGTACTGAGAAACGTCAATGGTGGTTCAGAGGTAGTGCTTTGTGGGGTATCTGGCGACTGAAGGCGACGTGGTATAAATACATATGTAGTGTTGTAACAAAAATACAGAAGACCTACCAAATTAAGACTTCGCCTTGTGTGAGGGCTCCACGTTTAGCAGAGTCGTTAAAACAAATAGCTAGGCGTGAATGGTGTGCTCATCGTATTTGTTGCCTAAACCTTTTGAGTCTGGGAAACTTGGGTCGATCCGGGGTAACTGCCCCCACGGTGCATGCTCAGATAAAGAACCTGGCGGATAGCATCCCTGTCTTTGGCCATCGACGGCGAACGCCTCTGATCGCACGTGCAACCATGAACCCGGGCTTGTTGACGCCACTGCGCTTGTAGAAAAAACCAAAGAATAAGCATGACCCATCACACACTGGGGAATATTCAAGCCAAGATTCTTCCCTCCTTCCTTCCTTCGACAATTCATTCGCATCAACGCCCCTCCCGGACCCGACATCCCGATATCCACATCGGCCGGCTCCGAGGCCTTTTTGCCCCAGTCTGTCCCGCTTCCACCCTCGACAACCCGGGGCAAGACGAACCGCAAGAGTTCCCGCCCCTCCACGCCAATCACCACCATCGCATTGATTAATTTATCATCCCCAGCTCCCTCCCTCCCCCCTCGTCCTCCTCCTCCTCCTACTCCTCCGCGCTGCCGCAGCGGACCAGCCCCGTCACCATGGCAGACCAGATGAACCTCCCCGTCGTCGACCTCGACGTCTACCTCAACCAAGAGGCGTCGTCGCCCGCCGTCGTCGCCGAGTGCGCCAAAGCCGCCAACGCCCTCATCACCTACGGCGCCCTCGTGCTGCACGACTCGCGCGTCTCCCCCTCGGACAACGAGTCCTTCCTCGACCTCCTCGAGGACTACTTCGCCCAGCCGGAAGCCGAGCTGCGCAAGGACGAGCGCCCCGAGCTCAGCTACCAGATCGGCGTGACGCTCGAAAACACCGAGAAGCCCAAGTGCGCCGTCGACGAGCCCTGCCTCGACGTCATCCGGCGCCTGCACCCCTCGCAGCGCCCGCTCGACATCTCCGCCCACCAGCCCGACCCGAAATGCCGCTTCTTCTGGCGCATGGCCTCGCCGCCGCCCTACGAGACGCAGTTCCCGGGCCTCAACGCCGCCAACGTCGTCCCCTCGGCCGACGCCATCCGCCAGCGCTGGGCGCCCACAATGGACAAATGGGGCACCTGCATGAAGGACGCGTCCGTACAAATCCCCCCCGTTCTCAGACTATCCCACTCACCAAAGGCAGCGTGTCGAAACTATCCGAAATGACCGCCGTGGGCCTCGGCCTCCCAGCAACATACTTTAGCGACGCCGGCGCATACGGGTCCGTTTCTCCCCCCTTCTACCTCCGCCAGCATATATCCTAACAGACATCAATCCAACAGCCCGCACCTCCTCGCGCCCACGGCGTCCGACCTGACCAAGTACGCGCAAAAGGACACCATACTGGCCGGCTTCCACACGGACCTCAACTTCCTCACCATCCACGGGCGCTCGCGTTACCCAGGCCTCAACATCTGGGCCCGCAACACGGGTGACCGGCTGGCCGTCGCCATCCCCCCCGGGAACCACCTCCTCGTCCAGGCGGGCAAGCAGCTCGAGCACGCGACGGGCGGCCTCATCAAGGCCGGCTACCACGAGGTCGTCGTCAACGAGCGCACCCTCGACGCCGTCGCCCGCCGCGCGCGCGAGCTCCCCGACAGGCCGCTGGTCCGCATCTCGAGCACTCTCTTCTGGCACCTCAACTCGGACTTTGACCTGGCCCCCGTCCCCGAGCTGGCCGCCAGGGCGAGCAAGCTGAGGCAGGAGCAGCGGCTGCTGGGGAGGGACGAGGGCGACGAGCCCAGCTACCCGCCTACCAAGGTGGGACACCAAGTCCAGGGGTGAGTAAAGGCAGCGTCAATGGCATACAGGTTCGCCCCCCCTGGGAGACTGCTAACAAACATGGTGTAGGGAACTGAAACATATTGCTTTGATGGCGTAGACGCATGGCATGCGCACGACGAGACGACAAATAGCGGGCAAATACCAATCATTATTAGCACTGCTTTTTACTACTTTTGGCGAATAAAAGTCACAATTTAGTTATGCACCCCGTGCAAGTACGCATGAAGTACTACGGCAGTGGTTCACCGTCATGTGTAAGCAAATTCACCCACGGTATAGCATTACTCAGTATAAGCAGAAGGAATCTTGTCTCACTATGTGACTGTCATTGCATAAACGCGCTATTAAATGCCACACACCTAACCGTCCAGTCCATCGTCACCACTTGCTCTCACCGTCGTATGGTAAGCATCCAACTAAACACACAAACTCCACTCTGTCATCAATCATATCAGCAAAATACGAAAAAAAAAACCCAAACTACCTCGGCTCTATGCCTTGGCTGGAGCTAGTTGCGAAAGATTCTTGGCCTCTGGCCCGGCATCCGAGCCCTGCTCGTCGGAGCTGAGCTTGCGCTGAACAGCAGCCTCAGTGGGCGGCAGATCCTCCCGCCAAAAGTCCTTCTGGCCCTTTCCTAATCGAACCAACCACGGCGGAAGAAAGCCGCCGGGAATGCGCCACGTCCAGTTCTCCTGCTCGTCCATGTTGGATGGTAGTATGCGTCCGCCAGACAACTTTTTCACCAGCCACACCGTGACGTTGATGATCATGTACGAGAAGATGCCGCCAATCAATCCATTGGCAATCGAGTACGTGAAAGGCATGAGACAGATAGTGAGGAAGGCCGGGACGGCATCTCCCATATATTTCCAGTTGATTTCGGGAACAGCGCCGGCCATCATTGATCCGACGAGGATAAGAACACAGCCCGTGGCCCAGGGGGGAATCGAGGCGAAGATTGGAGCGAAGAAAACGGCAATGAAGAAGCAGAAGCCGGTAGCCATGGAAGTCAAGCCCGTCTTGCCACCTTCCGAGATACCGGCACCAGACTCGATAAAAGCCGTGACCGGAGGAACACCGAGAACAGCACCGACGGAGATGCACAGCGCGTCAACCATGTAGGCAACGGCCGAGCCCTCAAAATCTTGCGTCACGGGATCCATAAGGCCGGCGAACCGGGCCATGGAGTACAGTGTACCGGTGGCGTCGAGGATGTCGACATAAAGAAAGGTAATAAGGGCGAGGCCAAACTGGCCCCCGTATTCGGAAACGTTCCAGTCCTGGACATTGAGCGTGTTCTGAATCGGGTGGAAAGTCACGACCTTCTTGAAGAAGTCAAACGAGCTGTTGCCAACGTCGGTGTACGGGAAGTAGGTGACCGGTGTTGTACGAGGCCACGAAATGATGCTGACGAGAAGGATGCCAATAATAATGGCACCTTTGACTCGAAACATGGTCAGTATCACAGTGAAGATTCCACCGCAGAAGATTCCAATCCACATTGCGGGGTGGCGCATCTTGTCCCAGCTGGGGCATGTGCCATCGGCAAGACGATTCTCAGGAGAGCATCCCGCGAGTTCCACAGGCGTCGCGGTGGCTCCGACCACAACACCAATCCCTTCACTGTACGTGAGTCCAATCAGAGTCAGATACAGGCCGATGCCAACGCCCGTGGCGACCTTGATGGAGTGGGGAATCGCTCTGGCAAGCCATTGTCGCAACCCGAGGATGGCAAGACCGAGAAAGATGAAACCTTCGACAAAGATGGCGGTGAGGGCTACTCGGTATGGGACCAGACCGGTACCATGATAGCCAACTATGTACAACCAAGTTAGCGGTTGCACGAGCACAAAACAAGAGCACCCGATTTCGCACCACGTACCGACCGTGTAAGCAAAATAAGCATTCAAGCCTAATCAGACGTCTCATTAGTATATACCCGATGAAGTAAATGGCCTCTGGTGTTCGAGTGCTGGTCAGCGTACCCATTCCTGGCGCCAAAGCAACCGGCCTGTGTGTCATGGTCAGCAGTGCAACAGTCACCGACTTTATCCCTAACCACGTACAAGTTGGCAAAGAGCCCCATGCAGAAGCATGACAGTGCCGATATGGCAGCAGTGGCCGTCACGATGTCGCGCTTGATATCCTGGGTGCAAAGCATGTAGTCTGCATCTTTATCGCAAGTAGGGTCTGCAGCAGTGTGAGGGCAGACGCAGGTACCGCCGGAATCCGATACGATTGACGCGTTGACGGCAATAATGTATGCCATGGCGAAGAAGGTGGTCATGCCGGCTCGCAGTTCTGTGAGGAAATAGGATCCTTTCCTCTCTCTAGGCTAGAAATGAAAACCATGGTGAGCACCAAGATCGACGTGAAGGTGAAGGCATGTCTTTAGCTGTGATGCATACTGGGGAATATGTGATATCATGTCTCAATTCAGACTTGGAACCCCACAGTCGGGAACCTGCATCCAACATGGGGAACATGAGACACCACACATTGCCCGAAACAGAGTAGTACAGCACGAGAAACGTGATTATGAAAAGGAGAGGACCTACATGGCCGCTGCCGTCGAGGCGAAACCATTTTCCAACGACGCTGGTCGCCACCTTGACGTTGACATCTTCTATCCAGCCCATGACGCTCGGAAAGCTTGAGTGAAAATAGGATACTATAACACCATGCGGAAAGCGAATTGCATCAAAAACAGGCCAGCAAATGCACAGCCTGATCAGCCGGTAGGTGAGCGGATGCGTTTCCCTGTGCCGATAGAAGGAATAAAGAAAAGAGAGTCAAGCCGGGAGGGAATCTCAGCATCCAGAGTCGAAAAGGTGGGTGGCAATCGAGATTTTCACAGTGGAGATGAAGGAATGTAGTAGTAGAGGACCACGGGGAAGCTTTATGGAGGTTTGGAGTAGCACAACTGGGCCTGAGTTAGTGGTTTGAGAGAGGGACTTGGAATAGCGTGTGCCATGCAACTAGAGAAGCGGCAGAAAATAAGTAAGAGTTCAGACAAGAGGTGTGTGGGAATTAAAGGCCGGCCGGCTCATGACTGATACCAAAGATTTCCAACTGACTTGCACGAAAATGGGGTGTGTGTGGATGATCCGCGGTCGGCAAGCAAGAGGGTCGGCTAGCTTTAACACTGACAGTCCGGCTTCAAGGGTTTTCCGACTTGCTCCTATCTTTTTATCTTCAATTTGTATCGAATGTATCCTTTGACTCGCAGAAACGTCTAATGGCGTCGGTAATAAGTCTCGTCGGTAGTTGTAGCTCAGCCAGAAATGTGAGACTGATTGGTACAGTACAAGATTGTCTCATGGCAAGGTTGCTCGCCAATCATTACAAGCCAGTCGCTGATTCACCGTCCGCCCGGAGACTCGGAGCACGACCCTGCGCTGCGAACTGGTATCTGACGTTCAGTATCGTCTGCCTTCCGACATGCCTGATAGACCTGATGACGTGTTGTCGCCGGTTCGCTTGCAAGATATCATGCAATTTTTACAATGCCTCGTTTGGGCCGCCCCGTTTCTTGTACACAATCTCGGCAGACGACCCCCTTCTTCACGCACAGAACACGACGCTAGAAATGTACGTATCTCAAAGGGATGAAGATTTTTTTGCGTGTGGCGCTCAGCCAAGCGACGGCCAGGTCCGGGAATCGTTACTGAATGTGGACTCTGATGATGATAACGGTTGCAAGACGGTTTTTGACTGGGTGCCACTATCTTAAGCTCCACCTATCCACCACGCGAGCAATTAAAAAGGATGTGGGGTTGCGAGGGCCGGAATGTCGACGTTTGTTTCGATTCGAGAAAGGGCGAGGGCTGATTTCCAATTGTAGGGGAAGCGGTTGGAACAAAACCCTTTCCTTACAAAGTCCGCAACCCTCGGCTTGCGGCTGTCTATTGGCTAGTGTTTGAGGCTGCTCCCGCAACTACCTGGGCATGATGGCTTGAACACAGAATAAAGTCCGACATCCCGATGATGCTAAGATGATCTCGCGGGCGCGTCGAAGAACATGAGTGCAATCAGCTGTGAACGCGCAACCCTGGCGAGGACATTGGCAGCGAATTGAGATCAATTTCAGCTTCCACCGTAAGCGATATATGGTGAAAAGCCAATATTCGCTATCAAGGTGGTTTGAACGAACGAACAACGTCGATATCTTCCACGCCACATCATGTACCCCGCGTTTTCCAGGGATCTGTCCCGATTTCCTGAGCCATGTCCTTGATCTATAAATTACCAACAATAGCACAGGCTTTGTGGAGGCGGGAAGTCAAGTGATGCTCGCAGATAGACGAGGAGGTGGGTGTTGCTCTCGCTGCTTTGGGTGATGGTCCGTAGGACTTCGGCGGCTCCCGATGGATGACGCAAGGGCTACCTGGGCAATGTCTGGTCGAATCTGCAGGCGGACATTTGCATCGATAAGAACTGATAGCCTTGCTGATTGAGTCGCGGGCAGGACTGATTGGTGCTGTCAACGAGAGACTATTGGTGCTAGACGTTGGCCTTGATTGGCTTTCTTGATAGCTGCACTCCTATATGTGAAAGAGTAGAGTATTTGGACGGAGATATTCCGGGCTGTCGACAAATGCTTGTGTTGGAGTTGAACTGGCCATTTGAATGCTGGGTCTGGTGCAGCTGAGGTACAGTGGGTGTAGGTGCCAACATGCACCTTCCGTTTGCACTAGGTGGTGCATCTTGCAGGTGCCAGCAGCTGCCCAAGCCCACATGCAACTTTGAACATTGATATCTCGCAATGGGGAGTGAAAATTATCACCATTGGTGGATTACCTGGTCAGAGTGCAACCCGAATATTTTGCGAGACGTCTGGCTTACTTATTAGTGAACCCACCGCGGATACCGGCATACTACGCTCTCATTGTCACTCCGTTCCTGCGTTCGTATTTCAATGGAGTATCTGAGATCTCAGATCTCATCACATTGACAGGGAAGGATGTGCATCGGGCTTTCTCCGACACGGGCGTCAACGGAGACATCCACATCCATGTGTCACTCTTGGGTAGAGGCGGGACGGCAGAGTCCGTGACAACCGCAAGTGTGACGGCTACGCTCCTATGTATTCCAAACACTTCTGCTGAATTGTTAGACAGAGCTTGACAACGTGATTATAAGGGCCAGTCTGGCAGAAGAGAAGGCCCAGCTGGACCCTGACACTACCAGATCATCGACCCAACCCGGACGCAATCGGGTGACGAAGCTCGACAGTAGTATAAATAACATCTGCTGGATATATTACGCAAGAGAAACCAGAAACGGAATAGTATACCAGGCACATTTTCTGACACAACCAGGGTAAACTCACATGTATGTTATAGCCAAGATAACTGCCAACCGATAAAATAACACTAGGCAACAACGCTGTAGCTTTTTGAAAGCTCACAGTTTTAGCCAATCCCAGGAAACCTGATCGTCTTTCCAAACAGTAGTATAACCTTGATGTCGAGCAAGCACATTCCTCTTAACCTCCCGTGTACTCCGTCACATCACCCGCATCACACCTGGGACCTTGATGCTCTCACACCAGAAACGATAACCCATCCCCGTCGAAACCTTTGACATTCAGACACATCTCTCCAACCAACCCCATGAGCGTCGGACATGACAATATCGTTGAGATATTGGGTCATGCGATGCATCATATCCTAGCCAACCCGACCAAGTTTGGTCTTCCCCTAGCATAACAAGCTTTGTAAATAGCTTCGTTACACATGGATCATCATATCATTACCCGCGAAAGGAGATACCTCGTGGCCGTTATCAGAGAAACGAAATCGATGGTGCCCTGGTATAGCTCCGTAGGTCATTTTCTGCCCCCTTTCCGTTCAAGTTTGGGTCTCGATTTGCAGGCACCCTTCGTATTGGGGCTAATATGAACCAGAATTGGCATTTACAATATTGTAGCTAACCCCGCCGTCGGTATCAGTGCATACGGTAGTATCGCAGTCGTTATCACTGGCATCGAGAGTCGGAGGCCCGCGATTCGGATTGATCGAAACCACAGAGACTCTTTGGCGAAGATCCTCGTTTGGTGCATGGTCATGGTGAGGATTTCGACCATGGGTGGCGGGATTTGTAGATGCCATACTCGAAGTACTGTCTCGAGATCTTGGGCGTGTTTCCCGGATCGTTGGACCGCCAGGGGAAATAACGTGGACCATTGTCCTGTAACTTGGACCATGGGAGACGAAGAAAATTTCATCATTGATATTTGGGTCCCCTGGAGGTCCTTCTGAACCTGGAAGGAGGTGTCCCGTAACAGTAATTTCCGCAGGTCGTCTTTCCATAATCGGCACCCGGGTAGGCGTGGATGCGTTGGCTACATTTGGAAGGCGGATAGGATAAGGACGATGGTGAGGGTAAGACGCCTGAGGTGAGCCCGGAAGATGATGTGCTGTCGGATAATGCGCCGGCTCCTGCGAGGTTGGAAGGGAAGCAGTCCCTCCGGAATAGGCCATTTGCGCAGGCATGGGGGGGGGGGGGGGGGTGTGCCGATTCTGGTGCTCCGGCATTTCGGTGTCGGGAGATTGTCCCCTGGTGACAGCGTCGAGATGAGCCAGGCGCGAATGGATTCGAGGAAAAAAGGAAGTAGATGTAGTCCGGTAGAAGAGTGTTGTTGATGTAGGAAGCAAGTAGATTCCTCTATGAAATGCAGGACCAAGGCGGCAAATATATAGCCGTCAGCGAGACTTTTTTATCCATATTATGAGGTGAACAAGCAACAAGCTTGCGTCGACATGTCCCGGATCCAACGCCTGTTCTCTGTCAATATTTGATATATGTGTCCGGCAGGCTTGGTTGGTGTACCATTATTAGACACGTTTTTCTTGGTGTCCTGCAGGGCGAAGCCATCGGAAAACATGACAAAATGACAAAATATCTGGATACGCCCGTGTTTTCTGAGTGTTCTGCATCTCTCCATGCAGCGAGGCCTGGACTTAATGCCATGGCAGCACTCTAAAACAGGACCTGCAACGAACAGAACCCAGTGGTGTATCCATCTCGGCCCGATGGCTCTTTGTCCCTACAGTTCAGTCCTGTGTTTGAATGGGAAACCCTAACTCATGTCCGGCATGGTTCGTGCCGAAAAATGATGGGTAAAAAAGCCTGCAGGGCATCTGAAACGCGGCAGTGCCTCTGCAGAGTCGATCTGGTGTTTATTTCAACGGTGTGCATGTTGCTTTGTGAATGTCGAGGCAATGAAATCTAACTGCATCTGTCACCTGGAAAGGAATTCCGGACACGCAGAAAACAAGCCGTCCACTGTTTGTGTTGGGAGAAGCTATGATGTGGCTGTGTAGAAATGAGTGCCATGTCATGGTTATTATTAGGCTTTGGCGAAACAAAAGTTGAGATATGATGAGTACATTGCTCTTGTCATGATGAAGCTGTACCAGACAGAGGAGGGCTGGTGGTTCATCTGTGGTCCAAGGTGACCAGACTGTGATAGGCTACAGATTACATCGCACGGAGCTGTCGGTGTCTGGATCCAGTCTGGAAGGGAAAATACCTACCCTAAGGTAGGCAAGGCAGGCACTCGTAGGCACCGATGGGACGATGCCGACATCTTGACCACTGGGGATCCCGTTTCCAGCCACAGCGGGACTGCAAATGATCAACAAGTCTGGTCCGAAAGACCCTGACACGGGAGCTGCCGAATGGACTCTTCAAATGTACAAAACCTTGCTCGTGTGCCTCGGTGAGTGGTGCCATCGATGGCCGGCCTGGTGGCAACATCTTGGCGATTCGACAAATGTCCACTTCGGACAGCGCGACCATTCAAGTTGGCAGGAGACGCAGCTCGGGCCGGCCTTCTTTCGTCTGGCAGGGCAGAAAGTCGGGGCATGGTGGCCGTGCAAGCAGGGACTGTCCCTCGGTGCATGTTGGGGGCGCGTTGTGCCATTCGTCGACATTGTGTTCAATAAATTTGGAATGCAACATTTGAAATGTGCAGATGCCCAGATGCCCAGATGCCCAGACGTCTGGTCCTTGACGTCAGATGATTGGGGCGCCCGCGTCGCCCCCCCAGGCCCAGCAATCTTGGGGCCCGTCCGGCGTCACGACCCGCTGTTGCGCGGCATGACACGCTGTAAGCCACACCGCTCATTGGCTCCCGTGACGTCAGGCGGCCTCTCGCCCCTTGGGGCTCCTGCGGATGCCAAACCTGCACCCGTCGACATGTGGGAGCACTTGATCATCAACCGGTCAATCATGCCACAGACATCAAACAGCCGACACAGGCTGACAGGCAACACAGGCTCCCTCCTTGCCTCCCTCCTCAGCCCCCGGCCGATTCCCATTTGCGCAACCCCCGATCGCGTCTGACACCAGACCTCTCTGCGTTCTCGACCGACAAAAGTGTGGCATGTGGTGCCTGGCCGTGTCTCGCCCATTCAGCCACTTGCGGTGTGGATCGCATTGATGATCTCCGCCGCCGCCGTTGTTGATCGGCGGTTTGAGCCGTGACTCTGGAACGGGACCTCCACGTCCTTTATATACCTTCCTCGCCGTTTTACCCACCTGGCCAGCACAGTTGCTTTTTTGTTTGTTTTTTCGATATTCGTCTTTGAGCGTCCTTTTCTAAGCAGTTACGCACATCTTGTTGCGAACCAATCTCACCACACATGATGGCGTATCCCCACCGTGACCGCTACGATGACGGATACTATCCCCCTCCGTCAGATGATCGATTTGCTGGCCCTCCGCCCCGACGACACAAATCCGAGCGACACCGCCGTCGCAGTCCCGACGGTATCCCATATGGCGAAGACGCGTACCCCCCGCGGCGGGGCTATTCTCGCAGGGAACCCCCCGGGCCAAGAGGCATGACACAACCCGGCAGCAGCGGGCGGCGTCCAAGAAGCCCTCCACCGTATTATCCTCCGGAGCCGGCCCCTCGTGAGCCTCGCAAAGATTCACGGCGGGAACCGCGTCCCTCTCGACCGGAGCGAGATGTGCCGCGGAGCTACGACCGCAACTACCCACCGGCGCGGGACTACGCCAGCCCTCGGGATCAACCACGCCGCCCACATCGCGAGGAGCCCGAATATCGCCCTCGACGAGACAGGGCATCGCCGCCACCAGAGTACAGATCCCGCCCCCGCGAAGGCCGCTCTTACAAGTCCCGACCCGTTTCGCCAGAACCAATATCCCGACCTCGAGAGTTCCCTGCCCCCAAATACGGCGGCGGCGACGACGGCAAACGCCCCCATCGGGCGCGATCTCACGAGCGTTCTCATAAACGGGACGTGAGTCCTGCGCGTGGTCGTGACCGCGCCTTCCCTCCCACGAGCAAACCCCCTTCGTCCTCGCGACGCAAGTCCGCGCCTGCGCCGACGGCGGACAAGGCCAAGAAACAGGCTTGGTGGCAGAATCCCCTCGTCCAGGCGGGTGCGCGGACGGCGTTTGCTGCTGGAGCGCAGGCCGCGATGCAGAATCGCAACGACCCCAATCCGTGGCTGGGGTCCAAGGGTGCCAAAGTTGCGACGGCTGCCCTGGGCGCTGCGTTGATGGATGGCTTTGGCAAGAAGAAGGACTGATGGAATGACTTTATGAATGGCCATGAAATTGAAGTAGTTAGCGAAAGAATGTATTTTGGACTTGTTTAGTGTTGGAATTGACTTGGGCTATTTGCTACGGATGCCATCTTGGATGTGATATACCGCTGTTGGACTGCTTGGATTTGTTGGGCAATGCGTATCCCCGATCAATCAGTACATCTCCTCAATAGACATTAGATTTGGTATCTCTCAGGACGATGAATGCAACTGGCCCTGGCTGCGATCCGGTCGGAATCTAACGCAAAGGATGTAAGCCTAGAAAGCGCCGTCTCCCAAACATGTCAACATAAAGTACCTAGGTACTTCAATGTTAGCAGTCTCGCATGGCTGGAAGGGGTACTGCGCCCCAGTGCTGCTACGACTTGCGTGTTAAATACATCGCTTTGCATATATCGCAATAAACCTATAGCAATGCAATCTGACAGAGCAGTAGACGTCTCTTACCAGAAGCTCGACCCAGATTCAACTACACAATGCTGTACTCGTCGCCTTGAAAACGACAGCAAGTTTCACGGCTATTCGCGCATTTAGACATGCCCCCGAGCTCGATATGCTGCAGGCAATACATCCAAAGCTGGAATTCGCAACAAAGTCACCGCCATCTTACCCAATTCGTTACCAACAACCGATATCATGCTAGACCCATCATCCATACTATAATCTGTTCGTATCAGCTTATTCATTTGATGCATTATATTCAACCTCTAGTAAATCCCACCCATCAGATCCCCACGAGAAATACTTGTCCCTCAAAAGGTGACAAAATCCCCCCCCTGCTCTTTCCGCCATGCGTCGACATGACCAGCACAAAATTCACATCCCGCACACCGAGCTCCTCCGCGCTCGGCATCTCCACCCTCTTCTCGTCGGCAGTAAAGTTCAAGACGACAACGGCCTTGCCACCCCCCCGCGAATGCTCCTTCACAAACAGAAACAAGTCCTTGTCCTGGGGTCGCAAATCCCTAAAGTCGCCGTAAACAAGCAAGTCAGCGTGCTCCCTTCTGAAACGCAGCACCTTGCGCCAGAACCCAAGCACGCTCTCCGGGTCATCCAGCTGCGACGCGACGTTGATCTCGCCAGCCAGCGGGTGCGGCTTCATCCACGGCTCCTCGACGGGCAGCCCTGCTTTCTCGGCGGCTTCCGAGAAGCCCCCGAACTTGGCTCTGCCGTCCCACGCCATGGGGACGCGCGCGTGGTCGCGCGCCAGGTGCTGCAGGGCGGAAAACGCCCTGTCCAGTTGCGCCTCGTTGTCGGCGCCGTGGAGCTCCTCGGTCATCTTGACAAAGAGGCGGCTGTCAATGTCGAGATAGTTCTCCAGCGGGTACGTGTCCCTGGGGACGTTGACGCAGCCGATTTCTTGGCCCTGGTAGACGTATTGCGTGCCGCTTAGGCACGACTCCATGAGGGCGAGCATCTTGGCCCCTTGCACGCGGTACTCGGGCCTGTCGTCGGCGAAGCGGGACACGGACCGCGCTTGGTCGTGGTTCTCGAGGAAGACGGTCGTCCAGCCGTCGGAGCCGTGGATGAGGCCTTGGGTCCGCGACACTGCGGCCTTGAAGTCGGGCAGGGTGTAGTTCTTGGGCGTGGTTTCGTACTTGTGCGTCTTTCCGAAGCCGGTGTCGACCACGTCGAACTGGAACACCATGTCGAGCTGCTTCTCCTTGGCGCTGACGTACTTGAGCACCTTTGCCATGTCGGGCGTGTTGGGGAGCTCGCCGACGGTGATGGCGCCGTACCGGGCGAGAATGACATTCATCTCTGAGAGGAACTCGTGCATCCGGGGCCCGTTGCAGTACAAGAGCCCGGCGGGCTGGAAGGGGGCCTTGGGATCCACGACGGGTGCGTCTTGCAGGCCGTCCGGCTTGCTGTACATGTTGACGGTGTCGACGCGGAAGCCGTCGACGCCGCGGTCTAGCCAGAACTCCATGGCCGATTTGTAAATGGCCTCTCGGGCGACGGGGTTCTCCCAGTTCAAGTCGGGCTGCTCCGTGGCAAACAGGTGCAGATAATACTCGCCCGTCTGCTCATCCCACTGCCAGGCACTACCGCCGCCAAAGTTGCATCGCCAGTTGTTTGGAGGGAGTCTCTCCCCAGTGGGTGAATATTTGGCGGGTCTCCAGATGTACCAATCTCTCTTGGGGCTGTCCCTGCCTGCGCGAGACTCCCTGAACCAGGCATGTTGGTCCGAGGTGTGGTTGATGACGAGGTCGAGCATGATTCGCATGCCACGGGCATGGGTCTCGCGGATGAGGACTTCCATGTCTTGAACAGTGCCATAGGGCCTGTAGACATCTTCGTAGTTGGAAATGTCGTAGCCCATGTCGACCTGCGGACTGTCATACATGGGACAGATCCAAATCACGTTGACGCCCAGACTGGCTATGTAGTCCAGCTTGGAGGTGATGCCGGGCAAGTCGCCGATGCCATCGCCGTTAGAGTCGCAGAAGGAGGCTGGGTAGATTTGGTAGATGACGGCCTCTTTCCACCATTTCTTCTCGCGGGAGATGACGGTCATAATGGCTGTGAGACTGACAAGACGCAGAAATGCAAAGAGTCGCAAGGTAAGAGTCTGGGTTATCGCTCTATTCTAGTACAAAGAGTCTCCTGCAAATTGGAATAAACAAACAGGGCGTAAATGACACAAAAAGATGAGAAGGGGGGAGAAAGTTGGGGACTGGGGACAGGACAGAGGCAGTTTCCTCTTAAATCCTCAGGCATCGTGAATATGCCACGTGGGGAAGAGGACACGTCGGTGTAGAAGGGAGCGAACTCGAGAGATACGGGTTCACGGATGACCAACCGCCGGAGCCAATTCTTCAAGAATGACCACCGCGGCCCAACCACAGCAAAACCAAGAGCGGAAGTATGATTCTCGTCATGGGCACAATACTGCTTTGTCGGTCCGACGGTTTGGAGCATTCATGCGGGGAAATCTGGGGTAAGTGTCACAGTGACACTGCCGTCGCGACGGTCGCTTTGTGTGATCTGAGAAATTGCCAGAATTGGTAATGCCAGACGACGCTTTATGGATACATGGGATATAGTAGTTGGAGAGTCACATAACTTGTCCAATATCACGGAGTAGCGCGAGATGGCTATGCCACGCAGCCAAGGGGAGCCGGCGGGGCTACAACGGATAGATGTCACCGACATGTTGTCGGTCCGACGCGACCAACGGCACCATTGGTCTGTTGTCGGCCCGGCATCGATGGCTTTCGCTTCCTGCGCCATGCGGGTCTTCTCGAAGCTCAGGGCGGAAGAAACTTCCTTTCCAACTCGGCCCGGCCATGCAGCCACGAAAACATAAAGCCATGCAGGTGGCTCACTCTGCTGGTGCTAGCGAGTGCCGTGCCATCCAAGTCTTTAGCCGTTCAACATCAAAGAGTCACGCTAGGAGCGGCGTGAAACTGCCATGGTTGGGCATGGCGTACATCAAGCAACCGGCACGGGAGGTCTGTTTTGTGATTCGATACCTGAACCAACCATGTATTTGGCGATCTCACCAAGATCTCAGGGACCAGGAAAGATTCTGGTGCTGGTGAGTGCGCCAGCCGCATTCTTTGGCCGAGAGAACCGCCGTGAACGACATCAGCCAAGGTGCGTTGCGTTTCTATTCACAGTCCTGGAGAGGCTCCAAAGCCGTTTTGACGAGTCAGTTGGTATCTATGGAATTCCTTCGAGCTAATTCGACTATTGATAGGACAACGTCCTTACAGGCCAAGACTTTTGGGCAAGCGCTTTGCTTCGGTATGGAATGGCGACTCGATTGCTTTGAATAAATCGGATGACGGATGGAGTCGGCGGACAAACAACTCGGACCACTTGAGAAACGCAAATACCGTATTAGGATATAATCCTACCGGCGTGGACGCAATGCCCCATCGTCACCTCCTTTCGGCGCGATCCAACGCCAAGCCAATCCGAAAACAAAAAATCCCCCCGTGACCTTGTCGGACCGACGACAAAGGGGAACGATTTCTCACAACTAGGATCACCGGCCTAATGGCAAGACGGCAAGCTTAATTCTCCAGATCCACCAAATTGAAATGGCATCCCCATGGGGAGGTCAAATCCGGGGATGCAGAAGGTGACCTCACCTCACATGGAATTGGAATCAACATTTCGTGATGGCCGATGTTCCGGCCCCAACATTGTTTGTACGACCAAAATGTTGTGGATCCCCATCCAGGGGGGCCAGACATGGTCGCCTGATCACCTTGTCCGGAGAAGCGGGCTGTTTATGTACATCCAACAAGCCTCAACTGTTCAATTGAGCCAATGGCTACAATTTTCTGCAGCCAGCCCGAGGAGAAAATCTTTCGAAGTGGTTGGGTCGGCAGTTGACGTCTTGTGGATGGTGATTGTAGCACGGCAGCTCGACGACATCATCTCAACAGCCACGACCACCACCACCTGCGGTTTCAACAAAGTCAATGGCACGTGTGCCATATGGAGCCTGGCTTGTCATTGGGGACAGCATCGGCTAGCCCGCCACAACTCTCGCCCTTGGCCCGGTCCAGGGGTGTGTATGGGTCCAGGTGGCTTCACACTAGTCACAAGGAGCGAAGGAGCCGGCTTTTGTCTGGGGTCTCGACTCTGTTGTGAAATGGACCTGCCAGCAAAAAACCACTCGATTCCATTTACAATTCAACTTCTTTCGTCTTCAAGCGTCATGGACTATAAAGGGAGGCCGGTCTGTCGTCGGCTTATCAGTAGATGGATTCGTGAGGCATCGGATCATGGCCGCCCAACTCCTTTACTCCTAAGCTCTTCTTGGCTCTCGGATACCAGGCTCATTTTTTTTTGATCCCCCCCAACCCAATATACCAATTATACACGTTATCCAAGGGGACATTTGCCTCGTCAATTGATACCACTAGTTGGAAAATTGACTCGAAGCACAACACTCCAACATGTCTTCCCTCACCAAACACCAGGGCGGGGACCAGCCTCGCAGAATCTCCATCGACCGCGGCAACATGGACGAAAACCTCGTCCATGAGGCAGCCGCCGCCGCCGAAACGGAGCATAGCATGGGGCTTTTAAAATCTCTCCAACTGTACAGGAAAGCCTGTCTGTGGTCCATCTTCCTGTCCACCTGTATTGTCATGGAAGGGTTCGATGTTGTGCTGCTCAACACATTATTCGCTTATCCCCCCTTCCAGAAGAAATTCGGGGTTGAGCAGCCTGACGGCACATACCAACTCACGGCGGCTTGGCAAGCCGGCCTGAGCAACGGCACGCTTGTGGGACAAGTCCTTGGTCTGTTCGTCAACGGCGTCATTGCCGACAGATTCGGATACCGCAAGACACTCATCGGCGCCTTGGTGGGCTGCATTGCCTTCATCTTTATAGTCTTCTTTGCGGAAAGCCTCACGCAACTCCTCATCGGGCAGATGCTCATTGGTGTCCCGTGGGGTGTCTTCCAGACCCTGACCACAACATATGCCTCCGAGGTGTGCCCTACGCATCTGCGTGCCTACCTCACCACATATGTCAACCTCTGCTGGGTCATGGGCCAGTTCATCGCCTCTGGCGTCCTGCGGGCCATGGTCTCCCGAGACGACAAATGGGGATACAAGATTCCCTTTGCTCTGCAGTGGATGTGGCCCATCCCTCTGATTATCGGCATCTATCTTGCCCCCGAGTCCCCCTGGTGGCTCGTTCGCCGCAACCGCATCGACGACGCCAAGAGGTCTTTGGCGCGGCTGACAGCCCGCAACACCAGCGTTGCCTTCCGGCCGGACGAAACCATCTCCATGATGGTCCATACCAACGAGATGGAGAAGGAGCTCACGGCAGGCATCTCGTATGCAGATCTCTTCCGAGGCAAGGTGAACCGCCGCCGAACAGAAATCGTCTGCGTCACATGGATGATCCAGACCCTCTGCGGCGCCACCTTTATGGGATACTCGACCTACTTTTACCAACAGGCTGGGATGGATGTTGAAAACTCGTTCAGCATGTCTCTTGGCCAGTACGCGCTTGGCGCTGTCGGCACCATCTTCTCGTGGTTCCTCATGGGCCGCTGGGGCCGCCGAACCTTGTACCTGAGCGGCCAAATCATCATGTGCATCCTCCTCCTCGCCATCGGTTGCACCGCCTTTGCCGGCAAGGAGAACGCCGCTGCGCAGTGGGCCATCGGCTCGATGCTCCTCGTCTACACCTTTACGTACGATGCCACCGTCGGCCCCGTCTGCTACTCCCTCGTCGCCGAGCTCACGTCCACCCGTCTCCGAACCAAGTCGGTGGTTCTCGCCCGAAACTGCTACAACATAGTTGGCATCGTGACCAACATCATGACGCCCCGGATGCTGAATCCCACGGCGTGGAATTGGGGCGCCAAGGCCGGCTTCTTCTGGACGGGCACCTGCCTCGCGTGCGCCATCTGGACGTACTGGCGTCTTCCGGAGCCCAAGGGCCGCACCTATGCCGAGCTGGATATCCTGTTTGAGAATGGCATCAGCGCCCGCAAATTCAGCTCCACGTCGATTGACAGATTCGATGCGCAAGGGGACCGCGTCTCAGAAAAGGAAAAGATGTCGGAAGTCAGGGTCGAGAGAGTCCACAGCGATCAGTCTTGAGGACACCAGGACCCACACCCCTTTCCCTACCTTGACGAACTTGCGGACTGGCATGGATGATGTGACGGATATATTTGCGGTGTTGATGGCAACTTGCTCAGACGAATGATATTCAAGCGATGTATGTATGTATTACCCGAAGCGTTTTGGAGGAATCATCCCGATTGGCAGATGATAGAAAAATACAAAGGCGCTAGCCAATGATAGATGACTGCTCGTATTACCAACAAAAAGAATGTGTCTTGCGCAGCAAGGGTTTCACACGGTAAGACAAGGGCCCTTTTTTTTGGGGGGGGGGGGGTTTACGGCTGCATAAATACATACATGTCCGGCCACACCGACAAGCATTGTACCTCCTCAAGCCCACGCGGGTTCCCCCCAAGGGCCAACACCCGGGCCCTTGAAGAGCCTGCCCCCCTTCCACACCCATCTGATATTCTCCTCGTTCTGCAAGACGCGGACATCGGCGACGGGATTCGCCGTGACGCCGATAAAATCAGCCTCGTACCCGGCCTTGAGCTGCCCCGTCCTGGGCGCCTGGCCCTCGACGGTCAGCGGCCCGTTAGCAGTAGCGGCGCGGATGGCCTCGAGGTTCGACAGCCCGGCCTCGACGGCCCATTCCAGCTCCCGGGCCATGGTCAGGGCGGCAAGGGCGTCTGTTCCCAGCGCAATGGTGACGCCGGCGGCGACGGCAGCCCGGTACGCGGCCATGTGGTGCCCGGCCACGAGGCGGAGCTTGTCGCGGTGCACGCGGGGCAGGTCGTCGCCCAGCTCGAGCAGCAGCTCAATGGCCTCGCGGGTGGCGACGTAGACGACGCCCCTCCGCTTGATGAGGGCGAGGCACTCGTCGTCGGCGAGCGAGGCGTGCTCGACGGTGCGCACGCCGGCCTCGACGGCGGCCAAGATGCCCGGCTTGCCGTGGACGTGGGCGGCGACGGAGCGCCCGAGGCGGC